TTGTTGCATAAGCATTGTTAGCTCTTTCTTCTTCTTTTGCTATTGCATCGTCTACATATTCTTTGTCAGCTTTGTTGTCAACATCTGCTTTCAAAAGAAGTTCATTTATAGGTTTCTCGTTTAACGTTCCTTTTGTTGGATTTATACAGACAGTATGGTTCTTATTGTCTTGAAACAGAAACTCATCTGTCATTGGGTTTATTGTCAGTTTTAGGTTTCCTTCTTTCAATGACTCAGATATTTTAGCATAGTTTGAAAAGTTTGTTGTGTTCTTATTTAGAGCTTGCATAATGAGTTGTCGGTTGTGTTGTATTTCTCTCATAGACGCTGTTTCATTTGACATTTTTATTATAGATAAAATATGCTTCCAATAGAAAAAGAAAATTCTAGAGTTGCTACAACTAAACCATTAGATGAACTTTTTACTAATGTCGGTCAAAAGTTTGACTTAGATACTATAAAGCATGAAGGCTATCGTTTTGACTACCCATTAAGATGGTTAAGAGACCCATCCGTCACAAAAGCTATTGGCTTTCGAAGAATAAAATTTGTGTCTGTAGAAGATAAAAGTTTTCCATTTATTGTAAGGTTTCATATAGATTATATATCTGAAGGGAAACGAAAAATGTGGGAAGAAATTGAGCTAATACAAGTTGACCTTTCATCTTCTCTACAGACTGCGTTAAAAAATATAGAAGATAAAATAAATTCATGTTATGCAAAATATGCTGATGAATATGCAAATACCGATAGCACACTTTATGTGAGAATTGTATATGACAAACAAAATTCACAAGTGTCATTTCAAATCTACAAAAACAATCCAAATAAAGACGAACAAATATATACAGAATTCACTGCAATGTCATGGTATTATTTGCAAAGAATGTTAAATCAGAAAGTCGAACTTCCTTTAGCAAATATTTACAGTCGATATGCAAGAGATGAACCATATTTATTTAAAGATGTTTTCGACCAAGATGCTATTATTGTTCATGCTTCATTTTCTGGCGCCCAAAACTCTTTCTTATGCTTGGCAAATGACTTTTACGAAAAACCTACAAAGTTATACGAACCACCAAGTGGAAGTATTTCAGACTTTCAAGTATGGTTTACTACAGATGGAAGAAAAAGAATAATTCCATTATACCATGCGTTTTACTTAGAACTTAGTTTCATATACAACTACTATCGAACGGTAAAAATATAACTTTTTAATACGGTTGAGGTGTTGGATTTGGTTGCTAACTAGACTGTGGTGCAGGTTCAGGTTGTTGTATAACAGGGGCTTGTTCTTCTGGTTCAGGGTCTTTAGGTATAATACCAACGAACTGACCTACTCTTTTACCAATATTTTTGACTCCGTTCCAAATTCCTCTTCCGACAGATTTTATTCCATTCCATATACCTCTTCCAACATTTCGAAAGAAGTTTCCAATACTACTGAAGAAACCCATTTTACTACGTGTAAAAATCTAATGTCCGCCTAGTCTCTTACGTTTCCTGTTGAGTTCCATAGCATTCTTTAACTGGAGCTCATACATTCTGTTTCTCCTCTGGTAGAAAACATATTCTGGGTCAACTCCTGTGTTCGCGTCATCTGCATAAAGTTGTTTATATCCCACTTCAGGGTTTGTATAAAACTCTTTCCATCTCATATTTGCATACCATGGTGGCAAACCTAACGCAGCGTCATTTGACATGGCAGTTTGCATTTGTACATCTGTTGGCACTTGACCATAGTTTGCCAATGCAGTTTGTATTCTAACTTCATTTGGAATATTCTCTGGGTTTGGTTGTCCAGGTTGCTGTGCATTCGCTAAGTTCTGTGCGTCCATTTAATATTAGATAAAAATATCTCTTACGAGTACATATGCTGAACATTTGCAGGCATTGGTTCATCTTCATATTCTCTGTACTTTTCTGCCACGTCAAATAAATAAATGACACAATGGAAAAAACCTAAAACAAGCAGTCCTATTTCAAACCACATTTACTTACTAATAAAATTTCTTTATTGTGACACTTTCTCCGGTTTATAGGACCTCTCTCATATTCTATCTTGTCATATATAAACTCATAGTCATGTATGTCCTCTAACCATCTCATAACGGTTTCCAAACCACTTTTATCGGATGTAAAGTAAAAGCATGGATGGTTATGTATAACGTCTAAAGTTTCTAAAGAGTCTCTCAAAGTCCAGTCTACTTGGTATTGAAAATCCCATGTGTTATAGAACGGCGGGTCCACTATAAAGAAAACATTTTCCTTGTCTTTATATTTTTCATACAACTCTGTCCAATGTCATCTCACAAACTCTATACGCTCAATATATTTTTCTATGTCCTCTTTGAAAACATTTGTATAGTTAAGATATAAAACTTTTGACATAAGTGTTTCAATGTCATGAACTCTTATAGCACCACTATATAATAGTCTAGCAGATATACTATCCCAGTCTATATATTCTGCTTTTTTCAAAACCTCTCTCACAATATCTTTCTTATCTAATGGTATACGTTCCATCTTACCTATAGGTAACTTTTCTTTTAACTCTTTCAATATATTGTTTGTGTCTGGTATATGTTTGAGACGGTCCATATAGTTGTCGAAGTCATTGCATATAATCTTTGAGTCTGGGAATATTGTATGGCACAAATGGGATATATAGAAACTTCCACCGAACAAATCTACAAATGTTAGACCATTCGGTAGTTTCTTAAGTTCTCTCAATATAATATCTTTACATCTACTCTTATTTCCAAAGAACGGTAACGGCGGTTTTGTAAAATTCATTTATATATAATAATAAAAATGTTTTCACCCGAAAAGTGACAGAAAAGTGACAAAACATGAAAACATATATATTTTGTGAAAAGTGACACATTATATAATGTTTTCGACCCAGAAGAAGGCTTCTTCCCAGAAACAATGGAGGAGGAAGAAGAGGAGGAGGAAATACAAGACTCTATCCAAGAAGAGTCCTCCGAATTCACACCAGAAGACTAACAATTTTCCGAATAAAAACTTCATTTATACTAAACATCTTCGGGGCTAGAGGGCGCAACGCGCCTGGAAGCCCCACTACCTTTTTTTAAGTAATAACAACCAATATGTATATACTTTATATATTATGTTTTTTTTTTAGATAATTAAGCATTTTTGTGCAACTTGTCCACAAAAGTGAGCCACTGGTTTAGGGCATCAAAAGTGTCAATTCGCTCAGCGAAAGCTGAGCTAGCTTCGTTCTCGAAAAAATAGGGAAGAAGTGAAGGAGAGTGATACAGATGTTGACACATTCATATAATTTCAACAAATTTGATCAAATTGAAATTCAATGAAATTCAATTCACTTCATATCCTTCAGTCAGTACATTGACATCCTTCTACATCACAATGATAACTCGGGAATCAATAGTTCTACAACTAACTCAGAAAAAAAAAACAAGATTTTTACTTCCAGCTTGCAGCTTTTAAAAAGTTTCGATGATAAAAATCACTCTACTCTTGTTTATAGATATGTGATGATAGTAGGTAAACATATTCTTATCGATTTTAATAAAAATATTTTTACGAAAATCTGAACCAATTACAGAGTTATTCATAAAGTTTATGCTAACTGTAATTATTTCATCTTTGTTTTATATTTGAATAAACAATTTAATTTAAATTGCATAATATTTTTTGGTTGAAAGACAGGAAACTTAGTTGAGTTTGTATTATTTTTATCGTTTAATTCATCGTATCAGTGAGTGATCCAGATATTTAAGATATTTAGAAAAAAATTATTAATTTGATTAACAAATTTTAATCAAAATAGCAAAAATCTATTTGATAGCTGTAAACAAACAATAATTTTTATTTCAAGCAAAATCACTTATTTTCATCTAAACGTATAAAATTGTCAATTTTATGAAAATAAATTGAAAATCTCATGAAATGTAAAGGAGAGTAATATTTTTCAATTTTCTTTTTTCTTTGTCTCAAATATTTTCTGTTGGGAATTTTCTTGTTATCAAAAAATAATTTTAATATTTGTTTATTTTATTACATACAATAAAATTTTAAAAACTCTATTTCTTCTCAAGAAAATTTTTTTCCTTCATATGAAGAAACATTTTGTTCTCCATTTGATACTGAGTCTAAATCTCGATTTTTGAATTTTCTTCTTTCCAAATTTCTTTTTTCCAAATTAGAAGTTTAATTCAAATTTTCAATAGTTTATATATTTTCTCAAACCGTCTCAGATTTTCTCACTTTTTAGGGATTTTCTCTCAAAATATACAAAAATAGTAATATCAATACATGTGTCTAATATACTTTAAAACCATCGTGACAAAATTCAAAAACGAAGAGTTCTTCTCTCCAAATTTTTTTCAAAATCAAAAAAATGAGATAAAAAAGTACGTTTGGAAAATTCATTTTAGGAATTTTCTCACTTTTCTTCCAAATTGACATCCTTAGCAGAATCAGTGTATAAGAGAAATTTGTTATATATTCCAATTCCTTTGGATAATTTTCTTTGCAACTCGCCCAAAATTTTTTGTAATTTTATAGATTTCTTGAAATTTATTTAACATACATATATATGTGCAACACCTATACTATAACATTCTTTGAATTTGGTGTTCAATCCTAAAAATAACTTATAGATGGTTAGATTAATAACAATCATAGTATAAATACTTGCATATAACCTCTATGCGAGCGTTTTTGGCCGATTTAATTTAAGGTAGATATTTTAATTTCATGAAAACATAAGGTATTCAATCTCAGAATGTCTTCAATAATTATTTTTTTTAATATATCGTGAACTACATGCGCAGAATCATATTTCAAGATTATTTCTACTATAGCCACAAAATCTATTAGCTTTTTTAACATCTTATTTCCGATTTCAGATTTCGATGCAATTTTACAACAATTTCCTTGACTTTGAGTGACTTTTTGGAATACGTTAGCCAACCCTTTAGTATCATGAATAAAATTTAATATTTTTCATGTCCAGCTTCATTACATTTTCATCCCAAGCCGGCGTGAAAAGATATTCTTTTCAAAAATCGGATTTTTGCAATAAGTCAAAGGAATTTGGGAGATATCTTCTCCCTAATGCCATCTATAATTGCTTGAATCGACCTTCCACACAGTTTCTTTTCTTAGTAATGATATTACAATTCTTGTTTCCATATTCAATACATGTAAGCGTTACAATTATCTCATTATTGTTCTCCTTCTCCACATCAATAATAATCGATGTAATTCGTTATTATAAAAATAAACAATACAAGAAACGCATGACTGGAAGAAAGGTTTTAGTATTAGAAAACGATCAATGGATATCAAAATCATGGTCAGATCTCAATATTGGCGATATAATTAAATTACAAAACGGTGATTATGCGCCAGCTGATCTTATAATATTGAATACTGCTGATAATCAACAGTGTTCAATCGAATTATACTTAATTGATGGCTCTCCTCAGTGGCAGCCAAGAACTCCGATAAATTTTACAACAGATATCAAAGAAAATCCAAATTTTCTCCTGCATAGCATTCGAGTAGAGCATTACGAAGAACAATTTGTTCCTATTTCTGAATTTAATACGAAATACAATTTTTTTGCAAAATTGGATTTCAACAAAATAACATACGATGTAAATAATACAAATTTCGTCGAAAGATACTCTGCATTTTACCATAAAGGAGAAATCATTTGCGGTGTTGTTTTTACAGAATCAGATTGTTTATCCAATTATTCAATGCACACTCAATATAAAACATCTCGATTTGAGAAAGAACTCAACAAGCTAACAACATGGCAAATCTATTTTCTCATTTGTTTTGCATTTTTGATAACAATTTTTACAGATTTTTATCAATCTCAATTTGGTATCTTTTCTGCATCAGATCTACAAATATTTTTACTGTTTGCTGATCATTTTTCTTATTACATCATTCTTTTATCCCCTTTAATTTCGATACAAATTTTCACTGTTCTGGATCTCATAATTTTATTGAATTCTCAGATCATCCAGACACATTATGAACGAGCCTCCATATTCAGTATTGATTCTTTGAGTGAATCAACAAATATTAGTTCAATAATCACTTCAAAATCGATGATTTTAGAGCGAAAACCATGTTTGAAGAGGATATTTCTTAATAATACAATATACGGAACAGATATTACTGCTAAATTACTGTCAAGAAACATCGAAAACGATATTTTACAAAATAAACCACTGATGAAAGACTTTTACGACCAAAACCTTGTCATGAGTCAAGATAATGTTATGTTCTTCCATCATATATCACTTTGCCACTCCGCTTCCATTGTTGGAAGCAAAAACAATTTTAATTACATTTCTAGATTTCCAGATGACGAACAATTACTTAAACTTGCAGCTAATTCAGGTTATTTGCTTGTAGGAAGAACACCAAACGAAAGTAAAGTCCTTATAAATGACAAGACACATACTTTCAAGACTAAAAAAATATTTCACAGCTGTGTGAGACATCCAAGAATTTCCATTATAATTGAAGATGAAAACGGTAACTTGATTTTGCTTTCGAGAGGTGTTTATAAGGTTATGCTTAATACTGTGAAAAATATTGAACAGTATTCACATGTATACGATTCATTCCATGAAAACGGGCTTCATGTTGAAGTTTGTTCATATAAATTTTTGACACAGCGAGAATTAAATAATTTCGAACAAAAAATTGATTCACTTGGAGAAGGGAACAGTGAATTTGAGTTTGCATTTATCGAAGCATTAGAATCACAGAGTACTTTTATATCCATGCTTGGTTTCGAAGATGTTCCAAGAGATGGTTGTTTGTTATTCCTTTCTCGCTGCAAAAAAGCATTTAATCAAATTATTATTAGTTCTCAATCGAAAGGAACATCATTAATCATCACGGAAATATCATTGGGATTACTAGAAAAGCCTATTGTAGGAACAATAAAAGGCAATATTCCAGAAGATGTTGATATTTCCATCTCTTATATAATGGAGAATTCAAATTACGATGTTTTGATTATCACAGGAAATGCAATTGTGCATATCAAGTTTCAGAGATAATCATGAAGACGCCAAACATTATATTGCAAAGAGCAGGACCATTACAAGCAGCCAAATTTGTTGAATATCTTCAGATATTTACGAAACAACACGTTTTAGCTGTTGGTCATTCTATGTATGATTCATCTTTCATGAAACAATCAAATGTTTCTGTTTCAATTCCTGCAAGTGATTTGAAGCCATGTAATTTAGTTTGCGACATGTATGTTAATGATTTCGACCAATTGGCCGATATAATCTTTTATTACAAGAGTTCATTACGTGAAAGAATCAAAACAATGATTGAACAAATGACAATTCGAGATTTTTGTTTGAGTTTTTTACTTGTTGTTTTTTATTTGTTTAATTATGATTGTTTCACATGTAGAAATGTTTGCAAAGAAATATATCATTCAGGAAATAATAATTTAGTATTTCCTTTATTTGTTTTATTGACAATTACAAACTTGTTTACTGTTATACCTTTGTTGTTACGATCTATTTTTAATCAATTTTTGCCGAGAGAAGAAATAATTGACGAATTACCGAACTACAAAGAAGAATGCAAATTTCCAATAACTTTGAAATTCTTTACTTATATTTTGTTGTTGACTTTGAGTTTCTCTGTTATTCTTGTTTATTCCACTCATTATTACTTCAATTTATGTGAATATTCAAATTGCCCAAGATCTGTTTATTATTTTGAAATCATTTTTGTTCAGTTTTTCGGAATGATTTCCATTTTGATTCCAACAATAACTACTTTGAACATTCCATCTATTTTGATAGGAATGATGAATATCATTGGATTCATTTCAGTTTGTTTCCTTTTCTCCTCGAATAACTCTTTTGCATATTACTTTGGCGGATGCCAAAGTTTGTTTTCAGATCGAAAATCTTTTTGGTTCATTTCATCCTGGTCTTTGATTCTTTTCATTATACAATTCTTGAGAATAAAGATATTTGGCAACAAATCGTCTCGCCACAAAGATTCTTTCTTCTCTCATGATAATCATGAGCTTTTATAGCTCCGATTCATATATTTTATTATTTATTTTATTTAGAATATATTCATGAATAAAGTGTTTTTTTTAATTAAATTTTTTATAGTCCCATCTAATTAAATCTGTTGTATATATGCTGCATAATATGAACATATAAAGTATTAGAATCTGCCAAAAAAATTATCTACATAGATAAATTTACAGCTTCAACAAATGAAGTATTATAAACTTTATTAACAATATTTTTGATGTCTTCCAAATTCAATTCTTCTTTTTCATATTTTTTATATGGATTGTTATATTCTAAATTAATTGCTGAACAAAAATATGTTGAATAATGAGATATAAATAAATCTAACGACTTAATTGATTTAAATGTTGAATAACCTCTTACGGTTTGAGTGAAATTGTTTTCATTAAAGTAACAATTATCAACAATATTTGGTTTTGAAGAAAATAAATAGTTTCCTTTATTATCTATGAATGAACAATTTGAATATGTACATATAGAAAAGTAATAACAATTAATTATAACACTATCACTTCCCTTACATACATTGCTTAAATAATTACATTTTGTAATAGTAACTGTTCTAGCAAAATGCGCTATTCCACAATATTCTGAAGATGTAGTATTTGATGCTGTTGCAAATTTCACAATTATTGTACCTTCTGTTTCTGTAATGCCATATGCAGCAACTCTAGGAATTTTGTGATAAGATGTATTCATATTACTTATTTGGATAAATCCATATTCATGACAAAGAGAAGCATAGCGTCCATTGCATTTTGAAACCGAACATTCAAATGCGTAATTTTTATTGTTACTATTTTCAACTGATTGAATGTAATATGCGCATCCCCAATTATAATCTAGAATAGTTGATGAAAGTGATATACAAATATGAATCAAGACACATTCAGATTCTTTGATATAAATTGATCCACCACTTTGCGTGGAGCTGTTATTGTAAAATGTACATGTTTCGAGTAATACTTTACTCTTCGAATCAAGGGAAATTGCTGTATTTCGATAATGGAAAGAAAATATTGCATGATGAATGTAATAATTGCCAGTTCCTGATATAGTTTCGTTATTGCTTTTACTATTAGGCTCAATTAAAGGGTAATATTCTGAAAAACTTCGTTGAAATTGCATAAAGCTTTGTGGAGTGGTTTGATTTGTTCAATACGCAGATCTGGACATTGATTCATGCGAATAATACCGAAATTACGGCTAAATATAGCTTTGCGAGTTCAGGCCTTCTCAATTTTGAGAGGGATGATGAAATTTGGTAAATAATTTACAAATAAAACAATTATTTAATATAAAAATACAATTATTCTTCATCATTTTTGTCTTCTTCTTCATTTGATTCTTTTGAATACTGATCGAAAAGAGCTTTCATTTCAGAACTAGGCATATGATGGTGGACATTACTTACATAGCCATTTTCAAACAAAATTCTGGCCACATTCACTGCATTAACTTTGATGCAACTTTCCATTGCAGTTTCCATGTCTTTTTGACTGCTTTCTTTGATAAAGAGCTTTGCAAGTTCAATATCATCTCCAAATGCTGCAATATGAATAAGATTTCCCTTGAAACCACTATCTTTCAAAATTTTAATTGATTCAAAGCTTCTGCACATTGATGCTGATAACATTGGATCATTCCATAGAGATCGGAAGAACTTCTTGTTGTTCTCTACGTAATATCTAAGTAATAAAGAATATCCGATGGAAGCAGCGAGAGTTACATCGTAATCGTACTTAACAAATCTTGTACTGGCTCTTAACGGTTCAGTTATGTAGAAATAAACTGCTCTTGTGTTGAAACCGTAGAGAGCTGCATCAATTGTCGCTTTTAGATCAGGAGTATTCATTAATAACCAGTCAGCAATGCCATTCTTATGATATTGGATCGCATTTGTTAGTAAAATGTTCCCAGAACCAATTTCTCGTATACAAATATGTATAATTTCGTAATTTCCGCCGATTATTGCATATCCGGCAGTATCATGACTAATACCTGATGTACTGAGTTTCAAATACTTGAAACATTGGACGGAACCATATAAACAAGCAAAGCCAATCAAAGAAACTTCGAAATTTATGTTGAAATGGCAATCATTAAGTTTCAATCGCTGGTTGAAGTCGAAATTAGGAAGAGAGGATACTTGAACAAGCTTATCTATGTCATCATGAAAAATTATTGATTGTAATGTATCATCTTCGTAGAATTTAAGAAGTTGGTCCTCAGATAATCCTTTTGTTGTATCAGATCCGAAGTATTTTGCATATAAATCTGTAAAATATGAGCAGCTTTGGAATTGTTGAAGAGAATAACCATTATGTAAATAAACAAAGCGAGCTAATGCAATATTGAGATGAACTAATGTATAGGTAATTGGATATTTTCCGATCTTTTCCATCATTTGTACGTATAATAAACCAAAATATCGTAATCTTGTGGGATACATAACGCAAAAGTTTATAACTGTTAAGTAGCATTGTTCATATTCATTATCGTTAAAGTTTTCTTTAATAAATTTAACTATTTCTGGAATTTGTTCTTCATCTCCATCAAGAATGAGAGTTTCCATTTCGTCGTATATAACAAAGCTATCTGGAATTGGTAAGTCTTGAAATAGTTTTTGGCCAGATGGAACTTCCATAAAAATTATGTCACTTTTCAGCCTTGTGCCTATTGCAATACAATTAAATTCTATTAACAGAATGAAATTTTAAATATAAAACTAGTAATTTGTTTGATAATTGATTGGCTTCCAATTTGGATTGATTTTGAAGGTTTTTTATCTAACAATTGATACAAAAATGTAAGATAATTTTATCTATGAGAGAATTCATGATATTCTAACAAATTTAATTTTGAAATTTAAAATGAACTAATTTTTATATGCACGCTTTTACTAAAATGCCGTTCGTATGAAAATAAACATCAGAATTAGTTTAAATGATATTGCTAATGTCTATTTTTTTGAAATAACAAATTTATTTTCTTTTCAGAAAGCCATTTCAACAGTATAGCTTTCAAAATCTTTGAAATCATCTGGACTCGTTACAGAATTTTCAGGAACTGGCTGCGGTAAGCTGATTTTTGCAGATTTGCAATTTTGTCTTTTATTCTTCTTCTTTGATATAACAGTCCATCGATTTTTAATATTAACATTAGTTCTTCCTGGCAAAAATTCTGCAATTTTGCACCAATGTGGACCAAATTCCTGAACTTTTTTCTCAAGTATTTCGTCCTCTTCTGTTGACCATGGTTTCATGCTGATACCTGTTTTCAAATAATGTCTATATCTTTCTATAACTTGTCTTGGTGATCTTCCTTGTAAATTTGCCGCAATTATTTTCCAATTGCTTATATGAAGGCAATTCACAAAGTACAAGATGGTTTTATCCTCATTGGCATTAAATTTATTCTTAATTTGCCTGTTTGAAACATCTACAAATTGATCAAACATGGAATTGATCTGGAACTTGAGAAAAAATGACTTTCAATTCAATTTGCTTGATTTTTTGAATGAATATTAACAAAAAATCGAAAAGATCAAGAGAAATATTATTCTAACAACATAGTTGTTTTTATTTTAGCATATTTTAGAGATTTTTGTGAGCTGCCCGACATTTGAATTGATAGCATGAAATTGTATTGGATATAGAAATTTCAAATCTAATAAATTGTAGTGAAAATGCAATTTTAAAGATATATTGTATAATTTTTATAACTTTTGAGAGTGGATTTTTTGAGAGCACCAGAATCGGTTATTGATTTTTTGATAGCAGTTAGAATGAGGTTTTTGAACAACAAAATGCTTTTTCTGAGTGAAAGATATGGTTCTAATCGTGTCTCTGAAGCAATACTAATATTGTTTTTGCTATAAAAATAAAATAACTGTTGAACTTCCGATATTTGAATTTGTTCTCAAAATATCGAATAAATTTCAAGATATTTTAATTACAGATTATGAAACAAATAATAATACATAAAAATTATGATTTTAATTGAATTTTAAGCAAGTGGGAGATGCATTTAAATACAAAACACTTATCGAATTTTCTTGATTTTTTTCTTCTTCATAAAAGTGGTCTTAAGAATTGAGAACCCCATATAAAAATCAATTCAATTTTTCCAATTTCAAAAATTGAGTGGAATTTATACATTAATATTACTTATAAGCGAAAATGAATATGTTACAAAAAACAGATTCAAAAATTGAATATAATTCAAATTTGTCGTTCTCAAAATATTATACAATTAAATTTCTTTTAGATCTTTGAGTGTTTTAGAATAATAAGAATATATTACGATATTGAACAACTTATCATATCATTTTTGACAATAACAGCGGTTATCATAACATTTTTTTCACATCTAAGCACACTTAGTTATTGATAGTGAATAAGGAAATATTTAAATTTTCAATAATTATTCATTATTTGATCACTTACCATTTTAATGAGTTAATTTCTTTACACACATGTGAAATATGCATCTATTACACCAAAAATATATATACTTTGCTTGGCATCTATGAATACGGAATATTTTAATTTCAGAGTATATATCTACATGTCATTTTGTTTAATATGCTATGAGATATTTTATATTATAAGATTACCCTCTTATAGACACCAAAAAAGATAAATATTCTTTGTCATTTTGAAATCGTGTGGATGCTTTACGAATATTTTATTAATTTTGTTGTAAACAGAAATTCATCAAAAGTGACACCTCAGAAAAGTTAAAATATTGAATTTTTGGAACTTTTGATAGAGCACGTTTTTAAATATTAATTAAAGTAAATGTATATTTTGTAAAGATTCTTTTTAATAAAAAAATAAAATTTTGAAGAAGAACACAAAATCTTCTGAAAAATAATATCACATAAACTCATATTATTTTCTAATAGATAACTATTTTATATAAAAATCAAATTCAATGATCTTAAAAGCGAAGGATAAACCTCAAAATTTACGAATATAATGAGTGGGAATATAATGTTTATCTATCATAAAACCATATGAAATATCAATTTTTGCTTTACGCCTAATTTTTGACGACAATTAGCAAAAAATGTTAAATGTTAACACTCAGTCCATTTGAATATGAAAAATAAAATTGACTTTGATTAAATGTTTTTATTTATCATGCAATTCTTCTTGCGACCAAAGATTTGAATAAAAGTTCAAAAAATAAGATAGCTTAAAAAATAATATACGGTAGTGTTTACTAATAGATGAATAGTATATAAATTCTATTAAAATGGATTTGATCCAAAAAAATATATAAAATTTGATCATAAATAAAATCGTTTTAAATTACTTCTTCATTTAAATTATAACAATTATTTTTGATTTTATTTATCATCCACATTCAAATTTGAATCTTATCACAAAAGAAGGACCACTTTTATGACTACTGCCAAATCTATAAGCAGAGAATGGCTATTTGAAGCTAAAAGAAGAATAGAAGAAGGTGAATCTTACAAAAGTGTGGGAAAGGAAGTTGAATTGGAAAATGGTAAAATTAAATTGAATGTTGCCGAAAATACAATAAGAAGAGCATTTCAACTTTAAGAAATCGAATTACCAAAAGTTAGTCGCGGCAGAAAACCAAATCCACCAACATTTGAGCAAAAACAATTAATTAATTCTTGTGTTTCACAATATAAAGGAGGAATTTCAAAAACTTATTTATTGATTAAAAGGTTTCAAAATATTGCTCAAAATCCCGATTGTGAGAAAGAAAAAGAAGAAATTGCAAAAGAATTTGAAAATATAGAAGATTTGACAAAAGATCAAATTTTTGACAATTTACAAAAAATAAAGCATCATCAAGTGGAAAAATTTATGATGGAATCAGGTTTATCTTCAAAAAGAGATTACAAACCAGCAGATCCACCTACCAAATATCGTGCCATATCAAAGAATTTGATATGGCACTGCGATATTCATTACCTTCACGGTAATGTTTCTTTTCCATTTTTTGCCATATTGGATGATATGACACGTAAAGTTCTCAAAACTAAATTATTGAAAAACAAGTCTTCCAACTCAACAGCGAAGGTTTTAAGAAAACTTTTAGAGGAGTTTATTCCTTACTGCATCTGGACCGATAACGGCGGTGAAAACCGCGGTGAATTCGGCCAGGTTATGCAGGAAAACGGAATAGTTTGGAAGCACACCTTGCCGTATATGCCAAGACAGAACGGCAAGGTGGAGCGCCTGTGGCCAAGCTTAGAAAAGTTTTTGCCAGACGAGTTGGATGATATTCAACAAATCAAGGACTCAGTTCAGCAGTTCATTGAAAAATACAACAATACACCACATTTATCTCTCGATATTAATCCAAAAACGAATAGTAATTACACTCCTAACGAATTATTCGAAGTTTCAAAATTTTGGTATGAGCCAGAAATGCAAAAATGGGAGTTATATATCAAAGACGAATGGGTCTTAGCAAAATTTGAATAATTACATCATTTTAAATGACTAGTAAACAATTTTATTTATGATCAAATTTTATATATTTTTTTGGATCAAATCCATTTTAATAGAATTTATATACTATTCATCTATTAGTAAACACTACCGTATATTATTTTTTAAGCTATCTTATTTTTTGAACTTTTATTCAAATCTTTGGTCGCAAGAAGAATTGCATGATAAATAAAAACATTTAATCAAAGTCAATTTTATTTTTCATATTCAAATGGACTGAGTGTTAACATTTAACATTTTTTGCTAATTGTCGTCAAAAATTAGGCGTAAAGCAAAAATTGATATTTCATATGGTTTTATGATAGATAAACATTATATTCCCACTCATTATATTCGTAAATTTTGAGGTTTATCCTTCGCTTTTAAGATCATTGAATTTGATTTTTATATAAAATAGTTATCTATTAGAAAATAATATGAGTTTATGTGATATTATTTTTCAGAAGATTTCATTCTATATGCCTATGAAAAGTACTCTCAAAACTAACTTTTTCCTAATTATAATTAAATCTAGAATATTGTATTATGTTTAGTATTATTTCATTTTTCTCATTCAATTTAGAATTTACAAATGTCAAAAAATTGAGAGCTGTCACTTTTGATGAATTTCTGTTTATTACAATTTAAGACATAAATTAATCAAACTGATACATTAGCATTCTATATATTTCAAAAATCTGATTCTTTCAAAGGCGTCTGTTTTCGAAATGGAAGTCTTGGAGTCTTTTGTTTCGAATGTATCATTATCGGATGTTTTTGAAGTTAGAATTGGTAATGAACCTCCTTTCAAAGCGAAATGTGCTATTAAATTTGTATTTTTGTTCATATATGCTAAAGAATCAACAAAAATTATCTTCATTCCAGATTATAGTCCAGCTATAAGCTTTGGGTCGAAGAAATCCGGGCAGATTCTGATGCTTACACCTATATATGATGAAATTAATTCATTAATTTTTCTAGAGAGCGAAGTATCTACAAGCATTGACGCGTTTTTCAATTTATCAGCTGGAGCAATTCTTGCACTTGATAAATTTTATCAACTATTTACAGATTTTATTCAAATAAAACATCATTTAATCGGTTTTATTCCACCAAAGATCGAAAGACCAATACACTTAGTATTAGAAAAGGATCAAATACTATTTGATGATAATGAAATTGTTATTTACACCTATCAAATTACTAAAAGACTTCAATTCCATATATTAGACAATATAAACGATGAATTTTCTAGGATAAAACTCATTAACTACAATGAAGATAACATTCGACTACAATTATTCTCAGAAAAAGACGTTCTAGTTTTATTTCTTGCTTTTTTAGTAAATAAATACATAGCTACAGAAGAAATAAATAATCAAATCACAAAACTTAACTCATCGCTATCGGTTGATGGACTAAATGAGACTCAACAAGAAGAAAATGAAAATAAAATCGGATCTTTAGAAACAAAAGTCAAAATAAACACGAAAAAGGATGTAAAAGAGCAAATACAAGAAGAAATAGTTCAAATTACAGATAATAATCTAATAGATAACTCTTCAGAGAAAAATGACAAATTAATTCAAGATTTGAAATCGAAATTGACAAATTACAAGCGAAAAGTTTATACAAATCAAGACAAAGAACCTGTATTAGAGAAAATCTCTCCAATTCAAGAAGAAAAACAAAAAATTTTTATCCCAGAAAATTCGAATTTCATCAAATCACAAGAAAATCTTATTGATCTATGCAATAACAGGTTGAAATATCCATACGCCAACCTTTCTCATTACTTTCAAACCCAAAAAAGTATCCAATCTTGTTTATTCCTGATTTATCATACAATCCAAATGATCCACATAATTTTCTTAATGCTTATAAGTTAGCAGATCCAGTAACTTCTTTCAGAATGTTAGTAGGAATGCTAATTAACAATTTTACCGGAAAATCTTTGGCAGAAACATACGGCTTGCATACTAAATTCAAGAATATAAATGAAGAGGCATGTACTGTTGTTTCTAATATGGGAGGCCAACTTCCTTCTTTTATTCTTGATAATCCAAGTATAAAAAGCTTTTATAGAAGATCATCTATGATCCATGATGATAATTTACTTCGTTCCTTGCCATACAAAGAAGTTTCAATCATAGAAAAATGTAATCCTCTGTATAATTTCTCTTATAATCCAATTTCTGAATTTAGAGAAGTAATATTTGATGCATTACATTGTTTAAGAACAAAGAGACTTAAATCGATTGATTTCTTCAAAGATTTTGCAAGAATTTGGTTAGATCTTCTTGAAAATCACGTGAAATCATCAGCAGAAGCGTTTTTACTAGAAATTTCAAACGAAATTAGAACAGGTGAGAAATGGTCGATATTTCCTTCCCAAAACATGACTTTTTCCGATAAATGGAATCTTTTTTTGATAAATTCGATTTCGGATGATGAAATTGAGTCGAATTTACTCAATATATTGAAACACCCTGATACAATTAAGAAGCACTATTATGGTTGTGCGCAGATGAGAAATGAAGCCGTAATCAAAGAAATTATTGTTTTTACTCATATTTTCCAACAATTTCATCTCAAAATATCAAAAGAAGATATTATCAAAGAAGACATACAAGAAAAATCAATAACTGATATGTATTTATATTATTGTTAGTAAAGTTTTATGCGTAATAGAAAAATTTCCAACTTTTTTATTGCATTTTGAGAAAAATGACTGTTATCATGAGCTTATTACATCAAATATATGGACTATTGTATGCTACCCTATGTAATTATCTTCAAATTTAGAAAAACCTTGCTAGATTTCTGTAATCTATGAGGAATTAATATACAAAAATTGCAATATTATAAACTATGCAAAATTTCTATGTCAAATTGTTACAATGCAATTTAGTGTATTTGATATTTGAAGATGAAATAATATTTTGTTATATGAAAGATTGTGTTTATATATGAATTATATATCAGTTGATATCATATAAACATTAATAAGACTATACTCATCCTTTAAAAAGATTATAACGAAAAAAATATTTCTCTATTTTGATTAAATGCATATTAAAGAGAAATACGAAGCCATTTTACTTAATTTAGATCTTTAGGAGAATATAATCATTATAATTGGGCAGCCAATTATCATGTGCAACGTGTAAATACTGAATGTAGTAACAAGAGGTAAAGGTAGACAATATTAGTATTTAATTATCAATTCAAATATAAATAGATAGATAAGAGGAGGAAGAAAATTGCGCCGGAAGCAACAAAGAAGAATTTTCTCCTATTTAACTTTTTAGGTGATACTGATTTCTTCGAACCTAATGCTGTACGTTCCTTAATTGATGGGCTAACTGCGCGTGGTTCCTTTGGAGTCTCAAACTGGGAAACGTTCTTCTTCTTATTTGCGATAACAGGTGAAACAGATCTTGGACTTAACTGTTGTGCTGGTGAAGATTCTCTGCTTCCATGATTCTCTATTTTTGGAGAATTGGGGTAATTTGTGTTGTGATAATTTTCTAAAGCTTTAATTAACGTTTTTTTAGTTGGCTTACCATCAACATTGATGCTGTATCTTGTGCAGGCATCCTTTAAATCTGCAATTGCCATGCCATTGAGATTATGCCAGTCAATGCTTGAATCGCTCATTTTAAATTTTATCTCATTTTATGAGGGCGTATCCTTCAGAAAATAAAAAATCGGAGAAAATTAGAAATTCTATTAGTATACTGCATGAAAATATAAATAACATCATCAAATTGATATATTAAACCGCAAACCCAAAATGATTTTGGCGCCAAAATTTGTTTTAGTGCGAATATATGACAATCATGTTTGACATATGTTGCAAAGGCATTTTGCTCTCCAAATTTGGATTTCACTGTATATTTAATTCATTTTTATGTAAATATTGTAAATAATGAAATTTGTAATGGAAGATATTAATATTCCCATTGAAAACGACATTTTCACTGCCAAATCTTCCCAGAAAGTAATAGCTTCAACACAATATTTTGAATTTATGAAATATTACTCAAATCAGATATTGATATTCAATTAATTGTGTTATATTTCAGTTTGTGACCTTAAATACCATAAAGAATAATTCAAAAAAGAGGTTTTTTGATGAGAATTCAACGCATTGTTTTGAAAATATGAAATATTACTCAAATTAGATATTGATATGCAAAGCTATGTATCAATATTCAGTTGGTGCCTCTCCGTGTCATAAAAAACAATTCAAAAAAGATATTTTTGTTATGATTTCTATAAAACATTCATAATTGATATATAAGAATCCAATAAATATGCTCCCTGTTAGCTATATATTCCATATTATCATATGATTTGTATAAAAACAATATCATGAAATAAATTTATAACGAAAGCAGTATAAACTTGACAAAAATGAGTGAAATGCAAATTAAGATTTACGGAGAGATCGGAAAAGGGCGCCCCTCTCCGAATTTTGCCCAGACAGTTGTTTACAAGGCCCGTAAAAATAATACTGTCGAGTTTGTTGCAGCAAAAACTGTTGATGCAGTGAGATTAGAAGAAATTTCAAACGCAGTGCATATTCAGCACAATCTACATCACGAAAATATCGTGCAATTTTATAACTGGTATCAAGTAGAAAACAGTATCTTCTTAGTTCTCGAGTATTGCCCTGGAGGATCTTTATCTGACATTTTAGAGCGAGATGTCCGTCTTCCTGAAAGCGTTATACGTATTTTTGCAAGTGATGTTGCAGCAGCTTTACTTTATTTGCATAAAAATGGAGTTTATTTCACGAATTTTGATACGAGAAATTTCATTCTCGATGAAAATGGCATTGTTAAGCTATCTGACTTTTGCCGTGCCGTTATTGACGGAAATTACTGCAATCTTACTGACATAGATCCAGAATATCTCGAAGTTTTACCAGTAGAAATTATTGATTTTAGTTCGAAACCTAATATCGCTACAGACTTATACGCATTTGGTTGCTTACTATACAAACTTGCCTGTGGACAGACTCCTTTTGCAGGAGAAGCACAAGAAGAGTTAGAATATAAAATTAGAAACACAAGTGTTGAATATATTCCTTATTGCTCGCCAGAACTCAACGATTTAATTAAAAGACTTACAGATAAGAAGGCTATAAATAGGCCAACATGGTCAGAATTAATAGCTCATCCATTTTGGAAGAATATCTTCGCTTCTCGTGACGATTACGAGGACTTTTCGAATTTCCCAACCATGGACTTCTCGATTCCTGCTTATGAATCATCAGAAATCACGGAAAATGAGGAAGATATTTTAGATATCGAGCCGAAAGAGAATTTGGCAAATTCAATTACATTCAGAGCATCCAGTGTTTTCTCTTCTATCTCAGAAAAAGTCGATACAATCCGAAATCTTCTTTTACGTTGTAATCAACTCAAACAACAGTCTGTTGTCATGAACCAAGCCGTTGAAGCCATAAATCTTCCTAGTGTCAACGCCTCCCAAATGCCAGTAACTCTAGAAGCCATCAAAACTGGAAATCAAGAGACAATTGACACAATTGTTAAACAATTATCATCAAAGGACGTAGTTAAGCGACAAAGTCCACTGATAACATTCTTAATAACAGGTGCAAAGAACCCTGATGTAGCTACTGGCCTCTCAACGAATGGATTTTTGTCATCAATTTTGAATTTGGCGGTGAAGTCGAAGCACGTTTCAATTGCAGCTGCTCATTGTATCCTATTCGGTACAATAATACAGTCCGCAACTAAAATAGACTTCGAAAACCAAGTAAATAATGAGATAATCTACGGAGCCCTTGAAAAACTGTCAAATTCACCTAAGGACAAAGTCAAAAGGAAAGCCATATCAGCAATTTCAGCTCTTTTAACGTTTTGTGCCAACAACGGATACCAAATTCCACAAAAACTCATAGACGCGATATTTAACTCGCTTAAACCCTCAAGTGATGATGTATGTCGCCATTACGCACTAAAAGCTGTTGCAAATGTATGTTTATCATTACATCCAGAAATATTAGATTTAAATCTTCTTGAAAATGCATTAACAAAGCTTGACGTAACAGCACAACCGAACAATGCTATGGTAGAAAGTCTTTCACTCGCAGTTTGTGCATTTTTCAAGGACAGAAAACCTCAATCTTCTTCAAACGAGTATTTGCAGCGATTAACGAAGACATTGATAGTCAAACTTGGTGCAACGACAGCATCACTTGGTATGGTTATTGCTTGTGAGTGCGATATCCTTAATTCATCAAAAGAAGAATTAACAATTGCGTTTAACAAGTCCGTTGGCGAAGTTAAGTGGCGATCTATGATTGCATTGTGTTTGTTGTATCGAAACAGTATGCCAAACTTCATGTCCATCTCAGAACGCGTATTTTCACACGCAGATAAGTTGCAATACGACGAACCTCAAGTTTACGAGGCATTTATTCGATGGTACTGTGATTATTGTGATGAAATACTTGATGCTTCGTCAAAGGGACAGTACTTGAACTTAAGAATCATCGTAGATTCACTCAAACAGAAAAACAACGCCATGAGAATCTATCGTCCTAAATTTGATCGAAAATTGAGAGACATTCTTAAAAACGAACAATTCATATTAGGTGGCAGTGAATTAATCTTAGAAATATTCTTACAATCATTTATTTTAGGATTATCCGATTCCACAACAATTGTCAATGATTTACTTTTAAATACATTACAAAGTCCAATCAAAGATGTCCGGTATGATTCATTACGAATCTTGACTATGGCTACAAGTGATTTAAATGTTGATTCCACCGAAACAAATGTTATTTTCAACCAACTTTCAAAACACATTGAATTTCTTTTGAATGATGATTTAGTTATTTGTGAATGCTGCTTTAAAGTATTAGATAATTTGTTGTTAATTGATGAATGCCAAGTTGTTGGATTACTTTCAACGAAGAACACTATTATCCAAAGTCTTTTCTCTAAGATCGGAACAATCAACACTTCTATAAAGATCTGTGAACCATTGTTGTCATCTATTTCATTTGAAAACATTATTTCATTGAATCTTATTCCACAAATCATGAAATCTATTGATCAAAGTGATTTCATCAAAGATAGTATTGATTTGTTGTATACATTCCTTCTTATTGTTGAAGATTACATTGAAGCAAACAAAAACAATCAAAAGGAAATCAAGAAAACTATCAAAAGTGTTAACTCTCTTTCAACAATGGCTCCGAAATGCGCTAGTTTAGTTTTAAAATATCCTAAATCCGCTGATTGTTTGAAGATGTTAATTAACATTTTCACTCCATTACCAGGCCAGACCGATGTTGTTATTGAATCCGCATTTCAACCATTTGCAACAGCATTGATGAATGGTCATTGTAAACCCGAATGCGCGAACTCACTTAAATTAGTTATTGAACAACTTAAGAAATCAGCATTCAACTGTAACTCTATGAAACTTAAACTTAAATGTTCATCTAAACTTATGTCAGCTCTTCGCACAGCAGCACAGAATGGTGTTGGTGAACTTCGTAAGACTACAGAAGGTGCATTGAATGTAATTCGAAGTTAAAAATCTAATTATATGTTTTTTTGTAAAAATAATTCTTTTATCAAATTTATACTTTCATTTCTTTTATATATGCAGTAAGATTTATAAAATTAAAGATCACTTAAATCAATTAGCTTATTCTTGAAAATAACATCTTGTTATAAAGCCACTCATGCAAAGCTTTTGGTTTGTATCTAACAAAGTAAATAAATGGATCAATATCTAACAGTTTTCTACTATTTCTATTGGTTATATAAAAAGTGATATATCCATTTTGTCATTGAAAATATAATGAGAATCGGATAACTTCCCCCTGGGGGACAAAACAATATCCTTAAATATATGTCAGAATCTCAATTGAATTCAATACTTACTTGAAAATCAAAATTCAATGCACTTTTGTGTTGCCAAATTTTGACATAAAATTTTATTTGTTTATAATTTTCAAGAAACTTTTAAGTTGTTAGGGTTTTAAGCTTATTCTATATAATAAATTAGCAGCCACTATTCTATTTTATGAATTAGCGAATGCTTATGCACTTCAAAAGAGTTTTTCTGATTATTACGGCTCAATTGAGCATTATAATAAAACAGAGAACGAAACCATATCAGAACATAAAGGGAATTATTACATTCATCATGCAATATTTTCTTTCCATTATAATCAAACAGCAATTTACATTCATTATGACGGCAAAGTATTACTCGAAACATGCACATTTTGCAATAACAGCTCCACAGATCATGGTGGATCATTCTATATCCTTCACCCTGATCGTATCTTAGTTCATATTTGTTTATTACTTTCAGAAAATAAAAATCCAAATAAAAATGGATGTGGATATTACATTTGTTCAGTTCAAACTACTTACAAGAAAAGTTATGCTTTTGAATGTTCAGTTTCAGAATGCAGTGGATACTGGGCTTCTCTTAAACATGCTTTTGGAGATATCCAAGTAAGTAATATTAATACATCTTATCACAAAATTACTTGTTATGCTGCATATGCCATTACCAATCCAACAGGAACAGGAATTATTAAATTCACAACAGTATCAAATACATCATCTACATTTTTTGCTGGAATGTTAAATCATAGATGTAATAATACAAAATGTAATTATTTAAACAATGAATATACAGGAAGTGATAATGGAATAATTTATAGTTATAAAAATTCAACTACATTTTCACATTGTTCATTCATAGGAAATAAAGGAAACTATTTATTTTCTCCAAAACCAATTATTATTGATAATTGTTACTTTATTAATAACACTGTCACTCAAACTGTAAGAAATGATCCAATTAGCTATGATTCAATTGAACAATTAGATTCATTTATATCTCATTATTCAACATATTATTGTCCAGCAATAAAACATAATCATAAAACTCAATCAAATAGTGGAGAGTTTATTTCATTTAAGATTCTTCGATTTAGAAATCGAAGGCGTTGATTCCTTTCATTTGTAATGTATGTTCGAATTTATCAGCAAGGACTTCGCAATTGGCTGTGTGAGATATTGACATCACTCTGTCAACATCTTCGTATTTAGTTGAATATATGCATGCAATTGATTATCCGAGAGAGAAACCAACAATGAATATTTGTTGTGGATTCAATGTCTTCTTAAAGTTTTTTACAATGAAATTTAAATCATCTGTTCTTACAGCATCATATAAACGCTTTTTAATGATCTTAGATCGAATATCAATTCCTTTTTGTCGAAGATTACATTGAAGAAAACAAAAACAATCATAAGGAAATCAAGAAAACTATCAAAAGTTAACACTTTTGTGGTGCCATTTTCTGTCATAAAAATTTTATAATAACACAAATTAAAAGTAATTCTAAGCACATGAAATTTGATTTTTTACCATTTTCTGGTTAAAATCAGGACATTTCAAAACTTTATCTGGACAATCATCTGATTACATTGAATGTAAATAGAATTTTTTTTTATTCAGATTTAGAAGAAAGAATAGATTCGAAGTAGTCGATGGCGACATCTTCAACATATGAATTTTGTCCATTGAGTCCTGTACAAATGAAACATGGCCACCTTCTGGAGTGGAAATATATGCAACGTTTTCTGATTCACGGATGAGTTGTTCTGGAACTAATTTTTGTGTTGTGAATGGATCATCTTCTGCATTGAAGATAAGTAATGGAATCTTCGCGTTTTTGATTTTCTTTTCGTCAAGAGTTACAGCGCGATAATAATCTTCTGCATGAGGAAGTCCGAGTTCTTTCGATGTCCACGCTTCATCAAGTTCTCGCAATGTTTTCGCTGACATACATGCTTTTCTTTGTTCTTCTGGAATAAAACTATTCTTAGACAATGTCTTTTTGATCGCTTTAAGCATAAGAGGGATGTAAAACTTCATTTGCAGTGGTCCTTCGAGTTTATCTGCAAGAAGTTCGCAATTGACTGGGTGAGAGATCGACATAACTCCATCAACATCGTCGTATTGAGACGAGTATATGCATGCGATTGATGATCCTAGAGAGAAACCAACAATAAATATATGTTTTGGATTCAATGCCTTCTTAAAGTGTTGAACAAGGAAATTTAAGTCATCTGTTCTTACTGCATCGTATAAACGCTTTGTAGTGATCTTAGATCCATTGGCACCTCTACATGTAGCAACAACAACATTCCAGCCGTGTTTCATTCCTTTGATACACATATTATTCGTGCAAGGTTCGCGTGTTCCGCCACCAAGAGTGTGGCAGACAATAAGAAGTGGTATTTCAGGTGAGATATCACGTTTAAACCAGTCAAGAACAACATTTCCGCCGTCAGGAAATGAAACTTCTTCTCTTGATGGCTTAAATGTAGATTTTTTCCTAAATTGGATACCCCAGACTGTAGAGAAGTGTCCATTGATAAGCCATGGAGTTGGTTTGAATGGTTTCGTGATCGACTTCATTCTTGCAAGAATCGGCGCCATATTTCCGTTCTCATTAACAACGACCTTTGGCTTGTAGCTGAGTGTGAGCCTATAAATGGCGAATAATACTAATAAGATAAGGAGAAAAACAAATAGACCAAAAATCATTTGAAAAAAAACTGCCAAATGATCGCAAGGCAATTGTATTCAAATTAATCTTATTAAAATTGCTGTACTATGTATATTGGTTCAAATTAATTGAACGAATATTTTTTGAGAGTTGGAAACAGTTTTTTTAAATTTTGATTGATTTTTCACTAATCAGCATAGAAATTGAACATTGTTAGCTCTTTGTGGCAATCATTAGACAAAACTATCTGTATGTCATGACTAAAAGAATAAATTTAAGGATAAATTCAGAATGAAAATTAAAAAATAAGTAATAAGTTATAAATATGGGATTAAGTATGTGATTTGCAGGTTTCATATAGTACGTAAACCATACAATATTCGATATAACGCATTAAAATCAGAAAAATGTCAACATTTATTCATCTTTTAATAGATTATGACATATTGAAATGTGCAAAAAAGAACCCAACGATTTGTGCACCAATATCATAATGGAATGATTCGAAATTAATAAAAAAGTAAAATAATGAAAGTTAATTTCCAAAGATAAGGATGCCAACACAGTGCATTTGATCGGTTAGAGAGATTTAGTTTGATAGATTGATTCGAATCCTTCTTAATTCAAAGAAAAACCTAAAAAAGGAAAAATAATCTTGCGATAAGGTGGCCAAGTATGCGATTTCTAGTGAAAACTACACAGTTGCATACCATCGATCAGTATTTTCATTAGATGATTGAATCTGCCTCTACTTTTTATTAAATTTTGTTTATGGAGTAAAATTTTTGAAAGAAAAGTGTAAAAAACGAACAATTGGGTATTCTTCAGAAAACTAAAGAAAAATAAAAAATCTTCTTGAATAAAAAATGGGTTGTGGGAGTTCTGTTCTGCTCCCACACGGCGGAAGATCACAGCTCAGAACTCCAATCAAAGCTCTTTAAGTCAGCAAGTTGACGAAAGTGATTTGATTTCTCTAATTCCTCATTTTTTTGAATTTATCACTAATGGGTGCAAAAAAATTGCCGCACCGAGGAACATGATGCCATCAGTATGCCTAGGGAAGAACTCTTTTCCCATTGTTACTTCAGTATTAAAGCTAGATATGAATACACCTTTCGAAATTAAGTTACCAGTCATTTCAGCGAGTTTATATGGTCAAGGGCGTGTGCTTTTATTTTCACAGATCAATTTAGTATCAAATAAAGCACTTCGATATGAAGATACTTTTAAATTATTATCTAACGCAACAAAATGGATCACAAATGGCTCAGTAGCCATGACACCCTTTTATGCATTGCAATTCGATAAAAATGGCTCAAAAATAGTGACAGAAGCATTCAAAGAACTCGGATTTTTTACAGATTCGGGTGGATTTCTCACAAGTTACAAGAATTTCAAAGCTCTTCTTATTCCAAGTACCATAGAATTTAACGATCAATCAGAATTCGACAATGTACTTAATTTTGTAAACGAAGGAGGCGGATTAATAATATTTTATGTTAATAATGACCTAAATTCACTTACATCGTCAATAAATCAGCTTCTTTATAAATTTAATCTCGCATTTACTTACGGAATCATGAATGACGAAGAAGATTTCATGGATTCGATTTTTGTCTACAATGTCTTCACTTATGTTCGCGAATGCAATCTCCTTTCACAGATAGCGACCTACAAACTCACAATCGAGAACGACAACCCAGATCCTGTGGCTTTAGACGAAATTATAACAAATTTACGTTATTTCATCATGGTTTGCGACAACAACTTCAAGGATGAGCTTATAGATTTATTGAACACATCCTGGGAATTCCTGAAGCGAACTGGCTACAACGAAAACGGATTAATTTGTACGAAGCCTTGCCATCCATTAATTGCCATTCTTTTGACAGATTTATACACTAAAGTACCTCCTGAGAACGTTGTCGCTATTCCGGAGTACAAGGATTTCCCAGGAGCGACAGGAAACGTTGAATTATCTAATTTCGAAGAACATTTGGAACTAGGACCAGAAATGTGGGTTAGTACGGGCTTGTATCTACCTGCAGGCGTGATCGGAGAGATAGAAATCTCAGAACCAATGCCAGATGTACATATTCATATCGGATGCCACCACGAATCGTTAGTTCCGAAATCTCCGCCGTGGAAACGATGGCCGTTAACAGTTTGTGTCTTCCCGTTAACAGAAAAGGTCACAAAAGTTGTTTCGCCGTTCGGAGGAATAGTTTACGTCGCCATGAACATAGAAACGGACGAACCCGTCAGAATAACCGTAAAATTTTCCAATTTCTGTAGACATCCGGTCGCTCAGTTCGATGACTCTTCTGTTTGGGAAATGACGAAAAATTTCGAAGTTCCGTGTGGCGAAATCGTCGCAGAGAACTTGATAATAACTCTCTCTTCCCAGAAAATGCGAGAAATTGGCAATTTCTCCAAAATTTTCGATATTTTCAACAAAATTATTTCAAGATTGTCCGAAAACTTAAGTTATCCGATCACTAGGCCCTACAGATTCGTCTTTGATATAGAACTACCAGATGACGAGCCTAGTTATGGATATCCTTTAGTTTTTCTCGAAGATGATATCGATTTAATCATAAATCACTTCGATGTCCCTTCTATGAAGCTGTTCAACGCTGTTTCATTGCTAGGAATCGTTTCTATACGCGAGGATTGCTTCGATAAAACGATGGAGACCGCAATTTCTAATGTTATTGCTTCAACGGTTTTTAAGACCATATGGAAGGACTTTGACCCATATAAACTCGATGGATTCAATCCTCCGCAGCTTTTCAAGGAACTTTGGGATATAAATTTGTATTCAAGTCCAAATGTTATCAAAAACACTTTGAAAGAGTTCCAGAACCCAGAATTTATTGCTCCTGAAGTTCCTGATGATATGTGGATTATTTTTGTCCGAGAAATGTGTAAAATTGCCAAAATTAATTACACAACAATGCTGCAACAGATCAGACCTATTCCACTTAACATGTGTACATCTGTGCAATGTTTTCCTGACTTCCAAATTCCAAAATCTCCAAATTATTTTTTTAATTTTTTGTATGTAATGTATTTATTTTATAATTTTGATTTTCACAAGGATCAAAGATGTATTATATCATTTTTGATTCTTGCTTTTTATTACCATGTAAAATTTTAATTCTATCATTAATTTTTACTTTTTTTAGATGTAACAATGAGAAACCAAACAATATAGAGATGTAATATTAAAGATTTTGTTTTGGAAAAGAAATTTTATGATCTATTAAATATTTCGCAAAAGATATGTTGTCCAATTGTTCAATTAATACTGACAAAAGACTGAAATTGTGAGAAAAAGTAGTCTAAGATGTTTAAACATCATGCAGTCATAATATGCATTTCTGAGAATAAATTATTCTCATCCAGAACCAAACATAGTTAAAACTTACATTAGATCATGATATAGATATTGTTATTGCAATATCACTTTATGATTTTATGAATAATTTATTTTTGCCAATGTAAAACAAAATTTTGTCAGAATTCTTTTCTTTCGGATTTGAAATTTCAAATCAATGAAACGCAGTGAATATTATAGTAAAGTAAGGATTCGCTGGTTAATTTCATTGATGCTTCTAGGAATAATGTTTATAAACTTCTTTCAAACAGAACCAGAATGCTCAAATCTCTATTTCCGACGTTCAAATATCACATTTATCGAAGGTGTTGAATATTTAAATGTTTCAGGTTCTAAGATTGATATTCCCAACGATTACATTATACACAAAGAGAAAGTTATTGAATATGTTCCTCACGATCCAAATCCTCTAATTATTGACTCTCTTACTGAACAATATTATCTTTCAAACCATATGAATCTGACTACTCTTGAAGAAATCATCCATTTCGATGAAAAATTGGACGGAACTTGGTATTGTTTGAAAGATTTATACGCAAATGTTTACGGAAGTTACACAGATGGTTATTCAGTGCTCGTTCCTTCGCAGTGGAATTTCAGAGGCACTCAGATGGATCTCTATGCCCATGGAAGCGGTAACGTATCCGACCATTATGATTCAGTCATTGCTTTAGGCAATTTCGTTGTCACTTATTACGGGCATTGGTTTTTTGATGTCCTCGCCCCTCTCATGATGTTCCCTGATGAAGTTATAGCCACATCTTCGATTATTTTGGGAAATACGAAACCGTACGTCTACGAGACCCTCTATGCCCTCGGAATGAAAGACAGTCAATTTATAACCATAGATCAGGGAGATTGGATCTTTGCTCACAAATTATACGTCGTGGCAGATCCAGGGCCACATGTAACACATATGGGAGCAGCGTTGACGAAATTATCATCAAAACTGCTTAAAGCATTCAATATCAAGGAAAAAGTTCCAACGAAATACGTTCTGACAAATAGGAAATCTTCCTATCGTAGAACTATTCCAAATTTAGCCGAAATATACTACAACATAAAGAAAACATATCCGCAATACGACTGGATCATTATTCCAGATAATTTCCCAACTGTCAAAGAAACTGCTCGAGTTTGGTCAGATATCAAAGTCCTCTTTACGCCTACAGGATCTAACCTCGTTAGAATCTTGTTTATGATGCCAGGAGCTGTAATTTGTGACGTACAAGCAAATTACAACGATTACGCAATGGAAGCAATCGCCATTTGCAGGCATATCAAGATTCTCGTGTTTGCTGTCCCTTATACCGATCATTTCACTGAAAAACTCGACGTAAGTGTCGAAGAATCGATGAGAATGATGAAAGTTGTTATGTACTGCGCTGAACACGGAGACTGGCCTGAAAAGTCCGCGGAATACCAATATTAAATAAAATGTATGAATTTGTTAGAGTAATGAAGTTCAAAATTTGACTTTTTTTATTAATTACAATGCGTTTTTTATTTTTGACGTAATGTTCTCAAAAATTGTGAGAATTGAGATATTTACACGCGAAAATTATTAAATCTAAAATAATGAATTGTCTAAACAATAGTATAACGAATTTGTTCAAAATATTTGATAAAAATTAATTTTTTATGATTTTTTTGTTCCAAAATATGAAATTTCGAAAATATCTCATATTTTCCATCACTTAAAATCAAAATTACTATGGTGGTTATCGAATAAAATACAAACATTTACATAAAATAACAAAATAACAATATAAAAAAAGAAAATTATTTCACAGGAGTATCAGCAAAGCTAGGAATAACTAAATGAACACGAGCAGTGGTTTTTTGAGTCTGTGAATCAGTGACTCCATGAAGTTTAAGTTTAGACTGAACTTGTCTATCTTTAATTTGTTTTAATTTTGTTCTGGTTCTTGGAGTCAATGTAGCAGATGCCTCAGCAATGGAAGCAACATTTTTCGCTCTGATCTGTTCTGCAGTCAATCCTGTTCCTGCGTTTTTTATGTCTGATTGAAGTTTTGAAATTCTGGAATTAATAGGATAAAGCATATCTTGGTGTCTTTTCTCTATCTTAGTTTTGGCGTAATCCAGTCTATGATCAACTTCCGCAAGTTTTTTACGATATTCAATTTCAATTTTGTCTCTTTCTTTTTGACAGGCTTCTTGAGCTCTCTGCTGCGCTTTCTTTGTCTCTTCAGCTTCTAAATGATCAGCAACACTTTTCAAATTTGTTGCTTGTTTCCATTCTTTATTTCGAATTAAAGCTTTTTCTCGATCGCGAAGCTGTGTAAGTTGGTACGATGGTCTAGAAAACGAAACTAATGCATTATCACTTTCCCATTTTTTAATAAATGATTCAACCTTTTGTTGATACGTTTGATTTACTTGCGCAGACATCTTTTCCTTTTCTTCATTCAGTTTTCGCTTTTGCATTTTGAATTGTTCGTTGATTTGCCATAGTTGATCCTCTAATTGTTGAATTTGCTGATAATATTCTTCTTGTTCTGTTTTTCTTGATGAATCATCAACACTATTACGGCATGCATCTATGAATTCATGGAATAGATTGTAATATTTTTCTGCTTCTTTGTATCTTCCTTCACTCATTGCATCAATTTGGCATCTTTTTACGTATTGTGCAACTTTCTGTCTTTCAAATAGAGGCGGTAATGTTTTATTTTCTGTAAAATCTGCAATCTGCTGACGACATCTTGGAGAATTCATTCCACTAAGTGTAAATGAACTCTTTGATTCTTGAATAACTTGTGTATCGGCATCTTCATTAAATGGTATGCCTTCTGGCTTATCCGGTTCATCATCTCCTATTACGATTTTCTCATCTTCAGGTAAAAGTTCTTCTGACATAGAAAATAAATGTACGTTGTGTCAAAAAAAATTTTTTTTATTAGCACGCAAAAAATTTCAAGAAGATTTCTCAAATGAATTGCTTGAGACAAATGAAAAATAATTGCCATACAAACTATTACTTTTTTCGAAATCCAAATCAAAATGTCATTTGTTTTTGCTATTTGATTAATAATTTATAATCAAATTGAGTTACTTCTAGGAATAATGAAGTTTTAATATATCGAATTCGGAATTTTTAGCCAAAATCACATGGAGATTTTCTCAAAAGTCTGCTCTGATGGCTGCTCACACTCCACCAACTTACCCTAGTAAAATATGATATCTATTTATATGTACAAATTCATTTTTAACTAAAAACTGTAGATACTATTTCAAAATCTGAAGAGACATATCAAAAATGATACATTTTTGTATAAAATACTGTTTTTAGTTTCAATAAATGCAAATAAATCATTTAAATTATGAATTCTAAGCGAAATTCGTGAAAAAATATGGTTTTGAGATTTTATAAGTATATCAGGATGATAATTATATTAATAACAAACAAACATTTTTACTAATTTCCATTGAGCAATAATTCCTCGATCATATGAATTAAAAAGTGCGCTCTTTCTATCATCAACGGCGTTCCTGAGTCGATTACTCTATCAATTTCATCCTTCATGTCTTCCGAAGCCATTGCTTCAGCGAATTCCCGAGAAGGATCTATTTCTGGAATTGTGTACATCAGCTTAGTCAACGCGTCCAAGACACGTAGTACTATTAATCCGACACCACAAACAAGCATGGATTGTAGTAAATCAACGACTTCCGCTGTAATAAAAATTTCCATATTATGTATCGGCGTAAAAATAATGAGAGTCGCGATGAAGAATGATATTTCCCTTTTGAGTTCGTAATCGCTATCCTCGCTCGAAGAAATAGTCTGTAGAATGAAATTGCTGTCAAAAACTGGAACCAAAAGTTGAGGAACACTTTCGATCAGGTTTGATAGAACCCAGAAGACATCTGATGTATATTCCGTCGAAATGTATCGGAAAAGTAAATCAATCAAATTTGCGTCAAGAAGTTGCTTAATATTGGAAACAGAGCTCACAGACATATTCCCTATGAGCGGTAAAGCAGCGGAAGCAAGCTCTTGATGCTCTAAAAGTTGGACAATATTTGGCGCAATTTGCATTTCGTAAATAATGAAGCCCAGACTGGGCTTTTTGTTAGTAATGGAGACGATTGTTTGCAGAACTGACTTCATTGCAACTAAATCTTGGATGTTAAGAAGTTCAACAACTTCATAAATCGCGGATTTAAGGATTGAGCTTTCAATCGGTTCTGGATTAGCAAATATTCTGTCAATTGCATCACATGACAGTTGAACCAATTGAATATCGCTCTGGGATGTCGCAATTCTGATCAAATCTGTCAAAATTCCTGTACAAAGAATGGAATCTCGAGCATAGGATGATATCTCTGAAATGGAATCAATGCATGTAATCGTCGCAACTAGTAAATCTTGATTCTCTGTTTGCATATAATTTAAGAAAGTGAACGCTAAGCCGTCATCAATCAATTTTTCTTGATTGACACCGGATTTCGGATATATCAAGGTTATTGTCTTTATTATTTCGATAATTGTCGCGTCTGAAGTTGTATTCATTAACGCTTCGTTTAATGGCTCAGAAAGGTCTTCGGAAGTGATCAAACCGTAAGTCAAAGGTGGTGTTGCAGTAAAAACTTGTTGTATATTGGACAAAAATTCAATAATTTTGAAATCATTTCCTGATCTTAAGATATCTGCAGCATAAACAACGTCTAGATATGGAAAATTCGCAGTATCGAAAAGCTTAGGGCGACTTGAGCTTGGTTGTGGGGCTTTTCCAAAGACGCCTGCTATAGTAGGTCGTGCTGTCCTTCTTAATGTCAGAGTTCGAGCCGATCTTTCGCGAGCTAATTGATCATGGTAATGTGAAAGGTCTGCTCCTGAGCGGCGGAGGGAATATAATGTGTCAGTATCCTGAAAATTATACTTGAAAGTATTCATTGATATTCTTGTGAAAATTTAATTTATATTGTATCAAAAAGTGGTATCGTCCTCATCATAAAGGGTTTTCATAGATTTACAAAAAACAATCATCAAAATTTTCGCGTATTCAATTTATTCGCTAACTATTATTGCATATTTTAAATTGGAATCGATATCTCACAGCTTTGAATCTCAGTTTTTTCATCAATCAAACATTGATTATCGAAGAATTTTTGTAGAAATCGAAATTTGAAAAAAGACAAGACATTATAATTCATCATATAAACCAGAAATCAGTTTAATTAACATGTAATTATACGAAATATATCTATTATGGTTTAAAAACAAGATATAACATCAAATATTTTTATTCAACTTTGTAAACAGCGCTTCCCAATGCTTCAATTTGGATCTGATAAGAACCATTATTACCATTGATGATCTTTCCTGTGACTAGATCTGTCAATTTAGATCCGCCGACGTTATATGTCACTGTTCTTGAATCCAAGCCAAGGTTTACGACCATAACGACTTTATTCTTTGTCTGATCATCGTATTTGCAGTTGAACATTACACCGCCATCGTAGCTAATGCCACTTGTACCGCGCCACATTGCAGGGTTTTCTGCGCGAGCGAACATTAACTTGGAAGTATAATCGTGCAAGCTCTGCTGATCAGAGTTGAATCCTGTGATTTGGCCATTAGTTCTTGCAACGTTATCTGAATAAGTATTTGAACCGCAGGATGGGTTAGAACCTGTCCAGCATTCAGCCAAATCACCGATTTCATCACCGTAGTAGATTGTGATTGGTCCTGTGTATGATGCAAGTAAAGCCATAGCGATTTTATGTCTCTTCCAGTAATCTTGGCTGGATTTGCCATAACCGTATTTGTTTTTAATGAGGTTACCAAAGCGCCAGACATCGTGGTTTGAAATGAACAAGTTTGGATAAACTTGGCCGTAATATCCCTTTTCAGAGTTTGTCTTGAATATATTTCCAAGTTCTTGAACATATGATGAAGCACCAGATTCTTCCATGGCAACTGTTCTAACTAATGAGTAACGTGATGGGAAGTCAAATGCTGATCTGATGCCATCTCCACTGTATGTCTGTTGTTGGATTTCACTGGCTGATCTCCAGTTCTCACCAACGATGTAACCTAATGTTCCCCATTTCTCTCCACGTTGTTTTCTGGCATTGCAAGCTTCTTCAACAGCTTGTCTGATTTCTTTAAGGTAGTTATAGTTGTTCTGGTACATTTGATAGCATTGGTCTAAACGCCAGCCATCAATTCCGTAGTTTTCAATCCAATATTTTGCAACTTCTTTGTAAAAGTCAAGAGAACCTGGATATGAAACTGGATTATTACCTCCTTGTGGCCATTTTCCTGATGGAGATGCTGTAGTAACGCCACCATGGTGTCCAAAAACGCCATCAAGGAAAACATACATTCCTTTCTTATGGCATTTATCAACTAATTCCCTAAATGTTGCATCATCACCAAACTTTGGATCGATCTTAAAGTAGTTTGTGCAAAAATAGCCAGTTGATTGGAGTAATGCGCCGCCTTGGCCATTTGATGAATCGAAAATTGGTGTCATCCAAAGGGCATTAACACCAAGTCCCTTAATGTAATCGAGTGCATTGATAATTCCTCGAAGATCTCCCCTGTGATCTGATGGACCATATCCTGTACCGTAGCCAAGGTTTGGATCGCCATCTTGGAATGATGAAACCATTACTTGGTATATCCTAATGTTGTTGAAGTCTTCGCAAAGTGCGAACTTAGCACTAAGAAGGAAAGCAAGCATAATATAAAAATGAATTCTCTACCGGATTTCATCCTTCTCAATTTTGACCAAGTATTTCATTGAAAAAAAAATATTATATTAAAATAATTCATTTAATAATGGTGTTGTTTTTTAATATTGTAAGAATTGAAAATTTTCAATGCAAAAGTGACAAAATCTTTTTATCATTACTAATCTTCATTTTAAGCATATATTTGGGATTGCTCCAATATAAGTGATCATGTCGTTATCAACATGTGTGTTTTTACAAAGCATTTTCCTTGGATATATACTAGAATCAAAATCTCGAGCACAAAAGTGACATTGAATACTAGTAAGTATAGAATTTCCATGTAAACTATTCATTTCTATCGTTTTTTGTAGTCCACATTTCCTCACTCTCGATTTTACTCATAAAAATATTAAAAAATCACTATACAATATATAAAATATATATTTATATGGTTAAAACAATGTTATTTTTGCGAGATTTCATCTGAAATTAAATTTAAGGATTTTTTGAATTTTGAACTAAAATTTGTGTTCGGCAATTATTGAATAATCGATTGGAATATGAAAGAAATACTTTAAAATTGAATAGAATGTGCCGATAGAATTTTTCTCACAATTTTAAAAAGTTGCTCTAATTCTATTTTTGATTGAGTTTTTGTAATTATTATATATCAAGTGATAAGCTAAAAATAAAATTTTTGTTGCATTACTATTATTGCAACAATTTGTAAATTACGTGTAACCCATGTATTACAATAATAAACACTGAGATTACATATTGTAAGTATTCCCTTTGAACTAGATTTTTCTTTGAATTTAAATCCGGATAGTCTATTTCATGTTGGTTCGTGAGAAGATATATAATTTGCAATGTGAATAAGATATACATGATTCTGTGTAAATAAGTAATTATGCTTTGGGAAACTGCTCGGCATTGAATGAGATCTAATGTTATTAGTTTTTGAGATATGTTGAAATATGTAATATTTAGCTTCAATATCATTTATTATAGTGTGTCTTTGCTGTTTTTTTGATATTAGATATCAATGACTCTTCTGGAAACGAAAAAATCATATAAATCATTAAATTCTAAACGTAAGCGGAACTCATTCAATTTATGATTAGAATCAAATTTTGTTTGGAATTGAGATATTGGATATATTATAAAAGAATACATAATATTTTAAGTAAAAATTTGAAAAATATGAGCCTATTGGCGTAATCTTCTGATCTTCCTGGAAGAAGCGCCCAGACCAGTCAGAAGCGCTCCTTCCAGGGCCAGAAAGACTAGAAGGGGGCCCTGACCTTGAGAAAGGACCCCCTTCAAGGTCTTTCTGGGACAATTCGGTTCGCATTGCGAGTGTCTGCTGCTTCTTTTGACTAAAGCAGCAGACACTCGCAATTATATGTCGCGGCAAGTGCATCTGTAGTGTCGGAATGCACTTGCCGCGAACTTCGCGCAATCTTCTGATCTTCCTGGAAGAAGCGCCCAGACCAGTCAGAAGCGCTCCTTCCAGGGCCAGAAAGACTAGAAGGGGGCCCTGACCTTGAGAAAGGACCCCCTTCAAGGTCTTTCTCAAAGGAAAATTCAGAAAACTTCACAATTTTTGAATGTCACTTTTTCTGTATATAGAAATGGTATCATTTGTGTCTCTATTCATGTTCCTAGACTCTTTATCTCTTTAATCATTTTTCAAAACTTGATAATCAAGTTTAAAAATTCATTATTACTAATATAATACTCCCTATTTTTATTCAAAGATAATTTATTACTCAACAAATACTATCCAATCATGTTGAAAACTCTTTTTCTCTCTATTCATGTTGGAATACTCTTTATTATTGAACAAATACCTCCCAATCATGTTGAAGGACACTTTGATCAAAGACTATATATTTTTTTAAACTTATTCAAATACACTGTAGTACTTAATAAATAACTTATAAATGTTTTATCAAAGTTTTTTTATTAGTGTACAGAGATTTTAGAAAGAGTATCAAAGACACTTTTATTCTCTAATCATTATCAAAGACTTTTTTATTCTCTAATCATTACCAAAGAGACTTTTATTCTCTAATCATTATCAAAGACTTTTTTATTCTCTAATCATTATCAAAGACTTTTTTATTCTCTAATCATTACCAAAGAGACTTTTATTCTCTAATCATTATCAAAGACTTTTTTATTCTTTAATCATTATCAAAGACACTTTTATTCTCTAATCATTATCAAAGACTTTTTTATTCTTTAATCATTATCAAAGACACTTTTATTCTCTCATCATTATCAAAGACACTTTTATTGTCTAATCATTATGTATGAATGACATATTGATGAAATTTTGTATTCTGGTATCAAATAAAATGAGTTGACAACAATATCAATATGAAATTGAAATACCTTGAATTGCCTAGGAGCAATGGTTATATAAAATTAAAACATAGTGAGGAAAGTTTGTATACTCATGAAGTCATCATGTTCTATTCATGATAACCAAAAATCATATATTTTCATATCAGTATATTCAAAATTAACATAATAAAAAGAACAATTAATAAGTTTTTTAAATTATTGTATCATCATTTCTGAGATGGGAGCGAGCAAGGCAAATACGATAAACTCGTTATTTCTAAAAACTACGAATTTTAAAAATATTCAATTGATATCATTTTAATTGTGCAATTTTAAATATATCCCTCATGGAATAATCTTAAATTTTTCTCATTTTTTCAAAATGAATAATGACATTAGGATTATTGCAAAGCTAGGCGAAGGCTCATTTGCCGAAGTTTACAAGGTTAAGAACCCAAAGACTCAGCAGGTCTTTGCTATAAAGCGCCTCAAAAAGAGATATCGTACAATCGAAGAAGTAAATAAATTACCCGAAGTTCAATATCTTAAAGCTCTTCAAGGTCATCCGAACATTATTAAACTATATGAAGTTATTTACAACAGCCAAGATGGATATGTCGCTTTACTTTTCGAATTAATGGATGTAAATTTATATGAATTTGTTAGAGACAACCAAAAGCCATGTGATGAAAAGACAACTCTTCTTTTGATATATCAACTTCTTAAAGCCTTAGATTATATGCATGAAAAAAATCTTTTCCATCGTGATGTCAAACCAGAGAACTGCATGGTAAACAAAGCAACATTAGAACTAAAGCTCTGCGACTTCGGCTCTACACGTGCAGTATCAAATTCTGGACCATATACAGAATATGTCAGCACAAGATGGTATCGTGCTCCAGAATGCATTTTAACAAGTGGCTCATATGGCAGAGAAGTTGATATTTGGGCCGTAGGCTGTATGCTTTATGAATTATTGACAACAAGACCTCTTTTCCCAGGCAAGCACGAAATTGATCAAATTTCACGTATTCACAATATTGTAGGTACTCCATCTATTGCATTACTTAATCAATTCCGTAAAAATCCAAACACTCAAATCTCATTTTCATTTCCACAAAGAACTCCTCAAGACCTACATAAGATAATTCCAATGGCCTCCCCAGAAACAGTCGATCTTATGGGAAAGATGTTGATTTATAACCCAGCAGACAGAATTACAGCTCATGATGCTTTATTGCATCCAGCTTTCGAGCAATTGCGTGCAGCAGAAGTCAAATGGCAGGCAGCTGGATGCCGTGTCCCGTTTGCAGTCTTCTACGAGCAAATGAAAAATGCTCCGATTCCAAAAGCTCAACCTATCGGGCCTTACATACTCGATACAGGTGTTTCTAAGTCTAATGATGCTGGTCCGATGGTTATTAAGAATCAAACATTACTTCCTCCGCTTCCAAAACAACAAAATCACCATCACCCTATTGTTATACAGCCAATGCATCAATCATACCCTGCTAAGCCTGCTGGAAAATTTAATTCTTACGAGGCAAGAAAAAGAGCCGCTCAAAGAATTAAAGAATATAACCAGAAGAAGCTTTTGAATCAGCACAAGGAGAAGAAACTACCACTTCCAACATTCCAATTTGGTGCTCCGAATGTTTATAATAGCACTTCTTTCCAAAATCCAAAGCCTGAGTTGATTCAGCCTCGGCTTCCGAAAATTCAACCGTATTTCCACTAATTTTTATGATTCCATGAAATTTTTGTTTGAAACTTTATTAAGTTGTTTTGTGTTTGTTTGATTTAAATTTTTTATTTTATTCGAACTTTTTTTAACAACGGTTTCATCCATTTATTATCAGTAGAGGTAGTAACATTCTTGAGTGTTAAATTTTCTCTCTATGAAATGTCAATAAAAAAAATCATAACTTATCATCATGTAAATAAAAGCATAAATCAAACAAAATTCTTATCTATGTACCGAGTAATTTTATTGTAATATGAATTCATTTCAAATTCAACAAAATAACATTGAGTTCAAGAATAACTCAATTAAAAGCATCAAAATACATATTAATATAATTTTATGTAATAAATATAACTATATCATTGGTAAAAAATCATATATGCCATTGAATTTCGGATAAAAGATTGTTGATTATAAGAAATCAACATGAACCACAATTATGATAATGCGTCATTTCTGAGGTAGGCTTCATTTAATGTTACGCTAAAGAAAAAGCCACCTGTATATTTTTTATGAATTTGAAAAAAAATTAAAAGTCATATTTTGATGGATAATAAAAATACATACAATAGTTTATATATGAAAAACATCATTAGATGTGTCTGATATTGAGTAAGATAAATCAATCCAACTTTCGAAAGAAAAATCATCGTTATCATCACCTTCAACATCAACACCATTTACAATATCTTTAACCAACTTAGCTGATCTAACCGCATTGAAAACTGAAAGTGAAATTCCAGCAATTGCAATGATTGTTGCCGAAGAGATCGAGATTACCACGACTTCTTTTGGTGGTGGTGTCTTAACATAATTTGTCTGTATTGGCGGATGTGAATCGAAAATCTGTGGTATATCGTTACCTCTTATTAAAACGTTTGGTGGATCGTCATATTCTCCATCCCACGTGGCATCCGGTGTTGGCGAATATGTGTCAGGCGATTTTTGGGGATTATTTGGTGTTTCTGGAATTGGAGTCTCTGGATTAGGAGTTGCTGGAGTATGTGTTGCTGGAGTTGGTGTAGCTGGAGTTGGAGTTGCTGGAGTTGGAGTGGCTGGTGTTGGAGTGGCTGGAGTTGGAGTTGCTGGAGTTGGTGTAGCCGGTGTTGGAGTAGCCGGTGTTGGGGTTGCTGGAGTTGGAGTAGCTGGAGTGGGAGTTGCTGGAGTTGGAGTGGCGGGTGTTGGAGTTGCTGGAGAAGGAGTTGGAACTTCGGTAGGAGTATTTTCTGGTTCTGGTGGAGTAGGATTGATATTGGTTGAGCCAAATCCTTCGTATCGTCCACCACCTTGTACATTGGTAATTGTAACACGAAGTTCATCACCCGATGCGCATTGAAATTTTAGTATGATCGGTTTTGCATCAACTGTTAGTGTGTATGCTTGATTTTGACTAATAGTCGTTGGATCTTGATCGTCAAATCCTTCAAGAGCAGTGAAATCTGCCCAATCTGAAATTGAACTAGTAAAAGAAATAGTGGCCTTTCTTTGGAGGAAAAAAACGCATAGGGTATCACTATTTGGAGTGTAACCTGCTTTGGTCATAGAATCGGTGAGATCAAACGTACCTTCCTTATTTGTTACAAAAGATCATGCGCGACAATAGGTCATTGCGTAGCCTGCACGAGCTGAAATTGTTTTTGAAGTAGATGGCTTTACCAGGACGTATAAAGATTGAACGGGTGTTGGTGTTACAAAAATCCTATCTAAATCTTGAGAAGTACCTGTGGTAAGATCTGAAGAATCCCAACTCGAAGGTGCTGATGAAGGATTAATAGCGTATTTTATCTGATCTGTCCGTGTTAAATCATAGACTGTTAAATATGAATAAGAATATGTCTTCCCCTGAATAGAAAACATGCAAGGATTACTTTCTGAGCATGAGGCCTGTATAATTGCATCTTGTTGTCGCATAGGGGCATTAACTAAGCTTGAAATAGGACGAAAAAGTAAGAAAAGCATTTACTGAATTGAAAATCTTAAGAAAAAATTGTTGCCCTTTTTATTGATAAACCAAAATTGGAAATATTTGTCTGGTAGATTATTCTTAGTTATGTTTGTAACATAAAAGTAAAAAGCCTGCGCGAACTTTTGAAAGAAATTGAGAGGCATTCAATAAAATGAATCCATTACCGATACTTATTTTATCTAAACATTTTAAGACTATTTATAGCGAATTGATATAAACATTTTATATTTTGAATGAGTAACTGTATTTTTCAATATAATTTCTGTTGGATTATAAAAGAACTTGATGGATAACTTTAAAGCGAAAAAATAATATGTCTGATTGGTTCTAATAATACAATAGAAAAGACTTTTAATGAAAATAAACAGAAATTTTGAGTTCAGATCGGTTATAAACAAAATTGAATTGCTTTGAGGAACGACAAACACGACTTACTTTTTGGGTGATTATGATTTTAATAGATAGTCGAATTCAATTAGATAATGGGTTCTTTATATCAAAAATTCAAATATTTGTCCGAGGAAATGTCCGATTATTTCGAAATGTAGCGCAAAATAAATATTTTGGATTCCAAATTCAAATACAAGATTAACACACTTTAATATTTTCATTTTGAACTCGTAATTTAAATTTTGAATATTAATTTTAATTTTGATATCAATTCATAATATTGAACTTCAGATTCTTAACTCAAACAGATGAAATTTATCAAAAAGCAAAATAAATAAATTATAATAATATTAAAACTAACTCTAAAAATTATTTGATTCAAAGGAGTATATAGTATTATGCTATGGATTCTAGGTGTAAAAAAAGAAAAAAAATTATTAATATTGTTGACACATACAAGAATCAACAACGAGATCGTAAAGCCTTTACTCGTTGGAGACACGATATGGACGAAGCTCATATGTATCTTTTCCAGAAGCAATTACATGGAAACGGCTGCGGATGTCCTTCTTTGCAAGGAACTTGCGAGCGTAATAGCGGACAGCGCGCTTAGAATACTTAACAGAAGCGTTGACGACAATCTTGTTGGCGCCAGCGTCAGCTTCGATTGTGACCTTGTTTGCGAGGTTCTTTCTAAGGTTGTCGACCTTCATGTGGGACTGAAGGTATTCAACAAACTCTTGAAGCTGGAAGAACTTATCAGCAACAGGGGCAGAGCAATCGACGTAGAAAACAGAAGAAGCCATAGAAGAAAGTGTCGGGCCAAGACGATAAAAAATTGAAAGTGATGTGACTAATTTATTAAATTATTTGAAGAAATATACGGTGTGCTTTATGCTCATTATATCTTATCAGTAAATGTCCACTTAATGAAACAATTACTCTATTTTTTGCTTTATCATGATGATTGCAACTCATGGCAAATGTAATATGTGGGCTATTTCCATTAATAGCCTTTATAGTTGTTTCATGATTGAAGCATTTTGTGTATGAATCACATTCTATTTCCTCACATAATTACTATGATAGATCAGAGAGCAAATTCAACGTTAAATAAAACTAAGTTTTCTTTCATCAAATATGTTAGAAATCATATGAGACTTGCTGGAAAATTTGCCAACAATTTAAATTGTCATTTTTAATTCTAAATTTTTTTGATGTTTTTATTATGACAAATGTAAATGTAAAAGAAATGACCGAACAAGAAAGAAAAGACTTTTATTTCTGGCAAGGTAGAATTGTTTTTCTTTCTGGATTTCCACTTAAATACTCAGCATCAGATATTCTATTGATTGCAAGTCAATTTGGCCGCTGTTTTAGAGTAGATTTAGTAAAAGATGATAACAAAAATCTTAGAGGATTCGGTTTTATAGAATATGAGACAAAAGAAGCGGCTCAAAATGCATGCGAGCAACTTGACACAGCAACCCTGTCCAATAGGCAACTTCGATGCGAAATTGCAGATTTTCCACCAAATGATTTAATTGATATATATAAAAGATCTGCAATTTTACGTGAAAAAATTGATCTGGGTTTAATCAAAAACTTTCATAAATCAAAGCACTCAAAATCAAAATACTCTGATAGCTCATCTTATAGCTATGATTATTCTGATTATAGCGATTATTCATCCAGCGAAGAATCTTATTATTCGGATTATAGTGCCAGTAGTGAATCAAGTTATAGCTACGACTATTCCCCATCGTATTATTCCTCAAGGAACAGTCTAAAGTCAGAATATTCATCAGATGAAATTGAAAACCAAGAAAAATCAGAGAAATCAGACCCAAGCGAAACAGAAGACGATAAATCAAAGACACAAAACTCAAATACATCTCAGCACAATCAAGTTGAAAGCTCCACTTCAAAAATACCAAAGAATAATAAAAAAGGCAGCAGAAATCATTCAAGAAATTATTCTGATAATAATGATTCGACTAATTACAGCCAAAGTTATTCTTATTACTCAGATTATTCTTGTTATACCTATTCAAGTGAAACCAATTGACCATATTAATGAAGTAATGATGCGGTCCTATGTGCTTGCTCTAAATAAGGAAATACTGTTATAATTTCCTCTAAATATAATTTTTTGTTTGTTTATTTAATATTTAAATACTATATATATTTATCAAAGAAATGTTTGATTTCAGAAACATGGTTATGAGTTTGTAGAAAAAAAAAATCTCTGGATTAATCTTGTCAATTAGTCATTCATGGGAGGAATAGTTAATAACTCTTTCTGTGAACCTAAGCTATATGCTTGAATAATGCTACAAATTTTGAAATTTCAGATTGAATGAACTAATAAAAAGTTAAAAATCGAAATCGTAGTGAATAATATTATTGGCTGTACAAGAGTTTCATCATTGAAGAATATATGATTTGAATTAAACCAAAATTGCTAAACAATAAAATTTCAAATTGAAAAATTTATAGCATGATTATATTAAATCGATTAATTATCTAAAATGATTTGATTTTATTGATTTACTTTTTGAAAAAATGCACTAAAACTTCGAAATTTTCTCCAAAAATATTTTAAAAATAAAAAAATGAAATTCAATTTCAACTAAGTTTGCCAGCTGTGATCCCTAAATAAAAAACTCTTTTACTAAATCATATAGATTGTGATTTTTATTTTGCTTTTCCATGATTTTTATGATTATGATCACAATTTTCACAAGTATTCAATTTATCAGAACTATTCAAAAATTGATAATGGGCAGGTAAGACTATTATAATATATATGATATATCCATAGAATTTATTGATGTGGTTTTAAAAACCGTATTTTCTCACAATTTTGAAGGCAGAGATGATTTGTCGTTGATAATCGATGATCCAGCATTATATTTATATATAGAATATATATTACACAAAATTACGATCTGAAGGATGTTAGGAAAACGGTTTTAACTTCATTTTTTAAATGTTTGCTTTCTTGCTTTCTGGCGCTACAAGCAACGTCCTCAAGCATGAGGAGAAGGCCTTCCTTGCCTACATGCGTGAGACAGGCAACTTCTTCACAGGCGATGAGTACCATTTCCGCCTTGGCATCTACCTTGCCAACAAGCGTCTTGTTCAGGAACACAACGCTGCTAACAAGGGCTTCAAGCTTGGACTCAACAAGCTCGCTCACCTTACACAGTCCGAATACAGATCTCTTCTTGGTGCTAAGAGACTCGGACAGAAGTCTGGCAACTTCTTCAAGTGCGATGCTCCAGCCAACGACGCTGTCGACTGGCGTGACAAGGGCATTGTCAACAAGATCAAGGATCAGGGTCAGTGCGGCTCCTGCTGGGCTTTCTCTGCCATCCAGGCCTCCGAATCCCGCTATGCTCAGGCTAACAAGCAGCTCCTCGATCTCGCCGAACAGAACATCGTTGATTGCGTTACATCCTGCTATGGCTGCAACGGTGGCTGGCCATCCAAGGCTATCGACTACGTTGTCAAGCACCAGGCTGGCAAGTTCATGCTCACAGCTGACTACCCATACACAGCTCGCGATGGCACATGCAAGTTCCATGCTTCCAAGTCTGTCGGTTTAACAAAGGGCTACGATGAGGTTAAGGACACAGAGGCTGAACTCGCTAAGGCTGCTTCCAAGGGTGTTGTCTCCGTCTGCATCGATGCTTCCCACTACTCCTTCCAGCTTTACACATCTGGCATCTATGATGAACCATCCTGCTCTGCCTGGAACCTCGATCACGCTGTCGGCCTTGTTGGCTACGGCACAGAGGGCTCAAAGAACTACTGGATCGTCCGCAACTCCTGGGGCACATCTTGGGGTGAGCAGGGCTACATCCGCATGATCAAGGACAAGTCCAACCAGTGCGGCATTGCTTCTGAAGCTATCCTTCCAAAGGCTCTCTAAATTGCGATAAAAATTGTACGATGAAGTACTTTGATATAAAATAGTTTTGGGAAACGCGATTTAATTCCTTGATTTTTTTAACTTTTTTTCATAATTTTTATTAATTTCAATGTAATTACAATGAAATCTCAATTAATCATATCAACATTTTATGTTTTTCAATCAATACGTCCTATTCTAGTTGCTTGTAAGTAATTACTTAAACATTTCTACCAAATTGATAAATTATAAAGTTATTTGATGATGAACTCAGAGTAAATTAGAAAAGTCTTGGATGATAAATGATATATATCATTAGATTTCTTTGATTTTGACTTAGAAAAATGAAATTAGATTTTATACTTAAGCACTGATTAGTATTTATTTTATTTAACCCTGGATGCTAATAGCGCAAGTTGGGCAGCGAGTGTAGCAAAGGCCACAGCGGAAGCACTTCGCGCCGTCGCACTTGGCAATGCCGTCTTCAAGCTGGAGGGCTTCGTAAAGGCAGGATGTAACGCATGTTCCGCATCCGACGCACTTCTCAGCGGCGATCTTTGGTGGGTTGTGCTGCTGGAGTGGTTCGTGCTTAAGGCCGAGGCCGATAACCTCGTGGATGTCCTTGTAGCCGTGCTCTGTAAGCCACTGGCTCATTTCCTGAGCGATACTGCCATAAACATCACGGCCTTCAACAATGGCAGCTGTGCAGATACCAAGAGCCTGAGCACCAGCCATGAGGAACTCAATAGCATCGCGGCCGTTGGAGATACCGCCAACACCGACGACTGGGAGATCGACTTCCTTGCAGACATCATAGACAACACGAAGAGCAAGTGGCTTGATAGCTGGGCCAGAAACCCAACCGTATTTGGATGTTGAGCCCATGAATGGAGCACCCTTGCGCTCGATATCGAGGGCAAGTGTTGGGCCGAAGGAGTTGACGCAAACAAGACCTGTTGCACCAGCAGCCTTGGCAGCCTTAGCGGCGATTGGGGCATCACGGAATGGGGAAAGCTTAACGTAGACTGGCTTGCCACCAGAGCCGTGGATTGCGGCCTTGATAGCATCCTGCATTGGCTTTGGATCATCACCAATGTAGTGTGTTGACAATTCGAGACCATCGCAGAATGGGGCAACTTTTGGAGCCATCTTAGCGATTTCTTCAGCTGTATAGCCCATAGAGCAGATCATTGGAATCTTGGCCTGGTTGCAAACTTCACGGATCTTTGGATATTCGTGTTCAAGCCACTGTTCTGGTGTCAACTCTGTCCATAACTCTGTGTTGAGGAAGTACTTATGGTCCTTGGACTCGTACATGTTTGGCTGTGGAACTTTGGCAGCAGCAACAGAGATTGTCTTTGTGACCATAACACCGCATCCACCTTTGATGCAATCAATGCAAGCTTTGGCATCGCGGACTGGTGGGCCTGGAGCTGGCATGAGTGGGTTCTTGACCTCATATCCTGCGAACTTTGTCTTAAGAGACATTATTCGAAACTAATCAGTTCACTTTCTTGACAGTTTTAGGTTCAGAAATTTCAGAAATTCATCGTTTTCATATCCCTCAAAATTGAATATACAAAAACAATTAAAACTGACGATTTGAGATGTTGTGGGTAAATCAATATTTTCACGATTTTCTGATATTTTCTTATCAGTTTATTAAAATTAACATGATGATTTGAAATCGTCAGTTTTGGATTTCTCATTGAAGTTATCGTATTTCAATTGAACTCCTCGTCCGGAAACATATTACTCAAAATAGAGTTCCAAAATAAACCATTTTAAATTACGAGAATTTATTATTCTTCTGAAATTTTTGAAAAGTTGATTTAAAATCAATCAAAATATCGTTAATTCATCAACAACATATGATAATCTTCATAAATTACAGTTATATTCGAACTACATATCCTATTGACACTATAAATGGCCTCTTTACTACAAATTAATAAAGATTTCGATTAAATTTTGGCTTATTTTAAAACAACAACACTCTAACAAATAACATATTGTTAAAATGATATCATAATATCCAAAAGGACATTAAAAAACGCTTAATTTTAAAAATAGAGTATTGAGGCAGGAAGATATCTGATTGGCTCTTCGTTCGAAAAAGCTCTTAATTTAGTATAAATATAATAAGTAAATCCTATTTCGGACTTTAATTTTATAATTTTTGAAGGTATTCTTTCATAATTAGAAATAATCAATATGATATCATAGAGTTTAGTATTTAGATATTGGCTTAACATGTAATAAAGAAATATTAAATATCTGAAATTATTGAATAAAGATTAGCTAAAATGAATTAATATATATTGTTGTTTCGACCAAGATTGTTCCCTATGATCAGTCACTTTTTGATTTCATATATGCATCACTTTACCACTTTATAACATGTAATACATGTGTATTTGATTATTATTAGAAAACCAAAAAGTTTCAGATTAGGATTTCTATAAGAAAATAATGAATAGCAATAAATAGAGTGTGACAGATAGAAAAAAATAACTATTACTATGAATTACTAAGTTTTTAAGTTTTTAATTTTTTATGGCGATGCAGCAGCTGCAACTTTTGATGCTCCCTTGCATACAAATAACCAAACACAAACACCAACAACTGCACCAACAACAACAACGCAAGCAATAACAATACCTGCAATCGCTCCTCCAGAAAGTTTGTTTGAGCTTGCTGTAGGGGTAGGTGAATTAGAAGCTTCATTTTTGAGATCATCAAGTGTGAAAGCATTTGGTTCTTGAGGGATCCAACCAGCAAACTCAGGGAACCATAATTTATCACCTTCTTTTGTTGTTTCATATGTTACTGTGACTTTATATTCTTCTTCATCTTCTTCATCCTTTGGTCCTATTGCTAATGTATTAATCCCAGTAAGAGTGGCTTCATTGCTTGATAGGTCTCCTTCTGCAGTTGTTTCACCAACTAGAATTTTATCTTTAGGTTCTCCAACTGTTTTATATGTATTCTTCGTTAAGAAAGTTGGATATGCATATACATTTTTTTGCGTTGGAATTCAATTTTGCCTTCCTTTGTTGAAGTTACATACACCATAATGCTTATCTCTTCTCCTTGGTCAGTCATCTTATAAGCTGGAGTGGGCTGTTTATACAATTGAACTTTGCACTCTTTACTACTATCAGAACATTTTATGGTTGAAGTATAAAGATGATCGTCGCCTAGTGGTAGATTGAGGAAAAACGCGTTCTTTGCTGTTTTGAGAGGTTTTGTTAGATCTGCATCGGTGTAAAGATCAACAACGAAGTCAGACTCACTGGCAAGAGTGTATGAATATGAACTTAATTCCCTGCATTCACCTGCATTTATTGTTAATTCATAAAAGGTATCATCTTCTTTTAGCTCTCTGTCAATAATACTCTGACAATTTTCGAAGACATCTTCAGCAAGTTTTATTCTTTTATTCGGAATTCTTATCGCTAAATAAGATAATGCAATCAGCATTCTTCAAAAATGAAATGAACGTTATTCGAAATTTTTTTACGACTCAAATGTTAAAATAGAGTCGTACTAAAAATTCTAAAATTCTACTTCAAAAATATAGAAATGATATTCCTATTTCAAACTCTACTATTGAAAATAAAAAATAACAATGAAAATATATAATATGAATCATATCGCATAAAGGGAGGGTGACAAAGGAGGTACATTAAGATAGTGTATTTTATAAAGTTAGTAAAGTGCCAGATTTCGATTATATTGATATCGTAATGCATATTTTAGAGCGTGTTATTCACCAAAACATACTCACAAAATGCTTCAGAAAAGGTAAACCAACTATGGAAGATCGTTGGAACTTTATAGAATTAGAATAGAGTTCCAGTCATCTAACATCGTTGGATAAAGTCCAAATTATTTTAATTCGAATTTGTTCTCTCCTGAACAAATCACAATTAATAGAAATTTAAAAGTTCTAGAGCTTCCAATCGACACATGGGAATCATTGAGCTCCTGATGAGGCAGAATGGCAATCATCCACCTCAATTTATCAGAGGCTTCAATGGCAAAGGCCCTTTGCTGATATAGCTTCAGGAGCTCCTTTTGATAGGAATTTGGAGTTTTACAGAAAAGGATAGAAAAAAAAAGAATAAAAAAAATGAAAAGTTTCAACCATCCAAAATCTATAGATAAAAGCCTTTCAAAATCATTTTCAATACATAGCGTTAGTGATGTGGAGCTTTCTGACTATAAACCTCCACAAACATTTACGATTAACAAGCCAAAATCATTCCGCCACACAGATGGGTCGATGCATCTTGAATGGAAGCACCGCCCATCCAAAGCGCTTGTTGTAGAAAAGATCAATTCTCCAGAATCAAGACAATTTCTTATCGAAGTTGTTCAATATCTTCACTTTGAAAAAGCAATTGTTCCTTATATTGAACCTTACGTTGCAAAAGAGCTTACAGGCTTTAAATTTACCGAAACATTTGAAGATGTGGAAGCTACGCCTATTGATTTTGTGCTAGTTTTTGGTGGCGATGGCACTTTATTACATGTTGCTTCACTTTTCCCAGAATATGCTCCACCAATTGTTCCATTTGCATTAGATCAGCAAGGATTTCTTACACCCTTCCTTGCAAACGATTACAAGAACTGTTTAGAACTTTTATTAAGAGGTTCATTTTATGTTACTCTTCGAACTCGACTTTACTGCGATGTTATTCGCAATAATCAAATTGAAGAAGTTTATCAAGCACTTAATGACATTGTTATCGCGCCAAGTGAAACAGGAAAAGTTTGTGCCTTAAATTGCTTCATTGATGACGAGCTTTTCTCAACATTGTACGGCGATGGATTAATTATCTCAACATCTACTGGTTCTACTGCCTACAACTTAAGTGCTGGCGGTGCTGTTGTAAATCCTTCAATTGCAGCAATTTTATGGACTCCAATTTGCTCCCATGCTCTAAGTGCACATCCTATTATACTACCAGATTGCGTTTACGTTTCAATTTGTATAGATCCGAACTCCAGAACAGAATTACCTTATGGAGTTGCAATAGACACTAAAAGAGCTCAAATAAAGAAAGGAGATTTTATTGGTATCCACCAAAGTCCATTTCCAATACCTACTGTCTGTGCATCTGAACCAATGAATTATTGGCTCAAATCACTAACAAGTATTCTTGAATATAATGAACCAATGGATGTTGAGGAGTAGTTTATGTTGTATTTTTGTAAATATAGAGACAAACGTTAATTTTTTAATTTTTTATTAACTCTGATATATGTCGTCAACTAGAACACCATTAATATGTCCAAATTTATTGACAGTGCCATAATTCGAACATTCATTTTGATGGAATCACCTTTATATATTTATTATCAAGTTCATTTAGAATTCATAAAACATAAATATATATATATAAAAACGTATCATTTTCTAAATATGCTATTTATCGTGTCTTATTAACCAATTTGTGATTAGTAGTATGATATGACGGGTTGTGTGACTTTTTTTGTAAACGTAAGAATTCATACAATATAGAACGATTTTGTATCATTTTTTTTAACATATGAAGTAAAAAAATGTATGATTCTTACGGTTTTTATTCTTACGTTTTTGAATAAATCAAGATTTAAAAAATTTTCAAAATTGTAAGACATTTACACTCAACCCATACATAATGAAATAAAAAATTAAAAAAATTAACATTAATTTTAAAAGAAGCTATATATAGATGATGTCAGATATTCCGCGATTAATTAATTATTTTTGAATAACTGAATGGGTCAAACTTCAATTTAAAAATGAAGATTGTGAATTATTAAATGAATATGAAAGCCAAAATAAGCTAATGATTATTTGAATTTATGAAATCAATTATTTGATTCATTCTTTCTTCAATCTCTTCTATTCTTTTTGTTAAATCATCAATTTTCATTAATGAGGTGATTCTTGATTGAGGAATAGATTTCAAACTAACCACTCCTTTTATTTTTGAAATTTTGAATCCATCAACTTTAAACATTTTATTCAATTAACATGTTGTCAATTCTTCAAATAATTTTTTATTATTGGCATAATAGTCATTAAATTCTTCAACAGATGAAAAAATTTTTATTTCAGTAATTGGTTTAACAACGTTTATTTTTTGTTGAACATTTTCACTTTCATTTATTTCTTCATCCTCTGTTTCATTTATTTTTAAAATCGGTTTCATTTATCATTAAATAAAAATTAGAATATAAGTGATGAAATATATTTTTTAATTAATATTAAATCAGAAATGGCGGCAGGATTCTTTAAAAAATTATGGGATGGAATTAAGAAAGCTGCGGGTTGGGTTCATAAAAAGATTATTAAACCCATTGCAAACTTTTTGGCACCAGTAGCGAAAACGGCAGGAACTATCATAGGTGGAGTATTAGGTACTAAAGCAGGTAATCCGGCGATGGGAGCACAAGCAGGTAACGCAATTGGTGGAATAGCTGAAGGAATACTTAATAAAATAGGGGGTAGATAGTGGAAAAATAAATAAATATTATTTTTATCTTAGTATCGGTTGTAGTCTTTGATAAACTTTTTCTCCTTTATTTAAAACTTCTCTTATTGGGGCAGCTTTTGGTGTTATTGATTCAGCAACGTCACTAATTGCTTCTTTATTCTTAAATATCCAATTTGCCCCTTCTTCAATGTTTCCCAAACTTTACTCGCTCCTCTTTTTACTCTATCCCACAGTTTCTTAAATATACCTGCAGCCATAGTTGATTATTTCATTAAAATTAAAAATTCATTTTCATCTTTTAATTTTGATTTTTTATTTATTAATAAATGACGACTAACTATTTAGTGCCAAACACTAAACCGATTAATGGAAATGTGTTTCATTCATTCGAAAAGATAAATGAAATATTCACAAAGAATGACGGTAGAAGATATTATAGAGAACTTGAAAGTTCATGCTATGACTCTGATGCTCCATATTTTGATGATAAACAAACTCATTTAAGAATTACAAATCCGGCTCATGATGTGAACCAATTAGGTGACACATATATTAAACGCAAAGTTAAAGCAACTCTAGTTTCAAATAAAGCTTTCACATGTGATACCACTTTTAAATGCATGCGTTTATTCGTTGGTTACAAATCATCAAATCAAAACTTTAAACAATTAGAAGTAGAAACTGAAAGAGGTGATGCCGGTTATCTTCAGATGGATTGCGCCCGTGAATCTTTCGCATTTGCAACATATAAACCAAAATCAGAAAGGAAAGTTAAAAAGTTTGTTCATTCGTTATATAATAATGTTCAAAAATATGATAACTCAGTATGTGGTAAATATATTGACCCTTCAGAAGTTTTCAAGAGAGCAAATGAAGAAGTTGATATCACTTTTGATATGATTATTCTGGTAAATGATTTGTTAGCATTTCAGGCGTTCGATGATTATCCTAAATCATTTGGTGAAATCATTCTTAAATATTATGTTTTCAGGGATACTTTAGTATTTTGTCAGGTTGACCCGTTAAGAGTTGCTGATTTACAAAATTACGTTTATGAAAAGATAACTGATGAAAATTATGAAAAGATTATGAATCATGTTTATAAATATGATCGCAAATTCCAACAAATCGGACTTCCTACCAAATTAATTACAAGCTTAGCTGCTACATCTGCTGACGCAACAGTTGATGACGTTATTATTTCATGCACAAAGATGGAAGTTTTAGAGGATAAATGCATTACACCAGGATACGGTTTAATTGAAGAATCAGTTAAAGCAATACCACGTTTATTCAGTAAGGAAGATCCATTCATGATTCCAGCTCAACATATTGACGTTCGTTCACTAAATGGAGGTTGCATCACGCCTGAAGGTATTAGCTCAGATTTCTCATACGCTCTTCATAATGTTACAGATGTTGTGTTAACATTTCCGAAAAATGCAATGCAAAGAACAGTTTTAGAAAATCCAATGCTTCGAGGTCTTCAGGTCACTATAGATTCCAGAAACTTCCCCGATCAAGCGATGACCACAGTGGGTGACATATTCTTTACACGTATGCTTCAAGCTTCTGATTTAGATGGAGTGAATGAATGCACAGAAGAATACGAGGACTCATTAACTAGACCACTGAATGATGATGATGGCGCGCCATTAGCTAGAACATGGAAAGACCAAACTTCATTCTTATGCACTATTCCAGTTCAACGTGATGGAGCGGGTATATTCTTTGATGGATTAGAAACTTTCAACTCACAAGTTACAGTACAAGTGAAAGCTTATCCAATCATTCAGGGTGGAAATGACACTTACTGTTCAAAGGTGACAAATCCTCCTCAGGTTTGGTTTACTAGGACTACATATTGGACATGGACACCGGATGAAGGTTTGAAATATCATCCAACAGGTACACCACCGCAGTATAGAAGTTCATATGATGAAATATTGATGAATAGAAATGTTTAAAATTATAAATTTATTTTTGATTAAATGGATTTAAATTCATCCACCCCTTATGAAGAATTAGCAGGAGTATATAATACATACGTAGATGATATGATTAATGAAGCATTGAGTGATAATAGAAATGCTCTATCTAAGGAAAAATTAATGAAAATTCCATATTCTGAATGTTACTTAAATTCAATCACTGCAGCAATTGGTAAACAAAATAAAGGTAAAACATTAACGATATTAAAACAAATTATCATTATTGCTAACACTTCCCCCCATTCACATGTGTTAATTTATATCAACCGTTCAGGTTCACCTTCAGATGATACATTTGAATCTTTAAAGCATTTAATCAAAATTCCAATTATTTATTTATCACAAGAAGAAGCAGAAGATTATTTAAAAAAACTTTTTAATGTATAAAGAATTATATAATACAATCAAGAAGCAAGGATTAGAGGATAAATTATTGATAAACAACGGGATGAATTATTTGAAACACTTTCTATTTCAAATTTTGATAGAGAATTTTTGCATTCACTCATTTTTCTAGATGATGCAGTGAAATCAAAACTAATAACAAACGAGAAATCATATTTTAATCAGTTATTAACTCAATGTCGACACATTCAGTGTTCATGTGTTATTCTTTATGGCTGTTCAATATTTCAAAGCATTAAGCACAAACATTAAATCAAATCTATCAACACTTTTCATTTTCAGTGGGGTTTAGTCGTCAACAGTTGAACGTTATGCTTTATCAAGTGAATTTACAATGAGCATTAATGAACTTTACACACAATATCAGCAATTAGGTGAACATGGAAAAATAATAGTTGATTTAAATAAAGGAGGTGTTAAATTTGATTAACTTTTTATAATTAATTTTTATTTTTTATTTATAATTAAACATGACAGAAATAGCAAATCTTCTACAGGTTCCATTAAAACAAGGGACGAACAAAAGGGGTGCATATAATAGAACTATGAAAGTTCCTGATGGAATGAAAGAATTAGTTCATATTGTTGCTGGTCTTCAAAAAGATGTTAAACAAATGAGAAACGTTTTAACATTACCAGAAGCTCAAGCATATGCCAAACGTCATGGTCCAAATTGGGAAGCACACGAAGCAGACATTACGGGTCCAAATGGAAAACCTGATGGTATAAATGAAGTTTTCGTTACTGATGGTCAAGGTAATATTAAAGTCATAAATGGTTATAAATTAACTATATCTGATTATCCTAAACGTAAAGGCATATAATGAACGTTATCCTATGCAATTTGATGAAAATGGAAAAGCTGTTAAACAATACATTGGGAAGGTGAAAATGGTCCAATTAATTCATACCGTCATAATCCATATTCTTATTTCAATGAAGAATTAAATGCTATTGAAGAGGGACCGGATGGATTACCACGATATTCTAACCAGTTTGATGGTCAATATGCAAATATTAGACCCGAAATTTCAGCTAAGAAATTCTTTAAAGTTGCTTTATTTGATCCAGTTTTCGCAAATGTTAAAGATGAACTTAAACAGCAATTCCAACCAATTATAGTAGCAAGAATTGCATCAGGTGCTTTATCTCAAGCATTCAAAGATTTAATTAAGAAACCATTATATCAGCAACGAGGTTTAACTTATGATTTAGTTAAGGAATTAGATAAAAGAAAATTTGAGAAATCAGATGATTATAAGAATGCAATTAATGAATATATTCGGTCTATTAATTTCGATGAAACAGCTAAAAATCAACTTCATGAACAAATACAGGGGATAATAGATTCAAAAGTTCCAGCAAAATAAAAGTTTAAATATATTTTTTTTATTCGAATATAAATGAGAAGACGTTTCACCAGTCAAAAGAACACTAACGCAAAAGCAGAGATTACGGTTGGTTATAACGTAAATGATGATAAATCACGAATTATTCAAAATGTTAAAGTTAATGTTAGCCCTGAATTAACAAGGTCAGCAACTCAACCAAATTTATTAACTCGTGACTTACCGAAAAAGGAGGAGGAGCAAAATAAAGAAGATGGAGACCCAATCATTTTATCCGAACCTGGTAAAGAAGCCGTTGAAATTCCCACTTATCCAACATACCCCCACCTCTTTCATCGAACATCGAGAACCCATATAAAATAGACATTAATTCTGAATTAATGAAAATTTACCGTGATATAATAATTAATAATTATGATTCAATAATAAATTTAATTGACCAATCTAGTTTAATTATTTTATCTTATGAATCATTAATTCACATTATCGCCATTCTTTGTGATGTTCAAGATTCAGACGTTAAGATTCAATTTTTCATAGATGATGAGGTTTCATGCTGCGGAACAGTTGCAAAAATAAATCCTATAAAGGATATTAGCACAATTAAGATATCAAAGAACGGAACAACAACTGAACTTCATTTAACATATAATGATATTTATAATAAAATAGTTGATGAATATAAAATATCACTTGAAAAATTCTTTGTTAAGGCTATTTAATATTCAAGCATTAACATTATCGAATAATAATCCTTTGAATCATAATCAATAATAATTGACCTTTCACCAGTTTCTATCGTTTGTTTTATTTCTTTTTGTTCCCCACTATCCGGATCGGTCATTGTAATTGTTTTTGTTATAGTATCAGCTTTATCTTTAACTTCAATCTTTTTTCCATCGGGATATTTAAACCAAAATTCTAAAAAATTCGATATTGTCAATCTGTTCATATTTTAATCTATCAATTACATTTTTAATACCATCTGAAAATCTTATGAAATGGTCATTATATGGGTTTGATTGAACTAAATTTGAATGAAGTGAAATATAACCTGTTGATGAATATGACATCGACTCATATTTTCTGAAAACACTAAAATTTATAACATGAATGAATTTCTTATTCGTTGAATTTATGAATTCTTGAGGTAATCTTATTCTAGTTTTATTTATCACTGGAAAATAACGCTTTACCATATTTTTAATCGTAATAAAAATGTCAATTATCAATATTATTTCGAATAATAACTGTGAATTAAATTTAACAGTTAGTGGAATTTATAATGTTACTCTCGTTTCTGTGAGTGGTAAATTTAATCCCATTCTTTTAGACCCTTCAGATTTATATCATTTATTAAAGATGACCATGAAAAAACGTATGATATGTATATAAATAATGTGATAGCGAAATGGGATATTAACACGATTTTAAGTTATTTAAATGAATCATTTATCGTATGGTATGAAAAATTTTAAATCAAAACCCGATAAACTTTTTGAACTTGATGAAATAAATAACCTTATTAAATTCCCGCTGAAAATTAAATTTTGTACTCCTCATCTTCGTTCATTGTTGGGGATATTAAATTTTGAAAAAGATGTTGGGGATGTTTTGTATTCTGACACCGGTTCCAATTTCATTTTAATCAAATGTGATAAAGTTAATACCCCAATGAGATTTTCACATCAAACATTAGACCCTAACTCTTACCCATCAATACAAAACATTTTATCCATCAACTTAAACACATTTTCTTTATCATATCCGTTTCAATTATCTGGGAATTCATTTATTCTTCATTCAAAAGATTTATCAAATATTAAATTTAGAATAACTGACCTATTTGATTGTGATTTAGAATTTATGAATGAAATATTATGGCAATTTCAAATAGAAAAAATAGCTGATGAGATAACGGATTAAATATTTATTTTTAAATCATAATAAATGATTAAACAACAGCAACCACAGCAACTTAAGGCGCAAAGCACCCAGGTCCTTCAAACCATTACATACGCCATATATGCATATAATTCAAAGACAGCAGAACAAACACAAAGGTTGAAATATGGAGATTTGGAGATAGTATTGAAAAATGACCATTTCGAATTCGTTTGCAAAGGTGGTGCAGTGATATCAAATATAAAAGAAATTTTATTTATGAATTCAAAAATTAAAGGAATAACGGATGATATAACATCAATTCCACCAGAAGAACAAAGATATTACGCATTAAATGCATTTCCTAAAGTTTTGAAGATTGGAAGATTTAATTTAAATGAGGAATTCATAAAAGGTTTCCTTAATGACATAGAGAAGAAAGCAGATAAGGAATATGTCAACGGTGAGTTAGAGAAGAAAGCAGATAAGGAATATGTCAATGAAAAAGATAATGAAATTAAAGAAAGGGTTGAATGGTATCATGAATGGACATCAAAGATTTTAAAAACTAAAGCTGATACAGGATGGGTTTCAGGATGTTTAGACCTTAAAGCAGATAAGGAATATGTCAACGGTGAGTTAGAGAAGAAAGCAGATAAGGAATATGTCAACGGTGAGTTAGAGAAGAAAGCAGATAAGGAATATGTCAACGGTGAGTTAGAGAAGAAAGCAGATAAGGAATATGTCAATGAAATATACCAAAGTTTGATAGGAACAACTAAAAATATTGAAACTATTGTTGGTGACTTTTCTGTCAATGAAGAAAATAAATATTTTAGATGGCAATTGGTACAGTCCTTAAAAAATGGTATACGATGTAAACTCATTCCGAAAAATAACAATGAAATGTATGTAAGCTATAAAAAGAATGATGGAACACAAGTTAAAGTTCCATTAGACAACAACTGCTACTTAAACATATATGGAAACGAACAAAAGAAATATTTAAGAGTTTATGAAATGACAGATATGACATTGCCTCACCCAGCTCCAGCACCATATTATTATGACTATGGAGATGACAACAGAACACCACATGTAGATGAACAAAAGCTAACATTATATTTAGATTATTATAGATATAAAAGATATAATGCAATAGAAAAAACGAGAATAGTATATTATTATACAGATGACAAAAATAAATATTATAGTCAAGATTTTACCTACCCTGAAAACATAAGATTATATTATAAAAAATATTCTGACACAAACCAGAAGAAACCTGAAATAGTTACACTATATTTTAAGTTCAAAAGAGACAATCCTATATTATCTCATATGTTTGATTTAATGAACCCAGTAGGTTCTATTTATACATCTATGGATGCAAGAGGTCCTCAAGTAATGTTTGGTGTTGGTGCATGGGAACAAATAGTCGACAGGTTTTTGTATTGTGCAAACTCTTCAAAGGAAACAGGTGGAAGTAAAACGATTTCAGGTGAAAATTTACCTGCACACAGTCACTACATAGATTTAAGTACATCTCAGGCAGGTTGGCATAAGCATAGATATTGGGATTGGTCAGGAATGACAAAAGGTAAAGGATATGATGTTAAAGACGACGTTAAGTTTGCTATAAATTGTTACTGGAGTGACACTCAGGGAGAAGGAAACCATACACATTTCGTTTCAGGATATACACAAACAACGGGACAAAGTAAAGAATACATGCCACCTTACATGACAGTTTACGCATGGTATAGAGTTCAATGAACGCTCAATGTTTGTAAAACAAACTTTAGAACGGACTGAAAGTCCTGAGCTCCAAAAGACCAAAAATAAACGCTTTACATGTATTTTTCAGCAACTTCGTCAAATAATTTTATAGCTTTATCTATCTCATCTACTTCAAACGTTTCTTTACCTTTCGTGGGAGCACCATACATTTTCTCAAAAACTTCAAGCAGTTCTGTTTCAGCAGCTCTCATATCATTAACAAACACAACCTTGACTCTATTGACTGTAGAGTCATATCTTTGAGTTATATTATATGTTCTTCCTATCTTATATCTTTTTGTGTTGAAGTCCTTCGGTTTCTGAACGATGTAAAAAGTAAGCCTTCACTGCAACGTTCTGAGTCGAATGAACCATATGTTATGAAGTTATATCCAACAACTGGGTCTAACCATAACAAAACTATTGGTATAAGACTTTTGTCTATAAGATATGCTCTTGTTCCATGAAATGCTACTGATATCATAAGCTCAGGATTTCTTGTCAAAATTTTCTGAGTTGAAGCATTTCTAACCCAGTCGTTTGTTTTCTTTTCAGATGGAGATATAATGTCTGACAAAGAATATTTGTTGTATTTCTTTGAGTATCTTACGTTTAAATCACCTATTCTAACCACTTTGGTGTCATTGTCTATCTTTCTAACTATTTCAAACTCAATGTTTGTCATTACTGTCTTTACATATGAGATAAAGAAATAAATAAAAATAAAATTAGCGTTATTTTTCTAACTAATGAAATTCATTATTTTTTGGTCATGGGCTATGCCCCGCCGCTTTGCGTCTTTATGTTAAAATAAATGGTACCATTAATGATATCATGACTGTTCTCATTCATGTCTGATTTACATCTAATGAAAAAAGTTTAGAAGAATTTTCTTATTCTTTCTGGCATATTTGCCATTACTACTTTCAACTAATTTAACTTCTCTGAAAAAATGTGACAACATGACATTTTGACAACAACATAGGAGGATGGTATTTATTAATTATTTTTGAAGAACTGATGAGGTCACCAGGTCACCAGGTCACCAGGTAATTTAACTTCTCTGAAAAAATGTGACAACATGACATTTTGACAACAACATAGGAGGATGGTATTTATTAATTATTTTTGAAGAACTGATGAGGTCACCAGGTCACCAGGTAATTTAACTTCTCTGAAAAAATGTGACAACATGACATTTTGACAACAACATAGGAGGATGGTATTTATTAATTATTTTTGAAGAACTGATGAGGTCACCAGGTCACCAGGTCACCAGGTAATTTAACTTCTCTGAAAAAATGTGACAACATGACATTTTGACAACAACATAGGAGGATGGTATTTATTAATTATTTTTGAAGAACTGATGAGGTCACCAGGTCACCAGGTAATTTAACTTCTCTGAAAAAATGTGACAACATGACATTTTGACAACAGGTATGAAATTTGATGTAGCCCAAAAATAAAGTTAGTTTTAAAATTATTTTTATTTTTTTATTCCTATATAAATGACAGCAACAAACAACAACAGCAACTATATCGTTTCTGATGAAAAAGTTATTGATTCATTAGTTGAGGAATTAGCTGAGGAATTAGTTATGGCAGAAACTAAAACCCTCAACGAAAGAATTGGTGAAAACAAGATTGATTTACATAACTACTCAAATACGATGGAGGAAGAGGAAGGAAAACTGGTATGGCTTTATTAGTAAATAAAATTTCGAATTTAACGATTATAGATGTTGATATCAATAAATCGTACAATGATGAACTTAAAGAAACAGTTAGAAAAGACATTCTATCAAAACTTTCGGATAAAGATGTTATCGTTAAAACCGCTTCAGGAGGTCTTCACATTTATTGCAACACTAATTTCTTCTATGCAGTTTCGAACAGAATGATTAAATGTTATTCCTGCAATGATTATGATATTGACATAATGACTTCTATTGATGATTCAAAACGTTCATTAGTGGTTATGGCTGATTCAAGAGTTCGCAAGAATGCAAAAGAACCAATCAATACATACTCATTCATTCGTGGAAGTTATGATTCAACATTAACTAGAACAGTGAATGATATATTAAATGATTTGAATATTAAGGTAAGAGTTGAACAGAAGAATGAAGAAATAAAGAGTATCATGAATGAAAACAAAGATGTAAACATTGACGATAAACTAGCTCAGAGCATAGTTGATGGCATCTGTGATTTTGAAGTACATAATGACGGTGGAAACATGAATTTAGAAAAAGAAATAACATTATTCACACTGTTCAAGCAATTAATTCGTTACCTAATCATTTAATTAATGAAGCATAGAATAACGTTTATAACTTCTGCAATTTAACAGAAAATGCTAAAAGTAATTTTGAAAAAGCACGTAGTAGATATGCACATTTAATGACTTCTCCATTTGTTTTAGTGAAGATTCTAAAACTATACCAAAAAGAATATTATGATGAATACGTTTTACCTTTATTACGTAAGCCAAAAATAACATTTGATATAAAACTTGATGACTCGTTTTTGATAACAGATATTAGACGGAAGGCTGAAAATCATCAGTATAAAAACAGTTCTGAAGTAATTGAGGATTTATCACGTGTAATCCGTTTTGTAGATTATGGAAACAAATACTTCATTCAGAAAGATTACAACATACACGACAAAATGAATCAAATATCATTCGTTCTTCAATCAAACATGAAAGAGTCACTCAAAATGATTAAAATTATTTAAAGAAGAAGGTAAAACAATAACCAGCATGGGACATACTATTAAATCAATTGTCTTCATTAACCGTTAAGGGTGTTTGCTTTAAATCTGATTCCCCAGATGTTTTCTCAACGTTTCAGTTATAAATACAACGTTCTCGAAAAACCAGATTACTCAAAAATTGAGATTTTATGAATTCATTAAAAGAAAGCCGTTTGTGATAATAACGATGAAGTGTATAAATACCTTCTCGGCTGGATTGCATCAATGATTCAAACATCCTGGAATCAAGAATGAAACATCAATTATTTTGAAAGGACTTCAGGGAACAGGTAAAAACAGATTCACTGACATTATTTCTGAACTTCTCGCCGGTTATTCATGCAAAAACATTACCGAAATAAGTGAGCTAACGGGTAATTTCAATTCAGTAGTTGAGAATAAAATGTTTCTTGTACTTAATGAACTCAAGAATGTAGGTGAAGATAGACTCGCAAACTTCAACGCTTTGAAATCAATTATTACGGATAATGAGATAAGAATTAATGAAAAGAATCAACCCAGAAGAACTGCTCAGAACGTTGCCAATTTCATTTTCGTAACTAATAACGTCTACCCTGTCAAAATTGAAGTTGGAGACAGAAGATATGTAGTTTTAAGAGTTAATGGTAAATTTAAGGGTCAATTTGATTACTTCAAGAATTTGATGAATTCATGCACTAAGGAATTTTATGATAATTTACTGACGTATTTTATGCAATATGACCTTTCATCATTTAATGTACGAATCATTCCGATGACTGAAGCCAAACAAGATTTAATTGAATTATCAACAAATCCTTTAGATGTATGGATAAATACACATTATGATGAATTGTGTGTAGGTATGACGTGTAAAAATGCTCTATTCTGCAAACCATCAGACATGAAAGACAAGAATTTCCAAATGAGTATTAAGGATAAATGTGATAGGAAACAAAGAAAAATAGATGGTAAACAGACATGGTGTTATGTTTTGAAAGAAGAAATGAAAGGATTATATAAACAGGTTGAACCAAACGATAATGATGATTCATTTACTGACGATGAAATACCTGTAAATGATGCTTTATAAAGTATGATTGGAATTTATTTTTGTCATCCTCCTATGTTGTTGTCAAAATGTCATGTTGTCACATTTTTTCAGAGAAGTTAAATTACCTGGTGACCTGGTGACCTGGTGACCTCATCAGTTCTTCAAAAATAATTAATAAATACCATCCTCCTATGTTGTTGTCAAAATGTCATGTTGTCACATTTTTTCAGAGAAGTTAAATTACCTGGTGACCTGGTGACCTGGTGACCTCATCAGTTCTTCAAAAATAATTAATAAATACCATCCTCCTATGTTGTTGTCAAAATGTCATGTTGTCACATTTTTTCAGAGAAGTTAAATTACCTGGTGACCTGGTGACCTGGTGACCTGGTGACCTCATCAGTTCTTCAAAAATAATTAATAAATACCATCCTCCTATGTTGTTGTCAAAATGTCATGTTGTCACATTTTTTCAGAGAAGTTAAATTACCTGGTGACCTGGTGACTACCTGGTGACCTGGTGACCTCATCAGTTCTTCAAAAATAATTAATAAATACCATCCTCTTTATTAAATTCATCTCTTCCAATCAATTCTTTTATTTTTGCTTCACTCAGTTTAAGGATTGAACGGTAAGTTTCTAATTTTTCGATTATTTCTTTCACCTCTTTATCGTTTTCAACCCCACCACATTGCTGCTTCTTTCTGATTTAATTCTGTTTAGTTTCTTTTTATATTCATCGTCTGGACTCTTGGCTGCTTCGTTGTCACTCATTTCTTACGAAATAAAAAAATTAAATGTTATTTAAATATAATGGAGTAATAAAATAAATCGGAATTTCTATTAATTTATTGTTAACCTCAACTAATACATTACCGTTAATATATCTAACAAATTCAGCTATTGTGTCAAATCTTCGTCTTCTTTTTGTCATTGATTTATCAGTTTTTCCATAATCGAGATGAATCAAAACTTTATCCCCTTGTTTAAAATTCATGAGCCCCGAATTAATTTGTTCACGTTTAACATCATTTAACCTTTCCATTTGTTTTCTAATATATTCCCATTCTTTTGAAATATCATTTTTCATTTCACTGGTTTCATGTTTATAGTTCTATGCCATGTATTATTGTAATAATATACTAACTGCTGTATGATGGAGTCATGATTTCCATCCCAGTATATCTGACCGTTAACCCCTAACGCATCTCTAAGAGTTCTCATTACCACATCAACTATTTTATTATGAAACGTATATGGAGAGGATGAAAAGTAAAAATTAATTTGTGGGAAATAATGAGCCATAGCTGCCTGAAATCCTTTATCACCATCACCCCTTATATTATCTACTCTTTCATGATCTAGTAAGTATTGTATAGCTCTTCTTGTTTCCTGTTCTGTTTTCCCTTTCACCGGAATGCAATATAAATATCTGGTGTTAATGTTAATGGCAAATAAATAAGTAACGTTTCCTTTTGAATATTCTAAATGATCGATTTCGTATGAATATGGATATGGAGCAAATGAAGGGCGACTAAATTTTTCCTTTAACGGTTGAATTTTCGGGTCAATTGGTTTATTTAATATCTTGAAATCCTTTTTAAAATCTTTTTGCTTCTTTAATGTTTGAAATGGATATAATAAAGTGAATGATGAAGGATTAACTGAAGGAGGAGGAGGTACTACTGTTGGAGGTTTTGGTATTGCAAGTGATTTAATTTTATCTGCTTTGATTTTGGATTTCATTCCTCCTTTCATTAATTCTGGATGTATTCTATTCATTTGTTTTAAATATACTGTATATAAAGGTTTGATATACTTTCCCGCTTCGAGTTTATGTTGAAGGATGAATTCCAAAAGTTGATCTTCATTTAAAAGTCGGGCTGAATATGGTTTAAATAATAAATCATAAATTAAAGCTTGTGCTTCATTTATGGTCTGAATGACCTGGGCGTTTTGCACTTTTAGCTTTTGTTCCTTTGTTTTTTGCAGCTCAGGATTATATAATTTATATAATTCATCAATATCTTCTTCTGTTAATACTTTATTTTTGAAATCTTTCAATTGTTTAAGTTGTGATTTAGTTTTTCCCTTTGTATATTCATTATTTTTAATTTTGTCTTTAATTTTAGAAATTATTTTATCATGATATTTCAAAATTTCATTTTTATAATATGAATAATAATAATCCATATCATCACCTGTTATATTTTCATCATATTTTTGGAGATGTGCTTTTAATTCATAATAAGTAAGAAAATTTTGATTAAATACTAAATCATCAATTAAAATTTTTAAATCTACATTATCCATTTATATAAAAATAAAATAAATGTTTTAAGGGCGCCCACCTCTTTGATCAAGAATCAAAACCATCATTAACGGTTCCTTTTGTCTCTTCTGTGGCATTTTATTAAAATTTTAAATTGTATTAAATACACGGCATACAACATCCATTTTCACAACATACAGCCTTAGTGTCTGCTCCTGTTAATGCAGTCTTACCAATTGTTAAGCGAGTCATCGTCCTGTTTTTAAGTTGTAAATTAATATTCTGACCATCAAATATCACTTTATCATTTATTATATCCAAATAATTTTTAGGTGTTAATTGTTTATTTTGTCGTAAACTAACACCTTTCATTTTTTGTGCAATCTTTTTAAAATCACCTCCATCAATTGAACCGTTGAATGATGTATAACACTTGGGGCATAAAGCAACCATGTTATCACCTTGTTTCTCAATTGCTAAACCCAATAACTTCTTCTCATGTGCTTTTTCTTCAGCTTTATTCTTTAATTTAGGTTTAAATTTCTCATCAAAACAAAAGAAATCAAAAGGTGCGAATTTGAAAATGTTTTTATCATAAAATTGTTTATCGGTTACAATTGCTTGAAATGCTTGAGTGTTAGGAAGATTTGGATCGCCAGCGATTGCACAATAAGATGAATCAGTATCACCTTCAATGAAATGAAAACGATTAACATCCATGCATTTATACATAAAATCATAAATGAAAACCAAATACCAGTATTTTGCATTATCTAAAGTGAAGAATGCCTCTTGTAAACATGTATCACATCTATAAAATCTATCTTTGAGCATCACTTGATATGTATCTTCACCTATTTCTCTTATGTTTTTAAACTTATTTGACATACATGCAACGCGTGCCTTCTGTGCATTCATTATTTTAGTCTTTGCGTAATTTTGTGTATTCATTGCATCGTAACCATATGATCCATTAAGCGAAATCTTGCAAAATAAACCTTTTCCTTTATTTCCTTCTAATTCAGCCTTTTGTCTTTCGTTCATAAATTCGTTCGCAAATTCATTAAAACAAGTGTTTTTCGTAAATGTTAAAATTGATTGAATATCATCGATGATAAAATGAAATCTGTCTATTAGATACCAAAGATAATAAGAAGAAAATGGTTGATATTGGTTGTGTGTTGATGCTAACTGAGTTAATTTTCTCTGTTTCTGGTCAACTGGTAGATTGTTTGATTTCATGTAATTATACATAAAACTGCCAATTGTTTTTTCATCTGTGATAATATCTAAGTTTCTTATTATCGGTAAAAAGTTTATGTAATCATTAATGTATTTTTCATCAATGTGACCCTTTACTTCAGCCACGAATAAAGTATTTTTCTTCTTAATTATTCCCAATGCTTTTGCTTTCTTTGTTGCTGTATCACAAATGATAACACCATTCAATCTTCCCGGCATATACATTTTATGGTCAGTATATTAAATGAAATCATGAGGATTAGATGAAAATGATGAAGGATATAATGAATTAAAATCAACACCAACGAAATGAGTCATAATGTTGGTGGTGTCCTCATTTGATACAGTTTTAGTTTCTGGACTATATGAAAGTTTATTAATGTGCGTGATTCCTTTAAGATTAACACGATGTTGAACATTTGATAGACCACCAGTAATTCCATTACGGAGAATGTGATAAGCTTCAACTGAATCTAAAGTCATTGGTAAATTATTTTTTAATGCATAATTTCTTAAATTGATTCTTAAACGTTGAACATCTTCATCTTTATTTGATTTTACGACATTGCAATAACAACACATTAACTGACAATTTTCTTTGGTATGTGGTTTTTCATTATCGATTCTATCTAATGTTGGTTTATTTGCATATGTAAACGCTTTACCACACATTTTGCATTTAGATGAAAGGATTAAATCGTGATAGTATTGAAAATCATCCATTGAAACATTATTTTTAGTATCTCTTTCTGCTTTTTCATCTTGTTTCTTATATGATTCAATTTTATATTTCCAATACTTTTTCGTTAATTCAAAACTTGATTCTATCTCTTCCTCAGGATATTTTTCATTAGGATTAAAGTCTTTATATGCTAAAGCGTAACGAATCATTGAAGCATTCGATGATAAAGAAAGATTATGAAGCATATCAATTTTATAAACAAATGTTTCTTCAATAATTTTATCGATTGGGTCAATCATAATTTCAACATCTTTATTGCAATAATGAATAAAATATTCTAATCTATTCTTAAAATTTTTAGCATCATTGAGATATATTTGATAATCACTATCTGATATAGTTTCTTGAGTTAATGCTGAATAAAATGAATCTTGAGTGAATGGTTCCACTTTATATAATTCTTCTTCGTAATTTTCCCACGTGATGAATTGATAAGGGAAAAAGGATTTAACACGTGATTTATTGTTTCCGAAATCTTGAGTGAATTGGTCTAATGTCCCACCCGCTATATAATTTCTGATGTCAATAAATCTCAATTCATATGGAACGTTTGTTTTCTTTACAATGATTTGCTTAAATTGTGAAGATGAACCCAGCATTGATTTTATTTTCCATTTTGCAGTGTTTAAATCACGAAGAATTAAATTTAAATCAAACTTTCCCGAATTAAAACCTATGATATTCACTTTATTGAATTCCTCATCTAGAAGTTCTTTAAATGCTTCCTTCTGTTTTTCATTTAATGTATGAGACAAAGTCCCCACCGTTTGCGGCTTCAATAATTCTTCATATTGTTCAATATTTGATTTAGCAACTAATGAACAGGTTGAAAATAAAAACTCAATCCAATCAGAAATAAAAGAATCACTCGAAGTTAAGCAAAAATTCCTCGTATATGTTTTATCGTTTAATTTAACCGTTGATGATACCATGAATGGTTTTAAGTAAGCGTTCAAAGTTGCACACTCAGAAAGTTGTAATTCTTCTTTAGTCTCTAATGTTTCGAAGTCAAAAGTAATATAATATCTTGTCGGTTTATAATATTCCTGCAAATTGTGAGCTAATAACCACTGATATATCTTCTGTTTCGTAATATGTGGTGCATATGGTTGCTGTGTCTTTTGCAATTGAAAGTCTTGAATTAATCTTCCATTATTTTCTTTACATTTCTCACAATGCTTTAAAAATCTTCTTTGGTTTTTCCTTTCTGGATCATCGCGGATAGAATAAACTTCTTCTTTACAAAATGAACAAACTTTATAGCCGGTGAGTGCTTCAACGTCTGTTATTCTGTCAGCGTGAAGTTTTCCACATGGACTCTGTGTTAATAAAATATTTACTGTTTCAAATTCTGGATCTATCATTATTGATTCCACTAATGGAAAGTCTACCTTATTTATGTCCACGTCTTCTGGTTGAGGATCACAATAATAGAAATCAATATTAACATTTAACATTCTCGCTAATCTCTCACTTTCTGATGAAATGTCAAAACCTTCATATGCATCTATTGCTTCATTTAAATAGCTTCTACGTGTTTTAGGATTAACACCATCAGGAATGTTATAGAAGCGTTTAAATAACCTTCTACCTTCTGCTCTAATTTGATTATCATTCATTTTAGCTGTTCCGTTTTTGTTCATTTATGTAAGAATAAAAATTAAAAAATAAATAAAAATAAAGTTTATTTTTTAAAGTCCATAAAATGAATTAAGAACACATAAATTTTTATCATCTGCGACGTGACGAATACATTTTAATTTACTCAAGAATGCGTACCCTGATACATTAAATCTAATTCCTGTCTTATTTAATTTCACAACTTTGAAAAGGAATGTATGAATAGCTATAAAATGATGAGAAGATGTTTTATGGGTTGCTTCCATTTTTTCTGAAATAAATGAATAAATATAATGCTTATACGTTTTCATATCTTTTATGTTCTTAATAACGAATGGTATGGACCTTTCAACTTCGTCTTCCTTCGGTGCTGTTCTTTCATATGAAACATTATTGGTATCTTCAACAATGAAACCGCAATCACATAAAATTTTATATGTTCCAATGGTTTCTTTTGATATTTTATCTAATAAATCAAAAACTTTATCAACACCCGTGCATTTATTTAAATAATAATTTGTGTAAATATCATGATCTTCTTTCTTAATCGTATTAGTTGCATATGTCACGTTTCTAAGAGCTTTTTTGAATTTTTCGGAATCTAAAGGTGATGAAAATAAGATACAGGGGTATTCTTCATTATCAATAAATTGTAACTTATGTTTACGAATAAATTTAGTACCTTCTTCTGAAAGTGTTTCGTCTATTTCACCATCTAATAAATTTTGTGTTGATTCTGAGACATAATTTTTATATCTTTCTTCATGAGATTTCTGAACTTCTGATTCTGAAGCTGGGATATTCATTAAACCCTCTACTTCATTTTCATTATATTTTTCAACTTCTCTTAATTCCTTAATTTTTTCATCTATTTCATCTCTTATTTTTTCCAGTCTTTCAATTTCATCGTATTCATCATCTTTAATTCGTTCTTCATAATATTCAGGGAAAACATCAGGTTCTTTAGGTTTTTCTTCTTTAGATGTGGGATATAAGAAATTTATAACATCATCTTTATTCATTTTTCCATCATAATCAAACTCATTTAAAAACTCCGCGAATTTTTGACAATTTCTTAAATAATATTTATCAACCTCATAACCCGCCTCCTCTAATATATCCTTTATTTCCCTGTTTGTGAATCCTAATTTTTTAACGTCGTTAGTCTTGACACTCATTTCATACAAAATAAAAAAATAAAATAATAAACATAACTAAGTTTTAATTTTTCGTAAGAAGTTTGACCCATTCAGTTATTCAAAAATAATTAATTAATCGCGGAATATCTGACATCATCTATATATAGCTTCTTTTAAAATTAATGTTAATTTTTTTAATTTTTTATTTCATTATGTATGGGTTGAGTGTAAATGTCTTACAATTTTGAAAATTTTTTAAATCTTGATTTATTCAAAAACGTAAGAATAAAAACCGTAAGAATCATACATTTTTTTACTTCATATGTTAAAAAAATGATACAAAATCGTTCTATATTGTATGAATTCTTACGTTTACAAAAAAAGTCACACAACCCGTCATATCATACTACTGTGATTTCAATCCTAAATAGGAAACCAAAAATTATTAATTTATGTCTTACATATCTTATAGGCACCATTTATGCTTGAATTTATAATCATATGTTGAATTCGATTGAAATTAATAATTTTTCAGGCTCTATCATATGAGATAAATTAATTGATACAGAAAATTATATCTAATTTTAAAGTTATGCAATTTATTTATTCTGATTTTTTTTGTATCGGTTATTTTTTTCTCAAAAAAATAAATGACGACAATTCAGAAAAAAATCATAGTTGTTGGTGATAGTTCAGTAGGCAAAACATCAGTAATCCATAGGTATGTCAAAGGTGAATTCGACAGTACAATTATCGCTACAATTGGAATTGATTATCGTGCAAAAGACATCGAAATAAATGGCCAGAAAATCAAACTCCAGATATGGGATACCATTGGACAAGAAAAATATCGCTCTCTCGCTCCTCAATATTTTAGAAGAGCAGATGGCGTTATTTTATTTTATGATACAACAGTCAAGACATCATTTACTCATTTGCAAAACTGGTTAGACTCGATAATAAACAACGCTCAGTCTTCGATTCCAGTCATATTAGTTGGAAATAAAGTAGATCTTCCTGAAGTTGTACCAAAAGAGCATGCAATAGACTTTGCTCGTGATAAAAAGTTGGAACTTTTCTTTTGCTCAGCTAAATCAGGCGATAATATTGATCAAATCTTTAACAGAATTGCAGAACTTACACTTCAACATACTGTTGAGCAAGATCAGCCTCAAAACGTTGTTACAGTCAAAGAAACTACACCAGAAGATAAGAAGAATGGCTGCCATTGCTGATTTCGTATTTTCCATGATTTTTTTTGATTTTGTTATTTATGTTTTATTCTTTATTTTATTTTATAAATACTCAGCTATTTAACACCACATAGTTATCTAATTACATTATTTCATTTGCTATTTTTTTTATTTTTTAGATAACATGAAACAGATCCATGAAACTACCCAAATAAAGACAATTTGAATAAGTAATCTACTTCAAGAGAAATCTGAATTTGATTTTTGAAAATAGTTATCCAAATTAATGCAAGGTAATTGCAATACAGACCATGATGTAATCAAATCCAAACACACGCTTCATAAATAAGATATTTTATTTGGCATATTTTTAATTACATCTTTTTTATGGAGAAATTTATAATGAATTATTATCAGCAATGTTAGTGTATTCGTGACTTAAAATAATGGCCGATCAAAATTAAATATTAAATTACATATTTTTATCTATGTACAGTTAGTCAATATTGATATAGATGCTAGCTCTATCATACAAAAATAATATAAAACTATCTGGTATAAACTCTTAATAATAAATAAATTTGTTTTTATATCAACAAATAACAACAAATTGCACAAATCAAATGATAAAAAAGGGGAAAAAGAATAACTTAATTGTAATGGATAAAATAAATATTCTTGATTTAAATATCTTTTAATACACATGAAAAGTTATAACTTCTTATCACTTACTTCTTGTTAAGGCGGGCCTGGACCTTCTCGTGTGTGAGAACTGGTGGGCAAAGGAGAGCGATGTTAGCAACGATAACAAGGATCCAGAAAACAGAAATGAAGAGGGAAAGGATGAAGATGCCAACAAGGAATGAGCACCAGATGAGGCGGCCAACGAGTGTCTGATCCTTGTAAAGCTTCTCAATAACGCCAAGAACAACTGGCATGAATCTGAGATACTTAGCAAAGAACTGAGCAGCTTCCTTAGCATCACGGATGTGGTTAGCTTGTTCTGGTGTGCCTGGCTCAACGTTAGCGCCAAATGCCATTTCAAGAACCTTTGGAACAAAGTTAGCAATGAAAGCGTTGTAAACTGCATAAAGGAGTGTGGCTATAGCAACAGCAGCGTAGAAGTTAAGGTTCATCTTACGCCAGATGAAGAATAAGAGGTTCATAACAACAAATGTAACACCAAGAACAATTGGGCGCTTGAGGAAGATAACTTCCTGAACACGGCGGAATGCAACTGGGTGGCTGTTGAAGAAGTTCTCGAAGATTTCTGGGTGCTTGCATGGGCAGGTAAGACCGAATGGGCCATCACCTCTCTTGCAGGCGGAGCAGGAAATTGGGCATGCTTCACCAGCTTCTTCTGCCTTTGGCTCTTCAGCTTTTGGTTCTGGTGTTGGCTCGGCAGCAACTTCTACCTTGCCTTCTTCTTGTGGGACTTGCTCGGGTTGGGCGTCAGTCATTGAGAAAAATTGAATCACTTCACTTTAGAGGTTTGAAACATTTTCTTGTGTATCGTAAAATTTATGTCTCTGTTTTTTAATTTTTCCTTCAGTACTGTGACTCCAAAAACACTTTTAGAAAACAACTGATTTTTTTCTAAATGCTTCCATAAAATTGAAAAAGTTTAAATTCCTATTCTGTAGGATAATTTGTGGATGCAATCGAACAATAATCAATTGAAAAGAATTTCTCATCAGAAATTTGAAAACAATAGTCAAGTTGATTGAATTCATATCTTAAATAACTATCAGAAATAATAAAACTCTTAACCTGAAACATCTTGTTAGATAAAAGATTTTATCAATGATCGTCCAACCATTCAATGCATTTTTCTGAGGATATTGAACATAAAATTTCTTCTCGTATTTTAATATATCTTATTAAAATAACATTGTTATCGATCATTAAAAAACTCATGTAAATTATAAAATTTTGCATAAAATGACTTTACTTCACTTCGGAATGGCATGATCAAACTAAGACAGCATAATGATTCATAATAAATTTTAAAGTTTAAAACAAAATCATAGCAATCAAATAAAACGATAACATTTCACCGAAACAGCATCTATTACATGAATACACTTTTACAGCTCAAACTATACAAAGGATAGATGCATTTCTGAACTCATATTGCCTCTATGACTCAATTCTTGCTGATTATTGATCTTTTTAGCAAAACAGCGTCCATAGACATTATCATTCAATGGAAAACAAGGTATTAATACATCACACATATTTATTAATTGATTTTATCTATTATTTACATTCATAAATATTTTATTGACATGAATTGATCCTAAATTGCGACAATGCCCACACAAAGTAGCACAGAACTTTTAATCCACAATTTGATAGTTCAACTCTAAAGATTTTCTATTTTCTATCAATTTCCTCATCCTTTTTAAACAACCAATAAGCATCCACGATTAATACAACTAAACATGCACGTACAGCTATTAAATAGTCAGATCACTTTCCAGTATTTTTTTTTTAATATTTTTTTATCGTATTGAAATTATGATTTATCGTACAACATGGCTTTACTCATGAAATGAATTAACCATTACGCTCTTTAATACTAAGTAAACTAAAAATTTTGTCTTCTCTATTTTTTTTTGTCTTATTTTTGTGTCCATTGATAATATGAAATCGATTAAATCAACATGTGAATGCCTCATCCTTTACGAAAAGCATTATTAAGTTAGTGGGAAAAAATTTGATTTTTCCAAACACCAATGAATTAATTTCTCATAAATCCACCCATCATATTGTAAAGATTAAATTTTCATGATTTCTTAATTCTCGTTATCACACAAATTTCTCTATAAAAAAAAGTCGTCAATCAAAAATTTGAATTATTTACAAAATTTTCGATCATTTATCTTCGAACGACTCAATCTGATGAATTCAAACTCATGTATTCTTTCTTTATGCAAGCAGAACGTTCGTTATGCAATATCAAACCCTGCGAAAGCTTAAGAATGAATATTAATTGAAAATAAAAAATATCAAACATAAATATATTTCGTATTTCAACACACCTCATACACTCTACAGAACAGTTATTATAGGGAAATCCAATTAATATATTCGTTTACTCAAAGGAAAAAAGAATTTATGACCAATATAATATTATTAGACTTTCTAAGGTGGGACCAAGCCAAGAAGATACATTTCATAATTTAAACACAGTATACGCGGAGAATATTTCTTTTACGTTACTTCAAATACTGTTTTGGCTTTGTCAAAACCTTAATTTTTCCAAAGAGAGTCAAACCAAAATCATAGATTTGTTAACATATTTTAGTTCGATTTTTCACTAAATCATGTGCTGTTGACCGAATTTTTATCCGTGTCACTTTTTGAGGATATAACCTAGTGAATTTCTAAAAATCAATGATTCCAAAGGGGAGCTCTCCTTCAAAACCGGAATCAGCTACTTCAGATAATTCTATTTCTAATGTAGAAATTCTCCAAAGGATCAATTATTACAATACTTTAAATTTAAAGAATAAAGCTTATATTCTCGAGCTTCAGACATACAAAACTCATCTTCAAAATTTATTATATCAATATACAGATGATGCCAATTACATTATGGAATACAGACGTTCATTAAAGACGATCCTTCTTAAAATCAAATCAAAATACCCGCAACTTTATTTAAACACTCCAGAATTAAATCCATCTACGCCTTCCATCCCTAAACAAACAGGTTTTGTGCTACCACCAATTGATACAAGCCTTTTACCAAAACAGTCGTCATTTCCACTTTATCCTGTAGAAGAAACCACCATGGATTTTACATATACCATTGAGTCCTCGAATCCATTTTTCAATAAACACACGGTCAACTTGAAGTTCTTATTAAATTTGCAGACAACGATTTGCGCAATTGATTTTAGTCCAGATGGAGCACAATTCTCGTTTGCTTCAGTGAAATTTTTATATATAGTCAATACAATCAATGGACAGATTGAAACAATCGCTGATATCAGTAAAGGCGTAACAGCTCCAGAGACCATCAGCAGAGTTCTGAAATACTCACCATCTGCAGATATTATTGCAGTTGGAATTGATCCGAATTTTGTCGGAATTTTCGACTTAGAAAAGAAATCTCTTGTTCAGACTTTAAACGGCCATACTCGATATGTTACTGCGCTAGAATATGCACCAAACAGTAAGTATCTCATATCAGGTGGAGCTGATGGAGTAATTTGTATTTGGGATTTAAAGAAATACAGGTTAATTAAGAAGATACAGTATAGCGAAGGTGAACCTAACAAGAACGCAAATAGTGAAGGAGCAGTTTTGTCCATTGTTGCAAATCCAAAAACTGACATTTTCGCAGTTGGCATTGCAAATGGATATGTTGGGCTATTTAATGCAGTTTTTGATCAGGTATCCTCATTTAGAGCACATACAAGTCCATTGCTATCAATGAATTTTGTTTCAAACAGTTATTTAATTACGACATCGGCAGATAGATCAGTTAAACTCTGGCAAGTATCAGATTTTAATGTAAGTATGGCCAAATTGTTTAATGAACATGAAAATTATGTTACTTGCAGCTGCTTTTCACAAAATTATTCTGTATTCTTTACCGGATCTAAAGATAAATCAATCAAATGTTGGGACTATGATAACCAATGCCTTTTGTTCACTCTTAAAGCTTCTTCCAACACAATTCTAAATGTTTCTCATCATCCTCAAGAAAACATTTTTATTGCTTCATCAGCTGATGGAAATATTACATGTTGGTCTTATTTAATGCCAGCCAATTAGGTTTTTTAATAGAAATCGTTTTGTTTTGTTATTTTTATATATTAAAGTTTTTCATTTGTTTTGTTTTATTATATATTATACATTTTTAACCAGAGAACACAACATATGCAAACCGTTCCAAAACATTGCTCTGCCTTTAAAATTTTTGAATTTTTTTTTAAGTTTAATGATAAAATTCTTAGAGGGATTAATTGTATTCTAGCTATATTTGGTTTCTGTGATATTAAAACAAGTTGACATTATAATTTTTTGAATGCTGAATTTGCAATCATGCTTTCTATCGTCAACTTTTTGTTTATTTTTTGCGATACTAAAAGATCACACCAATACACACATTTTTATAATGTTCTGAATAATGCTCGTTATAAAAATAACGTAAACGATTCAAAAGATTTTCGAAAAGTATCTTTATGATTTTACCCGGTGATGAAATCGATGATCGATCTCATTATCCAACATCAACTGGAGCACTTCGAGAACTTGGTTTAGTTCCAGTTAATGCTGAAAGACATCCTCCTCTACTGTGGATTGATGGATTCATCACAATGGAAACTGCCGAAGCACTTCTACCATATCAAAGAGCAAATAAGATACCATGCATGGACTATTTGTGCTTTAAATCTACGATTTTCACAGAATTAAATAAAGCTCGCAAAAAATATCCATCGGCATTCAACTTTTACACTCCAACATATGTGTTACCAGATAACTTCCCAGAATTCCAACGCATGCACTCATCTATATGCTCAAGGAACAACGAAGCACCAACTTGGGTCATTAAACCAAAGAATGGTTCATGCGGAAAAGGAATTATCCTGATCAATTCTACTCACGAAGCGGAAGAAGTCCAAGATCATTCAGTCGCTCAGCTCTATATCCATCCTTACTTACTTGACAATTTGAAATTCGATTTTCGATTCTTCGTATTGGTTGCTTCACTTGACTCTCTTACAGTATTTGTTTACAAAGAAGGAATTGCAAGGTTTTGCACAGAACCATACTCTCCTCCTTCAAAACAAAACAAGAATCACCAGTTCTGCCATTTAACTAACACTGCTGTTAACAAAATGAGTAATAAGAATCCAGAAGACTTCACCCGATTAGCAACTGAAGTTTTGAAGAGATTTGGTGCAAATGAAAAAATTATTTGGGAAAAAGTTAAACGTCTTTCAGCCCTTGCTATTGCTGGCTTGTATCCAGCAATAATGGCTACCCTTCCTAAATATGTCGAGCCAAAAGTTGAATCAAAGACGTTATTTAAACCAAAAACGGCCAGAGACAACAAAGCTATGAAATCAAGCATATCTAAAAGAAGAAGTTTATCTCCAACACGCGAGATGATGCCAAAGAAAGTTCCTGGGCAATCCCTGAAAATTTTACCTGCGTTAAATGAGGAAGAAGAAGAGGCCGCTACAGAGAAAACAGTAGTAAAAGAAGAACCAAAGGTCGAACTTAAACTTCCTGAAGAAACAGCTAATAAAGAATCAACAGAAAAAGATAATGAAGATATAGTTTCGACTTCAAGAACATCTGAAGAAAAATTCCAGTTGAAAGAGATTAGAAATACAATACCAAGGAAATTCTTCCACATTCTTGGAATTGACGTCATGATTGATGAAAATATGGAACCTCAATTCTTAGAATTGAACGACAGACCATCACTATCTGTTACTGTTCCATTCGAGATGCCTCTTAAGAAGACAATGATCATGGATTCATTCAAACACGTCACTCATGACGGCGCTGTCACAAATATCGAAGCGGAAGGAAGCGGATGGGAAATCGCTTATCCATCAAAAGACCACGAACTTAATAGCCAAGTTGCTTTGGCAATGACCAGAAAATCTGATCTTAAATATTCAGGGTATATGCCAGGAAAAGGCGCCACAGCCATGAGAATAGTTGACAGTGGCATCAAGAAGGAGTGGCAAAAAGAACATCGCGCTCGTTTCGAAGATCTCAGGCAATCTATGAAAGCGCCAAAATTCGTCCACTACACCAAAGTTATCTTATAATACTACCACATACTATATATTATTTTGTTATGTTTTATAAATTTTTTATGAATATTATTTTGCCCAAAATTTCGCAATATTTTTTATCAACAATCTATATAAACATTTAATATAGCGATGCCTACCAATGTGCTTAAGTAGTGTTCTCAAAATGGCCATTCGTTTGATCAATTTAATGATAATCCGATTTTTTCGGATTTGAATAGTACGATTGATTTCAATTCAATTTTAAATTATTATCAATTTTTACGATAGGAACAATGAATGAATATCTTCAAGGAAGGATCCTACGCATTGTTGAATCACTCATAGAATGGTCTGTTTGTTCTCAATTCACAAGCGCTCCTGCTACAACAGATGGTTTGGCGATGAATATGTTTATTGTTCCTGAGCAAAAGTTCGATTTAAACTCAATCAAGACAAAATGCGAAAATAAGGAATACAAAACACTCGAAGAATACAGAGATGACGTAAATAAAGTTTTGGCCACCGGTTTAGAGAAGAAGAACAAGGACAATTTCATGTATATTATGGCTCAGGAAGCATATTTATGGTTCAACAACAAAATAAATACACTTCCACGCAATCAAGAACAAGAATGGCGCGATAAAATAGCTAAGCAAGTGGCCAAAATTAACGAATTATTACAGTATAATCCTCTCAATCCACCACCTACTCAAAAGCAAATCAAAGATACATTCTCGAAACTTCCTTTATAATTTCAATTTTATTTCATCAATAATCATGCTTTAATTAGCTAAAGTCACTTGTCTAGTTACATGTGTTACCCGGTTTTTGTTTAGTTCCATTATTTGTTGACCAAAAATTTAATTTTAGGCCACATTTTGGTTCGAATGGGAAATCTCATAATAGTGTGCGATAACGCACCCGACTATTTAGCTTATGGTCCAATTACTTATTTTCAAATGATTTCTTTCTCCATTATTATCTATTTTTACTTATTGTAATAACAGGATCTTATAATATAGTACTAAAAGAGTTTATTAAGAGTATTAATTTTTCTTTAAATATGAATAATTTTTTTAATTTTTTTTTATTGAAAAAAGCATTCTTCTCATATCCATTCCCAGTTGTGTGAGAAAGAATCTGGTTGAACACTAATTTAATGATCAAGGATAATAATGAAAATATTTTTTTTTCAGCATATATCAGCGCTCAGTTGCACTGCGTGCCGAAAGAATGTGTTATATAGGGTCACTACAAAATTTAAGTAGTATATATATGTTTGATCTTAATACAAATCCAAAAATTATATCCGCAATCAATGTGGACATTGTTTACCACAGGTATATCATAAAATTTTTCTTATAATGAATTTTAAACATATTTTACATGGGAAAATGGTAATAAGTACATTTTAAAACTTATTAATGTCTGCGCAAGACGTTCACCCAAATACATACAGTGAATTACATAGTATCCACAAATACTACATTGATTCATATAATGCGTTATATCAGCTAAAAGTCGAAAAAGAAGAAGCAATAAACTTTATTTACAAAATGATCAAATCAAAATTGATTGATTCAAAGAAACGTCACCCCAAAGATATAATGGTAGATATTTTAAATATCATTCCGTATAATAATCGCTATACAAAGTCATATTTATCTCTTGCCAAACTAATTTATGATGAATATCATGTGGAAGAAGTCAACAAAGTCGACAATATTTTAATATTCCTGTTTTATAAAGAATATGGAATTAAATTAGACAAGTCTGCTGATTTCGAAAAAATTAAATTAGAAGATCTCAACATTCATACAGATGATACGATTTACAGAGCAATTATGTATAATGACAAAGAAAAATTTATCATATTCACAGAAAGAAAAGAATTTGATAAAGATCAAAGACTTGAAAACAATTTATATCCATCTTCTTATAATGGATATTCATTACTTGAATTATGTTGTTACCACGGAGCAGTTGATTGTTTCAAGTTATTAAGAACTAAATTTCATTCAGAAATAACTCAAAAATGTCTTCTATTTTCATTTTTAGGAGGAAAACCAGAGATCATGAGTGAATGTTTAAAATATCAAACACCAGATGAAGATTGCATGGAATATGCAATTATTTCACACAACATTGATTTCGTTACATTCTTGATGAATGAACACTATTTAGAGATAAATTTAGATTATTGCGGAATATATAATAATCTTGAATCATTCTTAGTTTATTTCGATCAAACAAATGATATTAACAAATGCTTTTTTTATTCTACGATGTTTGATATTTCATCCTTTTACTAATATTTGCTTTCACATGGCGCAAATATCAATGAAAAAGATGAAGAAGGAAAAACCGCTCTTCATCATGCCGCAATTAAAAATAGTAAAGTGACAGCTGAACTTCTTATTTCTCACGGTGCAAATGTCAACGAAAGAAATCCATTTGGACAAACTGCTTTTTATTATGCAGTGCGCCATAACAATAAAGAAATAGCTGAAGTTCTTATTTTACATGGCGCAATTATCAACGAAAAAGATGAAGAAGGAAAAACAGTTCTTCATTATGCAGCATTAGATAATTTTAAAGAAATTGCCGAACTTATAATTTCACATGGTGTAAATATTAATGAAATTGATGAAGGAGAAGAAACCGCTCTTCATTATGCAGCAGAATATAATAGTAAAGAAACAGCAGAACTTCTTATTTCTCACGGTGCAAGTATCAATGAAAAAGATATAGATGGAAAAACTGCTCTTCATTATGCAACATTTGATCATTGTAAAGAAACTGCTAAAGTTCTTATTTCTCATGGTGCAAAAATCAATGAAAAAGATAAAAATGGAGAAACCGCTCTTCATTATGCAGCGAGTTATAATAGTAAAGAAACAGCAGAACTTCTTATTTCTCACGGTGCAAATATCAATGAAAAAGATGAAGAAGGACAAACCGCTCTTCATTTGGCATTAATTTGTGAGAGTAAAGAAACAGCCGAACTTCTTATTTCACATGGTGCAAATATCAATGAAAAAGATAAATATGGAAGAACAGCTCTTCATTATGCAGCAGAAAATAATAGCAAAGAAACAGCTGAACTTCTTATTTCACATGGTGCAAATATCAACGAAAAAGATAAATATGGAAGGATTGCTCTTCATTATGCAGTAATTTATAATTTTAAAGAAACAGCCGAACTTCTAATTTCACACGGCGCAAATATCAATGAAATAGACGAAGGAGGAGAAACCGCTCTGCATATTGCAGAATTACATAATAGTAAAGAAATGGCCCAATTTCTTATTTCGCATGGTGCAGAAAAATGATATTTCTTCATAACATACTTCTCTTTCATTAAAATAATATATTCAGTTTGTTATAATCATTAATGAGGAAAAGCATCATAAACGTTTTAATCCCGTAAATATGGTAATTATCTGGAATAAAGGGTAATGTGTCAAATGTTACTTTTTGAAATAAGGAAACATCGAATTTATTCGATTTGACTTTTAGATAGGGAAACTGCAATTCACGTATTATAAACATTCCTATTCCTATAAATTGGCTCTAAACATACTTAATTCTATGATAGTTATCTCTTTTCTTCGATAATCAATTTAGCTATCACAATAAAGTCCTTAAAACCCTTATAGGAATCGACAATATGGGATGTGAATATTCATACATCTACATATATATATTAACTCGTTTAAACTTTGTATTTCTTGTATATAACTCATTATCATGAATTAATGATGAAATATTGATTTGTAGTTAATGTGTATTGTATTTAATTTATTATTAAGAAAATTAATAAAAAAGCTTAAAATAACGATATGTAAACTCATTTTATTTTGAATGATTTACTTCTTCATTGTATTTAACAGACAAGGCAAAGCCAGACTTAACAAATGGTATGAGCCACAGACAAAGAAGTCCAAGGATAAAATTATTCGTGAAGTTTCAAACGCAATTTTATCAAGACCATCAAACTGCTCCACATTCATCGAATGGAGAGATAGAAAGCTTGTATTCAACAGATATGCTTCATTATTCTTCGTAATGGGCGTAGATGTCAGCGAGAATGAGTCAATGTGCCTCGATGCGATTCATTTCTACGTAGAAACACTTGATGCTTTCTTCGGCAATGTCCGCGAAGTCGATTTAATTTTCGGCTTCCAATACGCTTACAACATTCTCGATGAGCTTATTTTAGCCGGAGAATTTGTTGAAAGTTCTCGCTATAATCCAATTCAATCAATTCAAGAGCAGAAGGAAGCTATTCTTACAGAACAAGGTCCAAAGTTCGAATTGTAATTTCGTTTATTTTTTTTTACAATTTTTATTGATTTTTTCTATAAATAAAAAGCTAAGCTTTAAATCAAAGCATATATTTACAACATTATCACACAACTCATTACAAATCATTTTATACTTATATTTATTTGATTATTATCAATATTATTTTAATTACAACATCTTTTTCACAATTAATCTGCTGAAAATAGATGTTTTGTCTCATGAAAATGAAAGACTCTATGCATTTTGAATGTTTTTTAAAATTCTCAAATTTAATTTTTGAAATAAGACTGTAATATTTATGAAAATAGATTATATATAGTTTAATAAATGATATATTGAAGCAACAAATGCAAATATAATTTTATTTTTTTATTGCAAATTCTTTGTGATGAAGAGGTACAGTGTTGACCAATTTATCGCAGGATTTGGAGATTACATTGATGCAATTGATACCATCTACAAATTAAAAACATTTAATAAAGGAGAAGTGTTGAAAGTTTATAATCTAATTAAACAGAATTTGATTGAACCCCAGGTTTATTCACCAATTAAGATAATTTCAATAATTTGTGATGTAATGTTATTGAGATATCGATTTTTCAAGTCATACATGTTGATTATTAAGAAGATCATTGATGATTATAAATTACAAAATCTTGAATATTGCAATCCAGTTGTTTATTTCTATTTATACAAGGAATTTAATATGATATTCGAATATGGATGCGAGAGTTATGATAATCCTTTTCCGGGCAAATACGATTTTATTGAAGATCTGGATCAATCAAATTCAATTTACAATGCAATTATTAACGATGATATCAAATTATTTGTTTCAATCGCCGAAGGTCCAGGAACTAATCTATATCAAGCAAAAAAGATATCATATAATCCAGAAGAATTTGGAGAATCATCGAAAGAAACTCTAATGGAATTCACATTGCTTGAATTCTGTTGTTATCATGGAGCAGTAAAATGTTTCAAGTTTTTAAGAACAAGATGTATATCAGAAATCACACAAAAATGTCTCCAATTTTCATTTCTTAGTGGTGTCCCAGATATATTAAATGAATGTTTGAAATATCAAAGGCCAGATCAAAAATGCATGAAATATGCCATTATTTCTCACAATATCGACTTTGTGACATTTTTAATGAATGAATTTCATCTAAAAATTAATGTCAACCTGTGTGCAAAATATAAAAACATATCTGCATTTTTTGCATATATTAATCGAAAACTTGATAGATATGATGTTGATAGTTCATTTTATTGTTCTTTGACATTTGCAATTTCTTCCATGGTGAGATTTTTCTTCAAAACTAACAATATAAAATGTCGATTCGATATGAAAAAAGCTGTTTCCATCATAATTGAAAATAATCATTATGAACTAATCAAGCTTTTTGCTTCACTTGGGGCAGATTTTAATGTCAAAGATGAGATGGGCAAAACATATCTTCACCAAGCTGCGGAAAGCAATGTTCCAGAAATGATAAATGAACTTTGTTCACATGGAGTTAACGTGAATGCCAGGGATAATTTCAGAAAAACACCCATACATTATGCCACAATTAACAATCATAAAGAATCAGTTCAAGCTTTGATATCATGCGGTGCAAAAGTAAATGCCAAAGATTATTATTATGGAAAAACTCCTCTTCATTATGCAATTGAAAATAACAATATTCAAATAATCCAGCTTTTAATTTCTCATGGTGCAAGTGTAAATTCAAATGATATCGATTTTAATACCACTCTTCATATTGCAGCCGAAAGAAACAATACAAAAATTGCAGAACTTCTCATTTCGCTAGGTGTAAATGTAAATGCAAAAAACAAAGATGGGCAAATTCCCCTTCATTATGCATCAATGAATAATTGCCAAGATGTAGGCAAATTTCTGATATCAAATGGATCATATATCAATATTAAAGATAAAAATGGAAAAACACCACTACATTATGCAACATTCTATAAGAAAAAAGAATTTGCTGAAATGCTTATTACTTCCAAAGCAGATGTGTATTCAGAAGATATTGATAAGAAAACTCCACTTCATTATGCAGTTGAAAACAACATTAAGGAAACAGTTCAACTTCTGATTTTGCATGGTGCAAATGTAAACGCAACTGATAAAAATGGGAAAACTCCTCTCCATTTTGCTACAAAAAATAATAGCATTGAAATTGTCAAAATTTTATGTGCCAAGAGAGCTGACGTCAATTCCCAAGATATTAACCTTATTACTCCACTTCATATTGCAGCAAACAATAATTGCATTGATGTTATTAATGTTCTTATTTCTTATGGCGCGAATGTTAATTCTCTTAATATTGATGAACAAACTCCATTGCATCTTGCTTCGAAGAAAGGATACGAAGAATCAATCAAAATTCTGCTCTCGAATGAAGCAAATCCAAATTTAATTGATCTTGATGGGATATCACCAATTGGTTATGCGATACAGAGTAAGAATATGAATATGAAAATGCTGATTACATTATTTGGCTTCTTTGGATATTTGATGGAAATATACATATTATTCATTAAATAAATGCAAATGAAATAATAATTATGCAATATGCGATATAAAACCTTCGTTTTTTTTTTGAAACTTAAATGATGAAATTTTTCTTATGATTCTAACTCATTACCATAATAATCAAGCTCATAGTTTTTTTCCTCTCTTAGATTTATAAATCAAAGTTGATTGAGGATTTTTTGCACGTCAATATGAATCGAGAAATAATAAGAAATAAGTAGTAATTATTATGCCAATTGATTTCTCAATTCAAACAATATCGATTCTGTCTTCAGTTATCTTATGCCTGAAAGTCACTCTGATCATTAAACATTGATTTCAAAGCTTTTGAATTAAAAGGTTTACTTGAAATGCCTATGCTTAAAGCTATTCCAAATTCATTAGATTCTTCAGAAAAGACATGTTTTCATAACGCAGCTAGAGAAATTCTATGGATCTCATATAAGGCCATTAAGTATATTGTGGAAAAACACCTTCAATTGTTGCAGGCTTAAATATTGATCCAAAAACGAGAATCCTTTATTAATAATATCATAAAACATTAGATAAAAAGGGTATGTAATAAAGGTACATCAGATCTTTAGTAAATATCAATGAAAATGTATAGCAAGGCAATATATTATAATATAAAAACAAACAACAAACATTAATGAAGAATAATTTTTTTAAAATTATTTCATAAAACATTAGATAAAAAGGGTATGATATAATAAAAAATAACAAACAACAAACATTTAATAAAAATAATAAATAAAAAATAATCAAGATCTGATAGAATTCAAAAATTCATCTAAAGTTGATTCGCAATAAGGTATCAAAGCGTCAATTTCCTTTCTACTTAGGCTTTCCAGTCTCTTCTTTGCCTTATCCAGCAAAACTGGTTCATTTTCTTTGACATAATCCAGAATCTGCTGTCTTGGCTGGAATTTTGCCCAAATTTCACCCTGGCTCATACTTCTCGGCGTCATAGGTGTTATAGTTTGGTTCATTGCCTCTTCCAGTTTGATCGGATTCGTAAATAAGTTTAAAAATTCCGGATTTTCAGGATCTACCATATCATCGAACAACGCTAGTGTATAGTTGGGGTAGAAGTTAATAACAGCTTCAACGTGGCATATTTTTTCCAGTTTCAACCTCAAATTTAAATTATTAATTTTTTCTCCAACGTTTTTGAGGTAGAAGAGCTTTCCTTTCCATTCCAACGGTATAGGCATTGTCATTACGTACTCGAACAGCTTGGATAATGGCGATCCATCGACAATTTCGTAATTTGTATTTTGTTTTTTGACGAAATCCTCAATGGATTTCCTTAGCGACCATATGTTCTTGTACTTGGTCACGCATATCTTCGAAACGTTCTTGTAATTGATCGTATAAAAATTATCGATCATAACTTGAAAATTGTCCGAAGAAAATGACTTCCGTAATAAATTATCTGGAAGTTTTAAATGACCAAAAGTGACAAGCATCGGATGAAGGTCTTTTCTCTCCGAGTGGAAAAACCTTATTCCATGGACCAATGGAACCGCCGGAAACAGAAAAACGTTTTTCTCGTCGCTGTCGTTGAGCACGGACTTGGCTGATGAGTAATCGTTGTACAGGAGAACAAGAATAAAGGCATTGGCGCATGGACAGACACAGGCGGCGTAAAGTTCGCCGAATTGATCATATCTGTTGTAAATCTCGGAACAATTGAACGTACAATCGATTTCGTTGAGAGTAATAAGGCCAAGCTTGCGATCGTGTGATAAATTGACGTTGAAATATGGATAGATATGGAGTGGAAGATTTTCTTCACCGAAATACATGTAATTGAGCTCTCTCATGGCACGGCGTGCATTCTCATGAGTGTCCATAAGAACTTTAACTATGAAAAAGTTGAATCTGTTTCGGATTTCGACAAAATTTACAATTCCAAATTGAGAAAATGCACTTTCGATGAGTTTTTCGCCTGGATTCGTGAGTAAATCGTTGATTACGAGACATCTGCTTTCGAATTTATGAGCCATTTCAAGTAAATTCTCTTGATTTGGTTCTATGAACGGAGTTTCCTCATAATAGATCTTTTTCTTTGAAGAACTGAACCTGGGAGCTTTGTTAATGGCTAACTTCATGTTAATTGAGCGATTAAATGTTACATATCCGAAAGAACAAAAGCCATGACGGGTTGAAAGGAAGTAAATGTGGTCAAAACCAGAAATTTCTTTGAAGTATTCTTCAAGCTTGCTTTGGTCTTCAGAAGAGAAGTTAAAAACGGAGAGACAGTTCGGTGGTTTATATTCAGCAAACTTTATGGTCAATGTTTTGTTGGAGTTTGGATAGTGCTTGTTATTGAGTACATTGAACACCCTTTCTGCTTGTTTGCAGGTGGCATATGTGATTAAATATTTTGATTTGTAAGGAACAAGGTCTGAGATGCATCCATACTTTCCAAATACATGGTAGACGTCTGATAATGAGGCTTGGGGTGGAACACCATCAATAATCAATCGACGGATTGTTGCCATCCAAGAAAATAATTTTTTTTGAAAATTTTTGTAGCATGACTTAGGACTTTTGAAAAATCATCAAAAATCATATGGAAGGTTATATTTTTGAAACAAAAAACGATCTATGGCCGCAGACATGTGATATGATAATATTTTTACAGGGCTACTTTTGAAATAATATTCCATTGTAAGAGTTAGTTAAAGATTAATACACTTCAGAAATTTGAATTATTACGAATTTTGAGAGAAAATTATGTCATCTTTTGAATTTTTGGTGTTTTTAAGGTGCCACAATCATGATATTTCAATTCTAATCGAAATCATTCTAGTAGTTACATGATATAAAAACACATATTGTATCATTTTTACTCTTCTAAGCTTCTAAAGACAAGATAATGATGATTTTCCATTTTACAATAATAAAAAGTGACATTTTTTAAATTTTCTATGAAAACTGGTCAATTTAATGTTGTTCAGAAAGAAATTAATTTACCAGAAGTTACTCGAGGATGCCATATAATTACAAAAATTATTCTTCAAAGCCTCCCTGAACTTAAAAATTTCAAATTCGGAACTTTAAATATCTTCCTACAACACACAAGTGCATCACTTACAATTAACGAGAATGTTTGCTCAGATGTCAGATCAGATCTTGAAAATTGGATGAATTCGGCAATTCCAGAAGGACCTCATTGGGAACACTCTGCCGAAGGTGCTGACGATATGCCAGCACACATCAAATCATCTGTCATGGGTGTCAGTCTCGATATTCCTATCAATAATGGTTCTCTTTGCCTAGGAAGATGGCAAGGAATTTACTTGAATGAGCACCGAGGATATGGTGGCTCAAGACATGTTGTACTTACTATAATGGGTACAATGAAGTAGAATTACTCTTATATCTTATTTATATTTCAATAATTTTTTTTATATTTTAAAATATCTTTCCCCACCTAGCGAATTTTATATATTTCATGATACACACACATAATTCCTATATTATGGATGTTACATAATCAGGAAATGAAAATTTTATTTTTCTTCCTGATTTCTTGAAGTGAACATAGATCATTTCCACTTTATGAAGATGTTTATAATCTACTGAGTAAAGAAATATCGTAGTAGCTTAAAATAATCGATAGTATTTTTAAAATGAAATTCTGAGTCTATTGAATAGTCAACAACTTCGAGGGAATATCCAATGACTGTACACAAAAATGTTGTTATCAACAAAAATGTCTTTAATGAAAAAGTTATCGTAATAGTTGTAAGTCAGAATTGTTCCAGCGATCATTAAGTGCATTAGCATCAAATAATACTTTATATGCGTCAAAATATTCATAAATTAAAGTATTATGGTCCAAATCACTTTTTTTTCTCTGATTCTCCACTTCGAAACTTAAAAATATAATGTGTAATTTTAAATAGAAGAAGAAATGTCAGGAACTTGATAAAATGATATTTGATATTATTTTGTTGTTGATAAATATGAATAATAAAATTGTTTATTTTAATTAATGAATTAAATGAAAAATAAACAATAAATAATAAACAATATTCATATGAAGAATAGATTGGAAATAAGAATATTGTTAGTTTTAATATAATTATGTTATCTGGTTAGATTATATTACTTTGCTCCAATAGATTTTAGATAATCTCTTACTTCACCTTTTGCAAGCGAGAGTGCAGTATATCCATCATCATTCTTTGCTTCTTTATCAGCTCCAACTGAGATAAGATATTTAACAACTTCAAGATAACCATAATATGATGCCCAAATGAGTGGAGTATATCCATTATTTTCTTTTGCTTCTTTATCAGCTCCAACTGAGATAAGATATTTAACAACTTCAAGATAACCATAATATGATGCCCAAATGAGTGGAGTATATCCATTATTTTCTTTTGCTTCTTTATCAGCTCCAACTGAGATAAGATATTTAACAACTTCAAGATGACCATTAATTGATGCATAATGCAGTGGAGTAGATCCATATTTAGACTTTGCTTCTTTATCAGCTCCAACTGAGATAAGATATTTAACAACTTCAAGATGACCATTATCTGATGCAAAAATGAGTGGAGTATATCCATTATTTTCTTTTGCTTCTTTATCAGCTCCAACTGAGATAAGATATTTAACAACTTCAAGATAACCATAATATGATGCCCAAATGAGTGGAGTATATCCATTATTTTCTTTTGCTTCTTTATCAGCTCCAACTGAGATAAGATATTTAACAACTTCAAGATAACCATAATATGATGCCCAAATGAGTGGAGTATATCCATATTTAGACTTTGCTTCTTTATCACAGCCACATTCAATAAGTGATTTGACAAGATTAAGATTTCCTTTTTCACTTGCAACATGAAGTACATTCTTTCCATAATCTGTTGTCTTCTTCCAAAGTCCTTCTTCACAAGCCTTTGAAATAATTTCGCGATTTCCTTTAGAAGAAAGTTCTTCAAAGAATTGGTAAACACGATAAAAATCTTTGGTTTCTTTAAGTGATGAGATTTTGGTTAAAAATTCTCTAGAATAGTTGTGATCTTCATTAGTTCGAGTGACTGTAGTTTCTTTGGCAGAATTTTGTATTTGATTCTGTAATGTTTTTATTTCTGTTTGATGTTGTTTGATTTCTTCTTTAGAATCACGCATATGTTTGTCGTTTTCATTGATGAAATCAATAATTCCATCAAATATATGGAATTTCATGTACTTTTTGACGAAGTTAAGAATTGAAACAACTTCTTCGATGTTTTGGATAGTAACATTTGCTTTTCGTGTACTGATATATAATTCTTTGGCATTAAGAGTTGATGAAGACTGTTTAAGAAGAGTAACGTACTCATCGGCGGTTAAACGTGAATATTTCATGATTCTTTTGATCTCTATGATATCGAATGTATCAAAAAAGTTTTCGTTTTGAATATAATCACTGAGATGAGCAGCAATGTATTCGTGATTCAGATTCATGGACTGATTCCTATAGAAAAACCGTTACTTTACAAAAAATCCGAAATTTTTTAAAAATCGAAATTTAGATTAAAAATAATCTCATTGCTATACGTTTTATGAAAATATATCTATAAAATTTCATTTCAAAATGTTTAAAAATTCCAAATGAATTCTTCAACAATGACATATAAATTATTGCAAAGCATTGAGTTTCCTTTATCAGAACCAGATGTTTTCGTCGATAATCATAGACTTTGAGTAATATTATTATTATTTCAATCGTCAGGCATAAAACAAGCTAATGATCTGTTGATTCAAGTTTCATGAATAATAGCAATTTGATATGTCTGCAGACAATATCATTAAAACAATTCAAAATATGAACTAAACTAAGTTGAGCAACATATGAATTCATTTTTACTATAAGGCAAAGTTAGTCTATTTGCATATAATAAGCTTGCTTAAAGCTGTATATGACTCAGCCCCGACTTTTTTTATAGAATCTGACAAAAAAATAAAAATAAAAAATGAAAGAATTTGATGACCAAAATCACTTATTTTCAATTGCAATCGGTGATGATACAACAAACAATATTGAAATGATAATAGATTCATCAGATCATAATGGAAAATACGCTCCTTATTTTGGATTTGGCGTTTTATTTATTTTTTTATTAGCCATTGGCTTTATTCCAACATACACAACATCGTATACATCTACTACACATAAGAAAACAGCAGCTCAAAACAGTCTTCCGATAATTCCTATTGTATCCAAATTTAAGATTACTCGTCCAATGAACAATAACCTTCAAATATATATGAAGATACCAGGTTTAACCCAATTCAAGAAGATTTCTCTTTCATATACTTTTAATATTTCTTATAAATCTTATTATGAAAACCTTCAATGAGTGCATACAAGACACATATTTCCTTCTTTTTCGTCGAAAAAGAGCGATTTTATCCAGTTAATCTTTGTTGATAAAATTCTAGATTACTCAGAAATCGAGTTTGTCGGTAGTGTTTTCTAATACTCCCGAGATTAAAGAAATCGACATATATTATATGCATACGAAAACACATCTTTTACATTGCTTATGATCTGGATTCGGATAAATTTCCCAATAATTTTATTAATTCTTATTATTGTACGATTTTTCAAAACTGCTACCACAATAGAACAAAAAGCATGCTCCCTACTGAATTTAGCTACAATTTTCTATGATCAGCCTTTATCAATTTTAAATTTTTACAAACCAACTCCTCTCACAGTTTACTTAGACATAATCTTTTCGGACATATATGGCCCAGTACTACTATTCTTTGTATCCATGTTCCTTATTTCTCGTACTTTCGATCAAAAGTTAACACAAACAATGATTTACCTTCCTTTCATCTATTTCGGTACAACATTCTTTCTTTCATCGATCAACTTTCTCGTGCACTATCCTTGCGATATCCCAGACCAGCTTGGTTCCTTGCTTTCGACTTAGAATATTTGAATACTTTTATTAGTTTTCATTTATTTTTGTCTTTTTTGTTATTATATGATTGTCAACATCCAACATTTTGCAGGAGACCCAGGTATTAGGTTATCCACATATAGAACTATTGTTTTGTTTGTTTCCATCGGAATTTCTATTTTTTCTGTTCTTCAGGCCGAGAATTCAGTCAGAGAGTCTTTGTTTTCAGGTATTTTCCAGTTCGGACTTGTGAACACTCTTTCCATTGTGATGGAGTACATGCATTCAAACAAAGAGGTGTTTCTTAAGGACATTTACGAAGAACCAATGAATCTTGGAGAATTTTCTGATAATGCAATTGGTGAGGCCATCTCTTCTGACTTCTCAGATGAAGTATCTTATTCATCTGAACAATATGAATAGAAAGTTATTATTCATTCTTTTTTTATTTATTTATTATTATTATTTCAAAATTATTTTCAAATTTTCAATTCCAAAAATTTTGAATATCAAAATAATCAAAAATCTTTTGCTTTGATTCTTTTCAAAAGTTTAAGGAAAAAGTAACGCATTAATTTCTAATTTTTCAATTTTTATTTTTATATGTTTGTTTGTTTGAATAAAATTATGATGTATGATTTTTAAACGCAAGTATATATGTTCAACAATGATTTTTTTTTATAAAATCAGAAGAAATAAATTTGGAAATATTAGGCAGTCAACAAAATTTAGTATTCAAAGTTAACATGATTTGGTGATGTATATTATCGATTGTGTTGACTTCCTGACTCTCAAATTATGAAATTTTACAGATTTTAATATATGACTATGAATTAAATGATAAGTAACAAGCAAAAATCAGTATACAAAATATTTATATTCAGATTTATAATAAGTTTTTAATCATATTGATTTGACTTCCTGTTTCTCGGTATCTGTATCATCCGTAACTTCGACAATTACTCTATTGATAACTGTTACCTTTGAATCCATATCCAAAATATAGGGTTGACGTGTACGAACCCTTGTAAATCTCTAAGTGTTTTTCATAACAGTAATCATATTCCCATTGATTGAAGATTAGTGTTCCTTTGGGATAGTTGTCGACTTTTGGAATATGTTTCCTTATGTTTTTCAGTCCTCTTTGAACATCATCAAAGTCTTCTTTCAAATCGAGTAGGAAACCCTTCCCAATATTCTTTCTAAGCATTTTGATCGTATTTCGGAGTGAATTGAGCCATTCATATCTTACTGTTAGTCTTCCTGTGAATATGAGGAAAAAATATAGTGCTCTTCCGTATGATGAGAATCTCAAAGGGAAGAAGAAGTTCCAATGAGCTTCTCGATACATGCAATCAAGAACGAGAGGATTTGCTCCAGAATCATAATATAAAGCTGCATAATAGTGTAATTTAATTTCTTTTCCATACGGATCTTCTTTATCACTCGTATAGTAGCAATCAAAATCTATTCTTTTTAATTCTAACATGTATTTTACAACTTTCCACGGAACTCTAATTTTTTTTCTTCTTTACTTCTAGGATCTGGAATGTATCTAAGCACAGAATCCTTGTTCATCTCCGATTCACCGAAATGAAACTTGTATTGGTCCTTCTTATAAGTCATTTAATACTTTTGTTTATCTGAAAAACTAAAATTATAAAAACCGCAAAATTGCTCACTGAAATTTTCAATTGCATTTATGTTATAATTTTTTCATAAATGCTTAGAGAAATTTATTTGAAACTACTTTTTATTATGTAAATCTGATCGTATTACAACATCTTTGAGGGGAAAAAATCTTTGGCATATTCAAATTTTATCGTTAAAATTCTTGGATTAATACAACTTTTACTTATTGTATTCATCAATTATAGTTCAAATATATCATAAAAATGTTCAATGCTATAATAAAGACTCTGGAATGTGAAATAATATAAGCTTATTGAACAAAAAATCATTCAACCAATAATTTTTTTTCACCGAGTACTAATATATTATGATGTTCATAGAATATTGGAATACTATTCACTTCAAATTGATTTATGTATTGATCACTTAATTTTTTTATATAGACATATGCATATATGCATATATTCAGTGGAATTGATTATTAGGTGATAAAAAGTTTTATTCATGAAAATATTACGATTATAATATAATTTAGTTCGTTAAAATAAAATTTACATCTTTCCCCTAGGATTATGCTTCAAATAAATATTCCTAGCGATCAATATCCACTTTTAATTTATATAGCTCGGCTTTCTAATGTGGACATTGAGCTTTAAATAACTCTTTGTTTTTAAGAAATCAATTAAATCAGCGTTATTAATTGAAGTTGATAACCCAGGAATAGAAAAGATTATGTAGTCATCTTGAATGTTTTGTAATGATATAAAACGTCTCTTAGCTTCTCCAACAATTTTCTCTTTTGATGTATTTCTATCGCATTGGAAAGAAACAATGAAACCTTTATAGCACAACTCTATATCAATTTTTTCAGAGAGTTCGTGATTTTTAATTGCATCAATTCTTAATTTGACTTCATCAAGAGCAGTTATTTTTGGCTTTTTTACAAGATAATCTTTAGATTTATCTTTGCCAAAAGTTTTGAGGAAATCATTAATATCTTCTGGTTCTTTTTGTTCTTCTTCACAAGATGATGACAATGAGTAATCTTTAGAATTCATTGATGATCCTTGAGCAACCAGGTTAGAATTAGGAGTTCCTGATTGATTCAGGAGTGTTTCAATATTGGAAGGAGAAGTTATTATTTTTTCGAATTCCTCTGGAGGAATTAATTCGGACTTTTCTTTGGATTCAAAGTGCGCCTTGATGTCGTCAATTCTAGAATCAATGAATAAGAGATAAAAATCGTTCATATCCGGGTATATAATTTGGAAAAATTCTGTGGCTGCTCCAGAATTAAAAAAGTTAGCTTTATTGCTATCACCTCCAAACAGTTGATTAGTAATGAATGCAACGCATTCACTTCTGGTCATATTGCTCAATTCAGTCTTTTGTAAATTGATTTTTTGAACTTCATCTTTGTATTCACATTCGAATTTAATTAGTGGGATTTTACCATTCATAATTGGAAGGTGAATATCAGAGCCACATCTTGAAAGGAGAGCTAACATCAGGTTTGCAAAAACTGACTGATTTTTTTCCAAATGTTTCCAATTAAACTTCAATGCTTCATCTGAAAGGTGACTAGCGCGAATGAAAACTGTATCATCTTTAACTTCGAAAGGAAACTCTTTTTTAATGCTTGGATGAAACTCGAGCAATTCGCGATAAAGAGCTACATCAGAAAAGGATTTGTCTCTTTTGAAAACTGATATATTGAAACTTTGAATAGAATAATTGATGAGGAATTCATCACTCGCAATTAATGTGTCAGATGATAATATCATGCTCAATTCATCCAACATGTTGATCAATTCAGTGTAATTTCCTTCATCAAAAATTTCTCGGAATAATTTTAAACCGTCGCTGATGGTAATAATGAAATCATCTTTCTCTTGTTTAGGAAAGTAATTCTCAGCAACATCTTTTAATTCTTTTTCGAGCTTTTTTCTAGCATCATCATCGAGGTCGTTTTCAATCAGATATTTCCTAACCTCTCTAATATAGTGCAAATCTTGATAAGCCTTTTCAAAGTAATCGATGACATTTGCCTTACTAGCTAATGCTCTTTCAGTCAGCATGATCCATGGTCCTACCATCCTAAAAAATCTGCATGACGCCAACAATTTTTCGATAAAACTATCAAGACCTGCCTCTAAGAAATGTATTATGTGTCCATCTTCATGACCGAAAGAGAAAGCAGGTATGAATACGGCAGTAGATACACCATTTTCTACAAAAATGGGGAAACTTCTGAATTCAAGCAATTTTTCACTAAACTTGATTGTAGGAGGATTTTTGAAGGTCTTATCAAAGCAAAATTGAGTTCGTGCTCCTGAAATTTCAAAGTTAATTTTAATTTGTTTTTTGAGTATCAAATTAATGATTTTCATGCTTCGAACAATTTCAATTATTCGATTCTTGCCTTCGTTTGTGCAGCAAATCTCTATAAAAGCTAACGCTAAATCTTCAATTGTAAATTTTCTTACTTCTTTGCCAGGAGAGCTCTGAATTGGGCTTAATTTCTCAAATGTTGGAATTGAATCCTCTATTTTAGCCTTTTCATCTTTCTGAGATAGCCATATATTGCAAATATGTTTAATATCTTCTGTCAATTGAAGAGTTTCGATATTAAATGTTTCCATGACTTTTTTTCCGTGATTCCAGTAAGCTTTGCTATGGCCTCTGCGAATGTAGTTACTTGCTGCTGCATTATTTAATCTAAATAATTTTCAATTCAAATTTGATGCATTTTTTTCTATGAAAAATACATCTAATTAAAATATGTTTTAAAGCATTGACTTACATTCACTATATGCATTATTTAATGATTCGATACATTTTACTTCTTAACTGCTTAATTTTAATTTTTCGATTATTTTTTCATGTCTTTTTTTCACATTTAATAAACTTCTCTAAATGTATAGACAATAGTACACTAATTGAACACATTACTTCATAGGATTGTAAAATTCTGCCATTTTTTTTATCATGAAACGATCCTCATCTCAAGGTCCCACTGGTTTAAAAGGAGATAATTTTGATGAAGATGAGGCATTTGATTCTCTTGATGAACAATTACTTGATCTGACATTATCTCCAGTACCAAATTTTGAATTAATTCCTTTCAAAGCTTTAATTTCATCAATAAATTTTGTTGGTAATAGTACTCTTCAAATATGCATATTTACAGAATTTTAAATACAAGACACATATTTCCTTCTTTTTCGTCGAAAAAGAGCGATTTTATCCAGTTAATCTTTGTTGATAAAATTCTAGATTACTCAGAAATCGAGTTTGTCGGTAGTGTTTCTAATACTCCCGAGATTAAAGAAATCGACATATTATATGCATACGAAAACACATCTTTTACATTGCTTATGATCTGGATTCGGATAAATTTCCCAATAATTTTATTAATTCTTATTATTGTACGATTTTTCCGCAAAACTGCTACCACAATAGAACAAAAAGCATGCTCCCTACTGAATTTAGCTACAATTTTCTATGATCAGCCTTTATCAATTTTAAATTTTTACAAACCAACTCCTCTCACAGTTTACTTAGACATAATCTTTTCGGACATATATGGCCCAGTACTATTCTTTGTATCCATGTTCCTTATTTCTCGTACTTTCGATCAAAAGTTAACACAAACAATGATTTACCTTCCTTTCATCTATTTCGGTACAACATTCTTTCTTTCATCGATCAACTTTCTCGTGCACTATCCTTGCGATATCCCAGACCAGCTTGGTTCCCTTGCTTTCGACTTAGAATATTTGAATACTTTTATTAGTTTCATTTATTTTTGTCTTTTTTGTTATTATATGATTGTCAACATCCAACATTTTGCAGGAGACCCAGGTATTAGGTTATCCACATATAGAACTATTGTTTTGTTTGTTTCCATCGGAATTTCTATTTTTTCTGTTCTTCAGGCCGAGAATTCAGTCAGAGAGTCTTTGTTTTCAGGTATTTTCCAGTTCGGACTTGTGAACACTCTTTCCATTGTGATGGAGTACATGCATTCAAACAAAGAGGTGTTTCTTAAGGACATTTACGAAGAACCAATGAATCTTGGAGAATTTTCTGATAATGCAATTGGTGAGGCCATCTCTTCTGACTTCTCAGATGAAGTATCTTATTCATCTGAACAATATGAATAGAAAGTTATTATTCATTCTTTTTTTATTTATTTATTATTATTATTTCAAAATTATTTTCAAATTTTCAATTCCAAAAATTTTGAATATCAAAATAATCAAAAATCTTTTGCTTTGATTCTTTTCAAAAGTTTAAGGAAAAAGTAACGCATTAATTTCTAATTTTTCAATTTTTATTTTTATATGTTTGTTTGTTTGAATAAAATTATGATGTATGATATTTTAAACGCAAGTATATATGTTCAACAATGATTTTTTTTTATAAAATCAGAAGAAATAAATTTGGAAATATTAGGCAGTCAACAAAATTTAGTATTCAAAGTTAACATGATTTGGTGATGTATATTATCGATTGTGTTGACTTCCTGACTCTCAAATTATGAAATTTTACAGATTTTAATATATGACTATGAATTAAATGATAAGTAACAAGCAAAAATCAGTATACAAAATATTTATATTCAGATTTATAATAAGTTTTTAATCATATTGATTTGACTTCCTGTTTCTCGGTATCTGTATCATCCGTAACTTCGACAATTACTCTATTGATAACTGTTACCTTTGAATCCATATCCAAAATATAGGGTTGACGTGTACGAACCCCATTGTAAATCTCTAAGTGTTTTTCATAACAGTAATCATATTCCCATTGATTGAAGATTAGTGTTCCTTTGGGATAGTTGTCGACTTTTGGAATATGTTTCCTTATGTTTTTCAGTCCTCTTTGAACATCATCAAAGTCTTCTTTCAAATCGAGTAGGAAACCCTTCCCAATATTCTTTCTAAGCATTTTGATCGTATTTCGGAGTGAATTGAGCCATTCATATCTTACTGTTAGTCTTCCTGTGAATATGAGGAAAAAATATAGTGCTCTTCCGTATGATGAGAATCTCAAAGGGAAGAAGAAGTTCCAATGAGCTTCTCGATACATGCAATCAAGAACGAGAGGATTTGCTCCAGAATCATAATATAAAGCTGCATAATAGTGTAATTTAATTTCTTTTCCATACGGATCTTCTTTATCACTCGTATAGTAGCAATCAAAATCTATTCTTTTTAATTCTAACATGTATTTTACAACTTTCCACGGAACTCTAATTTTTTTTCTTCTTTTACTTCTAGGATCTGGAATGTATCTAAGCACAGAATCCTTGTTCATCTCCGATTCACCGAAATGAAACTTGTATTGGTCCTTCTTATAAGTCATTTAATACTTTTGTTTATCTGAAAAACTAAAATTTATAAAAACCGCAAAATTGCTCACTGAAATTTTCAATTGCATTTATGTTATAATTTTTTCATAAATGCTTAGAGAAATTTATTTGAAACTACTTTTTATTATGTAAATCTGATCGTATTACAACATCTTTGAGGGGAAAAAAATCTTTGGCATATTCAAATTTTATCGTTAAAATTCTTGGATTAATACAACTTTTACTTATTGTATTCATCAATTATAGTTCAAATATATCATAAAAATGTTCAATGCTATAATAAAGACTCTGGAATGTGAAATAATATAAGCTTATTGAACAAAAAATCATTCAACCAATAATTTTTTTTCACCGAGTACTAATATATTATGATGTTCATAGAATATTGGAATACTATTCACTTCAAATTGATTTATGTATTGATCACTTAATTTTTTTATATAGACATATGCATATATGCATATATTCAGTGGAATTGATTATTAGGTGATAAAAAGTTTTATTCATGAAAATATTACGATTATAATATAATTTAGTTCGTTAAAATAAAATTTACATCTTTCCCCTAGGATTATGCTTCAAATAAATATTCCTAGCGATCAATATCCACTTTTAATTTATATAGCTCGGCTTTCTAATGTGGACATTGAGCTTTAAATAACTCTTTGTTTTTAAGAAATCAATTAAATCAGCGTTATTAATTGAAGTTGATAACCCAGGAATAGAAAAGATTATGTAGTCATCTTGAATGTTTTGTAATGATATAAAACGTCTCTTAGCTTCTCCAACAATTTTCTCTTTTGATGTATTTCTATCGCATTGGAAAGAAACAATGAAACCTTTATAGCACAACTCTATATCAATTTTTTCAGAGAGTTCGTGATTTTTAATTGCATCAATTCTTAATTTGACTTCATCAAGAGCAGTTATTTTTGGCTTTTTTACAAGATAATCTTTAGATTTATCTTTGCCAAAAGTTTTGAGGAAATCATTAATATCTTCTGGTTCTTTTTGTTCTTCTTCACAAGATGATGACAATGAGTAATCTTTAGAATTCATTGATGATCCTTGAGCAACCAGGTTAGAATTAGGAGTTCCTGATTGATTCAGGAGTGTTTCAATATTGGAAGGAGAAGTTATTATTTTTTCGAATTCCTCTGGAGGAATTAATTCGGACTTTTCTTTGGATTCAAAGTGCGCCTTGATGTCGTCAATTCTAGAATCAATGAATAAGAGATAAAAATCGTTCATATCCGGGTATATAATTTGGAAAAATTCTGTGGCTGCTCCAGAATTAAAAAAGTTAGCTTTATTGCTATCACCTCCAAACAGTTGATTAGTAATGAATGCAACGCATTCACTTCTGGTCATATTGCTCAATTCAGTCTTTTGTAAATTGATTTTTTGAACTTCATCTTTGTATTCACATTCGAATTTAATTAGTGGGATTTTACCATTCATAATTGGAAGGTGAATATCAGAGCCACATCTTGAAAGGAGAGCTAACATCAGGTTTGCAAAAACTGACTGATTTTTTTCCAAATGTTTCCAATTAAACTTCAATGCTTCATCTGAAAGGTGACTAGCGCGAATGAAAACTGTATCATCTTTAACTTCGAAAGGAAACTCTTTTTTAATGCTTGGATGAAACTCGAGCAATTCGCGATAAAGAGCTACATCAGAAAAGGATTTGTCTCTTTTGAAAACTGATATATTGAAACTTTGAATAGAATAATTGATGAGGAATTCATCACTCGCAATTAATGTGTCAGATGATAATATCATGCTCAATTCATCCAACATGTTGATCAATTCAGTGTAATTTCCTTCATCAAAAATTTCTCGGAATAATTTTAAACCGTCGCTGATGGTAATTACAGATGAAATCATATCTTTCTCTTGTTTAGGAAAGTAATTCTCAGCAACATCTTTTAATTCTTTTTCGAGCTTTTTTCTAGCATCATCATCGAGGTCGTTTTCAATCAGATATTTCCTAACCTCTCTAATATAGTGCAAATCTTGATAAGCCTTTTCAAAGTAATCGATGACATTTGCCTTACTAGCTAATGCTCTTTCAGTCAGCATGATCCATGGTCCTACCATCCTAAAAAATCTGCATGACGCCAACAATTTTTCGATAAAACTATCAAGACCTGCCTCTAAGAAATGTATTATGTGTCCATCTTCATGACCGAAAGAGAAAGCAGGTATGAATACGGCAGTAGATACACCATTTTCTACAAAAATGGGGAAACTTCTGAATTCAAGCAATTTTTCACTAAACTTGATTGTAGGAGGATTTTTGAAGGTCTTATCAAAGCAAAATTGAGTTCGTGCTCCTGAAATTTCAAAGTTAATTTTAATTTGTTTTTTGAGTATCAAATTAATGATTTTCATGCTTCGAACAATTTCAATTATTCGATTCTTGCCTTCGTTTGTGCAGCAAATCTCTATAAAAGCTAACGCTAAATCTTCAATTGTAAATTTTCTTACTTCTTTGCCAGGAGAGCTCTGAATTGGGCTTAATTTCTCAAATGTTGGAATTGAATCCTCTATTTTAGCCTTTTCATCTTTCTGAGATAGCCATATATTGCAAATATGTTTAATATCTTCTGTCAATTGAAGAGTTTCGATATTAAATGTTTCCATGACTTCTTTTTCCGTGATTCCAGTAAGCTTTGCTATGGCCTCTGCGAATGTAGTTACTTGCTGCTGCATTATTTAATCTAAATAATTTTCAATTCAAATTTGATGCATTTTTTTCTATGAAAAATACATCTAATTAAAATATGTTTTAAAGCATTGACTTACATTCACTATATGCATTATTTAATGATTCGATACATTTTACTTCTTAACTGCTTAATTTTAATTTTTCGATTATTTTTTCATGTCTTTTTTTCACATTTAATAAACTTCTCTAAATGTATAGACAATAGTACACTAATTGAACACATTACTTCATAGGATTGTAAAATTCTGCCATTTTTTTTATCATGAAACGATCCTCATCTCAAGGTCCCACTGGTTTAAAAGGAGATAATTTTGATGAAGATGAGGCATTTGATTCTCTTGATGAACAATTACTTGATCTGACATTATCTCCAGTACCAAATTTTGAATTAATTCCTTTCAAAGCTTTAATTTCATCAATAAATTTTGTTGGTAATAGTACTCTTCAAATATGCATATTTACAGAATTTTAAATACAAGACACATATTTCCTTCTTTTTCGTCGAAAAAGAGCGATTTTATCCAGTTAATCTTTGTTGATAAAATTCTAGATTACTCAGAAATCGAGTTTGTCGGTAGTGTTTCTAATACTCCCGAGATTAAAGAAATCGACATATTATATGCATACGAAAACACATCTTTTACATTGCTTATGATCTGGATTCGGATAAATTTCCCAATAATTTTATTAATTCTTATTATTGTACGATTTTTCCGCAAAACTGCTACCACAATAGAACAAAAAGCATGCTCCCTACTGAATTTAGCTACAATTTTCTATGATCAGCCTTTATCAATTTTAAATTTTTACAAACCAACTCCTCTCACAGTTTACTTAGACATAATCTTTTCGGACATATATGGCCCAGTACTATTCTTTGTATCCATGTTCCTTATTTCTCGTACTTTCGATCAAAAGTTAACACAAACAATGATTTACCTTCCTTTCATCTATTTCGGTACAACATTCTTTCTTTCATCGATCAACTTTCTCGTGCACTATCCTTGCGATATCCCAGACCAGCTTGGTTCCCTTGCTTTCGACTTAGAATATTTGAATACTTTTATTAGTTTCATTTATTTTTGTCTTTTTTGTTATTATATGATTGTCAACATCCAACATTTTGCAGGAGACCCAGGTATTAGGTTATCCACATATAGAACTATTGTTTTGTTTGTTTCCATCGGAATTTCTATTTTTTCTGTTCTTCAGGCCGAGAATTCAGTCAGAGAGTCTTTGTTTTCAGGTATTTTCCAGTTCGGACTTGTGAACACTCTTTCCATTGTGATGGAGTACATGCATTCAAACAAAGAGGTGTTTCTTAAGGACATTTACGAAGAACCAATGAATCTTGGAGAATTTTCTGATAATGCAATTGGTGAGGCCATCTCTTCTGACTTCTCAGATGAAGTATCTTATTCATCTGAACAATATGAATAGAAAGTTATTATTCATTCTTTTTTTATTTATTTATTATTATTATTTCAAAATTATTTTCAAATTTTCAATTCCAAAAATTTTGAATATCAAAATAATCAAAAATCTTTTGCTTTGATTCTTTTCAAAAGTTTAAGGAAAAAGTAACGCATTAATTTCTAATTTTTCAATTTTTATTTTTATATGTTTGTTTGTTTGAATAAAATTATGATGTATGATATTTTAAACGCAAGTATATATGTTCAACAATGATTTTTTTTTATAAAATCAGAAGAAATAAATTTGGAAATATTAGGCAGTCAACAAAATTTAGTATTCAAAGTTAACATGATTTGGTGATGTATATTATCGATTGTGTTGACTTCCTGACTCTCAAATTATGAAATTTTACAGATTTTAATATATGACTATGAATTAAATGATAAGTAACAAGCAAAAATCAGTATACAAAATATTTATATTCAGATTTATAATAAGTTTTTAATCATATTGATTTGACTTCCTGTTTCTCGGTATCTGTATCATCCGTAACTTCGACAATTACTCTATTGATAACTGTTACCTTTGAATCCATATCCAAAATATAGGGTTGACGTGTACGAACCCCATTGTAAATCTCTAAGTGTTTTTCATAACAGTAATCATATTCCCATTGATTGAAGATTAGTGTTCCTTTGGGATAGTTGTCGACTTTTGGAATATGTTTCCTTATGTTTTTCAGTCCTCTTTGAACATCATCAAAGTCTTCTTTCAAATCGAGTAGGAAACCCTTCCCAATATTCTTTCTAAGCATTTTGATCGTATTTCGGAGTGAATTGAGCCATTCATATCTTACTGTTAGTCTTCCTGTGAATATGAGGAAAAAATATAGTGCTCTTCCGTATGATGAGAATCTCAAAGGGAAGAAGAAGTTCCAATGAGCTTCTCGATACATGCAATCAAGAACGAGAGGATTTGCTCCAGAATCATAATATAAAGCTGCATAATAGTGTAATTTAATTTCTTTTCCATACGGATCTTCTTTATCACTCGTATAGTAGCAATCAAAATCTATTCTTTTTAATTCTAACATGTATTTTACAACTTTCCACGGAACTCTAATTTTTTTTCTTCTTTTACTTCTAGGATCTGGAATGTATCTAAGCACAGAATCCTTGTTCATCTCCGATTCACCGAAATGAAACTTGTATTGGTCCTTCTTATAAGTCATTTAATACTTTTGTTTATCTGAAAAACTAAAATTTATAAAAACCGCAAAATTGCTCACTGAAATTTTCAATTGCATTTATGTTATAATTTTTTCATAAATGCTTAGAGAAATTTATTTGAAACTACTTTTTATTATGTAAATCTGATCGTATTACAACATCTTTGAGGGGAAAAAAATCTTTGGCATATTCAAATTTTATCGTTAAAATTCTTGGATTAATACAACTTTTACTTATTGTATTCATCAATTATAGTTCAAATATATCATAAAAATGTTCAATGCTATAATAAAGACTCTGGAATGTGAAATAATATAAGCTTATTGAACAAAAAATCATTCAACCAATAATTTTTTTTCACCGAGTACTAATATATTATGATGTTCATAGAATATTGGAATACTATTCACTTCAAATTGATTTATGTATTGATCACTTAATTTTTTTATATAGACATATGCATATATGCATATATTCAGTGGAATTGATTATTAGGTGATAAAAAGTTTTATTCATGAAAATATTACGATTATAATATAATTTAGTTCGTTAAAATAAAATTTACATCTTTCCCCTAGGATTATGCTTCAAATAAATATTCCTAGCGATCAATATCCACTTTTAATTTATATAGCTCGGCTTTCTAATGTGGACATTGAGCTTTAAATAACTCTTTGTTTTTAAGAAATCAATTAAATCAGCGTTATTAATTGAAGTTGATAACCCAGGAATAGAAAAGATTATGTAGTCATCTTGAATGTTTTGTAATGATATAAAAACGTCTCTTAGCTTCTCCAACAATTTTTCTTTTGATGTATTTCTATCGGCATTGGAAAGAAACAATGAAAACCTTTATAGCACAACTCTATAATCAATTTTTTCAGAGAGTTCGTGATTTTTAATTGCATCAATTCTTAATATTGACTTCATCAAGAGCAGTTATTTTTGGCTTTTTTACAAGATAATCTTTAGATTTATCTTTGCCAAAGTTTTGAGGAAATCATTAATATTTCTGGTTCTTTTTGTTCTTCTTCACAAGATGATGACAATGAAGAATATCTTTAGAATTCATTGATGATCCTTGAGCAACCCAGGTTAGAATTAGGAGTTCCTGATTGATTTCAGGAGTGTTTCAATATTGGAAGGAGAAGTTATTATTTTTTCGAATTCCTCTGGAGGAATTAATTCGGACTTTTCTTTGGATTCAATGCGCCTTGATGTCGTCAATTCTAGAATCAAGAATAAGAGATAAAAAATCGTTCATATCCGGGTATATATTTGGAAAAATTCTGTGGCTGCTTCCCAGAATTAAAAAGTTAGCTTTATTGCATCACTCCAAACAGTTGATTAGTAATGAATGCAACGCATTCACTTCTGGTCATATTGCTCAATTCAGTCTTTTGTAAATTGATTTTTTGAACTTCATCTTTGTATTCACATTCGAATTTAATTAGTGGGATTTTACCATTCATAATTGGAAGTGAATATCAAGAGCCACATCTTGAAAGGAGAGCTAACATCAGGTTTGCAAAAACTGACTGATTTTTTTCCAAATGTTTTCCAATTAAAACTTCAATGCTTCATCTGAAAGGTGACTAGCGCGAATGAAAACTGTATCATCTTTAACTTCGAAAGGAAACTCTTTTTTAATGCTTGGATGAAACTCGAGCAATTCGCGATAAAGAGCTACATCAGAAAAGGATTTGTCTTTTTGAAAACTGATATATTGAAACTTTGAATAGAATAATTGATGAGGGAATTCATCACTCGCAATTAATGTGTCAGATGATAATATCATGCTCAATCCATCCAACATGTTGATCAATTCAGTGTAATTTCCTTCATCAAAAATTTCTCTTTTAATATTACCGTCGCTGATTGTAATTAATACAGATGAAATCATATATCTTTCTCTTGTTTAGGAAAGTAATTCTCAGCAACATCTTTTAATTCTTTTTCGAGCTTTTTTCTAGCATCATCATCGAGGTCGTTTTCAATCAGATATTTCCTAACCTCTCTAATATAGTGCAAATCTTGATAAGCCTTTTCAAAGTAATCGATGACATTTGCCTTACTAGCTAATGCTCTTTCAGTCAGCATGATCCATGGTCCTACCATCCTAAAAAATCTGCATGACGCCAACAATTTTTCGATAAAACTATCAAGACCTGCCTCTAAGAAATGTATTATGTGTCCATCTTCATGACCGAAAGAGAAAGCAGGTATGAATACGGCAGTAGATACACCATTTTCTACAAAAATGGGGAAACTTCTGAATTCAAGCAATTTTTCACTAAACTTGATTGTAGGAGGATTTTTGAAGGTCTTATCAAAGCAAAATTGAGTTCGTGCTCCTGAAATTTCAAAGTTAATTTTAATTTTTTTTTGAGTATCAAATTAATGATTTTCATGCTTCGAACAATTTCAATTATTCGATTCTTGCCTTCGTTTGTGCAGCAAATCTCTATAAAAGCTAACGCTAAATCTTCAATTGTAAATTTTCTTACTTCTTTGCCAGGAGAGCTCTGAATTGGGCTTAATTTCTCAAATGTTGGAATTGAATCCTCTATTTTAGCCTTTTCATCTTTCTGAGATAGCCATATATTGCAAATATGTTTAATATCTTCTGTCAATTGAAGAGTTTCGATATTAAATGTTTCCATGACTTCTTTTTCCGTGATTCCAGTAAGCTTTGCTATGGCCTCTGCGAATGTAGTTACTTGCTGCTGCATTATTTAATCTAAATAATTTTCAATTCAAATTTGATGCATTTTTTTCTATGAAAAATACATCTAATTAAAATATGTTTTAAAGCATTGACTTACATTCACTATATGCATTATTTAATGATTCGATACATTTTACTTCTTAACTGCTTAATTTTAATTTTTCGATTATTTTTTCATGTCTTTTTTTCACATTTAATAAACTTCTCTAAATGTATAGACAATAGTACACTAATTGAACACATTACTTCATAGGATTGTAAAATTCTGCCATTTTTTTTATCATGAAACGATCCTCATCTCAAGGTCCCACTGGTTTAAAAGGAGATAATTTTGATGAAGATGAGGCATTTGATTCTCTTGATGAACAATTACTTGATCTGACATTATCTCCAGTACCAAATTTTGAATTAATTCCTTTCAAAGCTTTAATTTCATCAATAAATTTTGTTGGTAATAGTACTCTTCAAATATGCATATTTACAGAATTTTAAATACAAGACACATATTTCCTTCTTTTTCGTCGAAAAAGAGCGATTTTATCCAGTTAATCTTTGTTGATAAAATTCTAGATTACTCAGAAATCGAGTTTGTCGGTAGTGTTTCTAATACTCCGAGATTAAAGAAATCGACATATTATATGCATACGAAAACACATCTTTTACATTGCTTATGATCTGGATTCGGATAAATTTCCCAATAATTTTATTAATTCTTATTATTGTACGATTTTTCCGCAAAACTGCTACCACAATAGAACAAAAAGCATGCTCCCTACTGAATTTAGCTACAATTTTCTATGATCAGCCTTTATCAATTTTAAATTTTTTACAAACCAACTCCTCTCACAGTTTACTTAGACATAATCTTTTCGGACATATATGGCCCAGTACTATTCTTTGTATCCATGTTCCTTATTTCTCGTACTTTCGATCAAAAGTTAACACAAACAATGATTTACCTTCCTTTCATCTATTTCGGTACAACATTCTTTCTTTCATCGATCAACTTTCTCGTGCACTATCCTTGCGATATCCCAGACCAGCTTGGTTCCCTTGCTTTCGACTTAGAATATTTGATACTTTTATTAGTTTCATTTATTTTTGTCTTTTTTGTTATTATATGATTGTCAACATCCAACATTTTGCAGGAGACCCAGGTATTAGGTTATCCACATATAGAACTATTGTTTTGTTTGTTTCCATCGGAATTTCTATTTTTTCTGTTCTTCAGGCCGAGAATTCAGTCAGAGAGTCTTTGTTTTCAGGTATTTTCCAGTTCGGACTTGTGAACACTCTTTCCATTGTGATGGAGTACATGCATTCAAACAAAGAGGTGTTTCTTAAGGACATTTACGAAGAACCAATGAATCTTGGAGAATTTTCTGATAATGCAATTGGTGAGGCCATCTCTTCTGACTTCTCAGATGAAGTATCTTATTCATCTGAACAATATGAATAGAAAGTTATTATTCATTCTTTTTTTATTTATTTATTATTATTATTTCAAAATTATTTTCAAATTTTCAATTCCAAAAATTTTGAATATCAAAATAATCAAAAATCTTTTGCTTTGATTCTTTTCAAAAGTTTAAGGAAAAAGTAACGCATTAATTTCTAATTTTTCAATTTTTATTTTTATATGTTTGTTTGTTTGAATAAAATTATGATGTATGATATTTTAAACGCAAGTATATATGTTCAACAATGATTTTTTTTATAAAATCAGAAGAAATAAATTTGGAAATATTAGGCAGTCAACAAAATTTAGTATTCAAAGTTAACATGATTTGGTGATGTATATTATCGATTGTGTTGACTTCCTGACTCTCAAATTATGAAATTTTACAGATTTTAATATATGACTATGAATTAAATGATAAGTAACAAGCAAAAATCAGTATACAAAATATTTATATTCAGATTTATAATAAGTTTTTAATCATATTGATTTGACTTCCTGTTTCTCGGTATCTGTATCATCCGTAACTTCGACAATTACTCTATTGATAACTGTTACCTTTGAATCCATATCCAAAATATAGGGTTGACGTGTACGAACCCATTGTAAATCTCTAAGTGTTTTTCATAACAGTAATCATATTCCCATTGATTGAAGATTAGTGTTCCTTTGGGATAGTTGTCGACTTTTGGAATATGTTTCCTTATGTTTTTCAGTCCTCTTTGAACATCATCAAAGTCTTCTTTCAAATCGAGTAGGAAACCCTTCCCAATATTCTTTCTAAGCATTTTGATCGTATTTCGGAGTGAATTGAGCCATTCATATCTTACTGTTAGTCTTCCTGTGAATATGAGGAAAAAATATAGTGCTCTTCCGTATGATGAGAATCTCAAAGGGAAGAAGAAGTTCCAATGAGCTTCTCGATACATGCAATCAAGAACGAGAGGATTTGCTCCAGAATCATAATATAAGCTGCATAATAGTGTAATTTAATTTCTTTTCCATACGGATCTTCTTTATTCGTATAGTAGCAATCAAAATCTATTCTTTTTAATTCTAACATGTATTTTACAACTTTCCACGGAACTCTAATTTTTTTCTCTTTTACTTCTAGGATCTGGAATGTATCTAAGCACAGAATCTTGTTCATTCCGATTCACCGAAATGAAACTTGTATTGGTCCTTCTTATAAGTCATTTAATACTTTTGTTTATCTGAAAAACTAAAATTTATTAAAAAACCGCAAAATTGCTCACTGAAATTTTCAATTGCATTTATGTTATAATTTTTTCATAAATGCTTAGAGAAATTTATTTGAAACTACTTTTTATTATGTAAATCTGATCGTATTACAAATCTTTGAGGGGAAAAAAATCTTTGGCATATTCAAATTTTATCGTTAAAATTCTTGATTAATACAACTTTTACTTATTGTATTCATCAATTATAGTTCAAATATATCATAAAAATGTTCAATGCTATAATAAAGACTCTGGAATGTGAAATAATATAAGCTTATTGAACAAAAAATCATTCAACCAATAATTTTTTTTCACCGAGTACTAATATATTATGATGTTCATAGAATATTGGAATACTATTCACTTCAAATTGATTTATGTATTGATCACTTAATTTTTTTATATAGACATATGCATATATATATTCAGTGGAATTGATTATTAGGTGATAAAAAGTTTTATTCATGAAAATATTACGATTATAATATAATTTAGTTCGTTAAAATAAAATTTACATCTTTCCCTAGGATTATGCTTCAAATAAATATTCCTAGCGATCAATATCCACTTTTAATTTATATAGCTCGGCTTTCTAATGTGGACATTGAGCTTTAAATAACTCTTTGTTTTTAAGAAATCAATTAAATCAGCGTTATTAATTGAAGTTGATAACCCAGGAATAGAAAAGATTATGTAGTCATCTTGAATGTTTTGTAATGATATAAAACGTCTCTTAGCTTCTCCAACAATTTTCTCTTTTGATGTATTTCTATCGCATTGGAAAGAAACAATGAAACCTTTATAGCACAACTCTATATCAATTTTTTCAGAGAGTTCGTGATTTTTAATTGCATCAATTCTTAATTTGACTTCATCAAGAGCAGTTATTTTTGGCTTTTTTACAAGATAATCTTTAGATTTATCTTTGCCAAAAGTTTTGAGGAAATCATTAATATCTTCTGGTTCTTTTTGTTCTTCTTCACAAGATGATGACAATGAGTAATCTTTAGAATTCATTGATGATCCTTGAGCAACCAGGTTAGAATTAGGAGTTCCTGATTGATTCAGGAGTGTTTCAATATTGGAAGGAGAAGTTATTATTTTTTCGAATTCCTCTGGAGGAATTAATTCGGACTTTTCTTTGGATTCAAAGTGCGCCTTGATGTCGTCAATTCTAGAATCAATGAATAAGAGATAAAAATCGTTCATATCCGGGTATATAATTTGGAAAAATTCTGTGGCTGCTCCAGAATTAAAAAAGTTAGCTTTATTGCTATCACCTCCAAACAGTTGATTAGTAATGAATGCAACGCATTCACTTCTGGTCATATTGCTCAATTCAGTCTTTTGTAAATTGATTTTTTGAACTTCATCTTTGTATTCACATTCGAATTTAATTAGTGGGATTTTACCATTCATAATTGGAAGGTGAATATCAGAGCCACATCTTGAAAGGAGAGCTAACATCAGGTTTGCAAAAACTGACTGATTTTTTTCCAAATGTTTCCAATTAAACTTCAATGCTTCATCTGAAAGGTGACTAGCGCGAATGAAAACTGTATCATCTTTAACTTCGAAAGGAAACTCTTTTTTAATGCTTGGATGAAACTCGAGCAATTCGCGATAAAGAGCTACATCAGAAAAGGATTTGTCTCTTTTGAAAACTGATATATTGAAACTTTGAATAGAATAATTGATGAGGAATTCATCACTCGCAATTAATGTGTCAGATGATAATATCATGCTCAATTCATCCAACATGTTGATCAATTCAGTGTAATTTCCTTCATCAAAAATTTCTCGGAATAATTTTAAACCGTCGCTGATGGTAATTACAGATGAAATCATATCTTTCTCTTGTTTAGGAAAGTAATTCTCAGCAACATCTTTTAATTCTTTTTCGAGCTTTTTTCTAGCATCATCATCGAGGTCGTTTTCAATCAGATATTTCCTAACCTCTCTAATATAGTGCAAATCTTGATAAGCCTTTTCAAAGTAATCGATGACATTTGCCTTACTAGCTAATGCTCTTTCAGTCAGCATGATCCATGGTCCTACCATCCTAAAAAATCTGCATGACGCCAACAATTTTTCGATAAAACTATCAAGACCTGCCTCTAAGAAATGTATTATGTGTCCATCTTCATGACCGAAAGAGAAAGCAGGTATGAATACGGCAGTAGATACACCATTTTCTACAAAAATGGGGAAACTTCTGAATTCAAGCAATTTTTCACTAAACTTGATTGTAGGAGGATTTTTGAAGGTCTTATCAAAGCAAAATTGAGTTCGTGCTCCTGAAATTTCAAAGTTAATTTTAATTTGTTTTTTGAGTATCAAATTAATGATTTTCATGCTTCGAACAATTTCAATTATTCGATTCTTGCCTTCGTTTGTGCAGCAAATCTCTATAAAAGCTAACGCTAAATCTTCAATTGTAAATTTTCTTACTTCTTTGCCAGGAGAGCTCTGAATTGGGCTTAATTTCTCAAATGTTGGAATTGAATCCTCTATTTTAGCCTTTTCATCTTTCTGAGATAGCCATATATTGCAAATATGTTTAATATCTTCTCAATTGAAGAGTTTCGATATTAAATGTTTCCATGACTTCTTTTCCGTGATTCCAGTAAGCTTTGCTATGGCCTCTGCGAATGTAGTTACTTGCTGCTGCATTATTTAATCTAAATAATTTTCAATTCAAATTTGATGCATTTTTTTCTATGAAAATACATCTAATTAAAATATGTTTTAAAGCATTGACTTACATTCACTATATGCATTATTTAATGATTCGATACATTTTACTTCTTAACTGCTTAATTTTAATTTTTCGATTATTTTTTCATGTCTTTTTTTCACATTTAATAAACTTCTCTAAATGTATAGACAATAGTACACTAATTGAACACATTACTTCATAGGATTGTAAAATTCTGCCATTTTTTTTATCATGAAACGATCCTCATCTCAAGGTCCCACTGGTTTAAAAGGAGATAATTTTGATGAAGATGAGGCATTTGATTCTCTTGATGAACAATTACTTGATCTGACATTATCTCCAGTACCAAATTTTGAATTAATTCCTTTCAAAGCTTTAATTTCATCAATAAATTTTGTTGGTAATAGTACTCTTCAAATATGCATATTTACAGAATTTTAAATACAAGACACATATTTCCTTCTTTTTCGTCGAAAAAGAGCGATTTTATCCAGTTAATCTTTGTTGATAAAATTCTAGATTACTCAGAAATCGAGTTTGTCGGTAGTGTTTCTAATACTCCCGAGATTAAAGAAATCGACATATTATATGCATACGAAAACACATCTTTTACATTGCTTATGATCTGGATTCGGATAAATTTCCCAATAATTTTATTAATTCTTATTATTGTACGATTTTTCCGCAAAACTGCTACCACAATAGAACAAAAAGCATGCTCCCTACTGAATTTAGCTACAATTTTCTATGATCAGCCTTTATCAATTTTAAATTTTTACAAACCAACTCCTCTCACAGTTTACTTAGACATAATCTTTTCGGACATATATGGCCCAGTACTATTCTTTGTATCCATGTTCCTTATTTCTCGTACTTTCGATCAAAAGTTAACACAAACAATGATTTACCTTCCTTTCATCTATTTCGGTACAACATTCTTTCTTTCATCGATCAACTTTCTCGTGCACTATCCTTGCGATATCCCAGACCAGCTTGGTTCCCTTGCTTTCGACTTAGAATATTTGAATACTTTTATAGTTTCATTTATTTTTGTCTTTTTTGTTATTATATGATTGTCAACATCCAACATTTTGCAGGAGACCCAGGTATTAGGTTATCCACATATAGAACTATTGTTTTGTTTGTTTCCATCGGAATTTCTATTTTTCTGTTCTTCAGGCCGAGAATTCAGTCAGAGAGTCTTTGTTTTCAGGTATTTTCCAGTTCGGACTTGTGAACACTCTTTCCATTGTGATGGAGTACATGCATTCAAACAAAGAGGTGTTTCTTAAGGACATTTACGAAGAACCAATGAATCTTGGAGAATTTTCTGATAATGCAATTGGTGAGGCCATCTCTTCTGACTTCTCAGATGAAGTATCTTATTCATCTGAACAATATGAATAGAAAGTTATTATTCATTCTTTTTTATTTATTTATTATTATTATTTCAAAATTATTTTCAAATTTTCAATTCCAAAAATTTTGAATATCAAAATAATCAAAAATCTTTTGCTTTGATTCTTTTCAAAAGTTTAAGGAAAAAGTAACGCATTAATTTCTAATTTTTCAATTTTTATTTTTATATGTTTGTTTGTTTGAATAAAATTATGATGTATGATATTTTAAACGCAAGTATATATGTTCAACAATGATTTTTTTTATAAAATCAGAAGAAATAAATTTGGAAATATTAGGCAGTCAACAAAATTTAGTATTCAAAGTTAACATGATTTGGTGATGTATATTATCGATTGTGTTGACTTCCTGACTCTCAAATTATGAAATTTTACAGATTTTAATATATGACTATGAATTAAATGATAAGTAACAGCAAAAATCAGTATACAAAATATTTATATTCAGATTTATAATAAGTTTTTAATCATATTGATTTGACTTCCTGTTTCTCGGTATCTGTATCATCCGTAACTTCGACAATTACTCTATTGATAACTGTTACCTTTGAATCCATATCCAAAATATAGGGTTGACGTGTACGAACCCATTGTAAATCTCTAAGTGTTTTTCATAACAGTAATCATATTCCCATTGATTGAAGATTAGTGTTCCTTTGGGATAGTTGTCGACTTTTGGAATATGTTTCCTTATGTTTTTCAGTCCTCTTTGAACATCATCAAAGTCTTCTTTCAAATCGAGTAGGAAACCCTTCCAATATTCTTTCTAAGCATTTTGATCGTATTTCGGAGTGAATTGAGCCATTCATATCTTACTGTTAGTCTTCCTGTGAATATGAGGAAAAAATATAGTGCTCTTCCGTATGATGAGAATCTCAAAGGGAAGAAGAAGTTCCAATGAGCTTCTCGATACATGCAATCAAGAACGAGAGGATTTGCTCCAGAATCATAATATAAAGCTGCATAATAGTGTAATTTAATTTCTTTTCCATACGGATCTTCTTTATCACTCGTATAGTAGCAATCAAAATCTATTCTTTTTAATTCTAACATGTATTTTACAACTTTCCACGGAACTCTAATTTTTTTCTTCTTTTACTTCTAGGATCTGGAATGTATCTAAGCACAGAATCCTTGTTCATCTCCGATTCACCGAAATGAAACTTGTATTGGTCCTTCTTATAAGTCATTTAATACTTTTGTTTATCTGAAAAACTAAAATTTATAAAAACCGCAAAATTGCTCACTGAAATTTTCAATTGCATTTATGTTATAATTTTTTCATAAATGCTTAGAGAAATTTATTTGAAACTACTTTTTTTATGTAAATCTGATCGTATTACAACATCTTTGAGGGGAAAAAAATCTTTGGCATATTCAAATTTTATCGTTAAAATTCTTGGATTAATACAACTTTTACTTATTGTATTCATCAATTATAGTTCAAATATATCATAAAAATGTTCAATGCTATAATAAAGACTCTGGAATGTGAAATAATATAAGCTTATTGAACAAAAAATCATTCAACCAATAATTTTTTTTCACCGAGTACTAATATATTATGATGTTCATAGAATATTGGAATACTATTCACTTCAAATTGATTTATGTATTGATCACTTAATTTTTTTATATAGACATATGCATATATGCATATATTCAGTGGAATTGATTATTAGGTGATAAAAAGTTTTATTCATGAAAATATTACGATTATAATATAATTTAGTTCGTTAAAATAAAATTTACATCTTTCCCCTAGGATTATGCTTCAAATAAATATTCCTAGCGATCAATATCCACTTTTAATTTATATAGCTCGGCTTTCTAATGTGGACATTGAGCTTTAAATAACTCTTTGTTTTTAAGAAATCAATTAAATCAGCGTTATTAATTGAAGTTGATAACCCAGGAATAGAAAAGATTATGTAGTCATCTTGAATGTTTTGTAATGATATAAAACGTCTCTTAGCTTCTCCAACAATTTTCTCTTTTGATGTATTTCTATCGCATTGGAAAGAAACAATGAAACCTTTATAGCACAACTCTATATCAATTTTTTCAGAGAGTTCGTGATTTTTAATTGCATCAATTCTTAATTTGACTTCATCAAGAGCAGTTATTTTTGGCTTTTTTACAAGATAATCTTTAGATTTATCTTTGCCAAAAGTTTTGAGGAAATCATTAATATCTTCTGGTTCTTTTTGTTCTTCTTCACAAGATGATGACAATGAGTAATCTTTAGAATTCATTGATGATCCTTGAGCAACCAGGTTAGAATTAGGAGTTCCTGATTGATTCAGGAGTGTTTCAATATTGGAAGGAGAAGTTATTATTTTTTCGAATTCCTCTGGAGGAATTAATTCGGACTTTTCTTTGGATTCAAAGTGCGCCTTGATGTCGTCAATTCTAGAATCAATGAATAAGAGATAAAAATCGTTCATATCCGGGTATATAATTTGGAAAAATTCTGTGGCTGCTCCAGAATTAAAAAAGTTAGCTTTATTGCTATCACCTCCAAACAGTTGATTAGTAATGAATGCAACGCATTCACTTCTGGTCATATTGCTCAATTCAGTCTTTTGTAAATTGATTTTTTGAACTTCATCTTTGTATTCACATTCGAATTTAATTAGTGGGATTTTACCATTCATAATTGGAAGGTGAATATCAGAGCCACATCTTGAAAGGAGAGCTAACATCAGGTTTGCAAAAACTGACTGATTTTTTTCCAAATGTTTCCAATTAAACTTCAATGCTTCATCTGAAAGGTGACTAGCGCGAATGAAAACTGTATCATCTTTAACTTCGAAAGGAAACTCTTTTTTAATGCTTGGATGAAACTCGAGCAATTCGCGATAAAGAGCTACATCAGAAAAGGATTTGTCTCTTTTGAAAACTGATATATTGAAACTTTGAATAGAATAATTGATGAGGAATTCATCACTCGCAATTAATGTGTCAGATGATAATATCATGCTCAATTCATCCAACATGTTGATCAATTCAGTGTAATTTCCTTCATCAAAAATTTCTCGGAATAATTTTAAACCGTCGCTGATGGTAATTACAGATGAAATCATATCTTTCTCTTGTTTAGGAAAGTAATTCTCAGCAACATCTTTTAATTCTTTTTCGAGCTTTTTTCTAGCATCATCATCGAGGTCGTTTTCAATCAGATATTTCCTAACCTCTCTAATATAGTGCAAATCTTGATAAGCCTTTTCAAAGTAATCGATGACATTTGCCTTACTAGCTAATGCTCTTTCAGTCAGCATGATCCATGGTCCTACCATCCTAAAAAATCTGCATGACGCCAACAATTTTTCGATAAAACTATCAAGACCTGCCTCTAAGAAATGTATTATGTGTCCATCTTCATGACCGAAAGAGAAAGCAGGTATGAATACGGCAGTAGATACACCATTTTCTACAAAAATGGGGAAACTTCTGAATTCAAGCAATTTTTCACTAAACTTGATTGTAGGAGGATTTTTGAAGGTCTTATCAAAGCAAAATTGAGTTCGTGCTCCTGAAATTTCAAAGTTAATTTTAATTTGTTTTTTGAGTATCAAATTAATGATTTTCATGCTTCGAACAATTTCAATTATTCGATTCTTGCCTTCGTTTGTGCAGCAAATCTCTATAAAAGCTAACGCTAAATCTTCAATTGTAAATTTTTTACTTCTTTGCCAGGAGAGCTCTGAATTGGGCTTAATTTCTCAAATGTTGGAATTGAATCCTCTATTTTAGCCTTTTCATCTTTCTGAGATAGCCATATATTGCAAATATGTTTAATATCTTCTGTCAATTGAAGAGTTTCGATATTAAATGTTTCCATGACTTCTTTTTCCGTGATTCCAGTAAGCTTTGCTATGGCCTCTGCGAATGTAGTTACTTGCTGCTGCATTATTTAATCTAAATAATTTTCAATTCAAATTTGATGCATTTTTTTCTATGAAAAATACATCTAATTAAAATATGTTTTAAAGCATTGACTTACATTCACTATATGCATTATTTAATGATTCGATACATTTTACTTCTTAACTGCTTAATTTTAATTTTTCGATTATTTTTTCATGTCTTTTTTTCACATTTAATAAACTTCTCTAAATGTATAGACAATAGTACACTAATTGAACACATTACTTCATAGGATTGTAAAATTCTGCCATTTTTTTTATCATGAAACGATCCTCATCTCAAGGTCCCACTGGTTTAAAAGGAGATAATTTTGATGAAGATGAGGCATTTGATTCTCTTGATGAACAATTACTTGATCTGACATTATCTCCAGTACCAAATTTTGAATTAATTCCTTTCAAAGCTTTAATTTCATCAATAAATTTTGTTGGTAATAGTACTCTTCAAATATGCATATTTACAGAATTTTAAATACAAGACACATATTTCCTTCTTTTTCGTCGAAAAAGAGCGATTTTATCCAGTTAATCTTTGTTGATAAAATTCTAGATTACTCAGAAATCGAGTTTGTCGGTAGTGTTTCTAATACTCCCGAGATTAAAGAAATCGACATATTATATGCATACGAAAACACATCTTTTACATTGCTTATGATCTGGATTCGGATAAATTTCCCAATAATTTTATTAATTCTTATTATTGTACGATTTTTCCGCAAAACTGCTACCACAATAGAACAAAAAGCATGCTCCCTACTGAATTTAGCTACAATTTTCTATGATCAGCCTTTATCAATTTTAAATTTTTACAAACCAACTCCTCTCACAGTTTACTTAGACATAATCTTTTCGGACATATATGGCCCAGTACTATTCTTTGTATCCATGTTCCTTATTTCTCGTACTTTCGATCAAAAGTTAACACAAACAATGATTTACCTTCCTTTCATCTATTTCGGTACAACATTCTTTCTTTCATCGATCAACTTTCTCGTGCACTATCCTTGCGATATCCCAGACCAGCTTGGTTCCCTTGCTTTCGACTTAGAATATTTGAATACTTTTATTAGTTTCATTTATTTTTGTCTTTTTTGTTATTATATGATTGTCAACATCCAACATTTTGCAGGAGACCCAGGTATTAGGTTATCCACATATAGAACTATTGTTTTGTTTGTTTCCATCGGAATTTCTATTTTTTCTGTTCTTCAGGCCGAGAATTCAGTCAGAGAGTCTTTGTTTTCAGGTATTTTCCAGTTCGGACTTGTGAACACTCTTTCCATTGTGATGGAGTACATGCATTCAAACAAAGAGGTGTTTCTTAAGGACATTTACGAAGAACCAATGAATCTTGGAGAATTTTCTGATAATGCAATTGGTGAGGCCATCTCTTCTGACTTCTCAGATGAAGTATCTTATTCATCTGAACAATATGAATAGAAAGTTATTATTCATTCTTTTTTTATTTATTTATTATTATTATTTCAAAATTATTTTCAAATTTTCAATTCCAAAAATTTTGAATATCAAAATAATCAAAAATCTTTTGCTTTGATTCTTTTCAAAAGTTTAAGGAAAAAGTAACGCATTAATTTCTAATTTTTCAATTTTTATTTTTATATGTTTGTTTGTTTGAATAAAATTATGATGTATGATATTTTAAACGCAAGTATATATGTTCAACAATGATTTTTTTTTATAAAATCAGAAGAAATAAATTTGGAAATATTAGGCAGTCAACAAAATTTAGTATTCAAAGTTAACATGATTTGGTGATGTATATTATCGATTGTGTTGACTTCCTGACTCTCAAATTATGAAATTTTACAGATTTTAATATATGACTATGAATTAAATGATAAGTAACAAGCAAAAATCAGTATACAAAATATTTATATTCAGATTTATAATAAGTTTTTAATCATATTGATTTGACTTCCTGTTTCTCGGTATCTGTATCATCCGTAACTTCGACAATTACTCTATTGATAACTGTTACCTTTGAATCCATATCCAAAATATAGGGTTGACGTGTACGAACCCCATTGTAAATCTCTAAGTGTTTTTCATAACAGTAATCATATTCCCATTGATTGAAGATTAGTGTTCCTTTGGGATAGTTGTCGACTTTTGGAATATGTTTCCTTATGTTTTTCAGTCCTCTTTGAACATCATCAAAGTCTTCTTTCAAATCGAGTAGGAAACCCTTCCCAATATTCTTTCTAAGCATTTTGATCGTATTTCGGAGTGAATTGAGCCATTCATATCTTACTGTTAGTCTTCCTGTGAATATGAGGAAAAAATATAGTGCTCTTCCGTATGATGAGAATCTCAAAGGGAAGAAGAAGTTCCAATGAGCTTCTCGATACATGCAATCAAGAACGAGAGGATTTGCTCCAGAATCATAATATAAAGCTGCATAATAGTGTAATTTAATTTCTTTTCCATACGGATCTTCTTTATCACTCGTATAGTAGCAATCAAAATCTATTCTTTTTAATTCTAACATGTATTTTACAACTTTCCACGGAACTCTAATTTTTTTCTTCTTTTACTTCTAGGATCTGGAATGTATCTAAGCACAGAATCCTTGTTCATCTCCGATTCACCGAAATGAAACTTGTATTGGTCCTTCTTATAAGTCATTTAATACTTTTGTTTATCTGAAAAACTAAAATTTATAAAAACCGCAAAATTGCTCACTGAAATTTTCAATTGCATTTATGTTATAATTTTTTCATAAATGCTTAGAGAAATTTATTTGAAACTACTTTTTATTATGTAAATCTGATCGTATTACAACATCTTTGAGGGGAAAAAAATCTTTGGCATATTCAAATTTTATCGTTAAAATTCTTGGATTAATACAACTTTTACTTATTGTATTCATCAATTATAGTTCAAATATATCATAAAAATGTTCAATGCTATAATAAAGACTCTGGAATGTGAAATAATATAAGCTTATTGAACAAAAAATCATTCAACCAATAATTTTTTTTCACCGAGTACTAATATATTATGATGTTCATAGAATATTGGAATACTATTCACTTCAAATTGATTTATGTATTGATCACTTAATTTTTTTATATAGACATATGCATATATGCATATATTCAGTGGAATTGATTATTAGGTGATAAAAAGTTTTATTCATGAAAATATTACGATTATAATATAATTTAGTTCGTTAAAATAAAATTTACATCTTTCCCCTAGGATTATGCTTCAAATAAATATTCCTAGCGATCAATATCCACTTTTAATTTATATAGCTCGGCTTTCTAATGTGGACATTGAGCTTTAAATAACTCTTTGTTTTTAAGAAATCAATTAAATCAGCGTTATTAATTGAAGTTGATAACCCAGGAATAGAAAAGATTATGTAGTCATCTTGAATGTTTTGTAATGATATAAAACGTCTCTTAGCTTCTCCAACAATTTTCTCTTTTGATGTATTTCTATCGCATTGGAAAGAAACAATGAAACCTTTATAGCACAACTCTATATCAATTTTTTCAGAGAGTTCGTGATTTTTAATTGCATCAATTCTTAATTTGACTTCATCAAGAGCAGTTATTTTTGGCTTTTTTACAAGATAATCTTTAGATTTATCTTTGCCAAAAGTTTTGAGGAAATCATTAATATCTTCTGGTTCTTTTTGTTCTTCTTCACAAGATGATGACAATGAGTAATCTTTAGAATTCATTGATGATCCTTGAGCAACCAGGTTAGAATTAGGAGTTCCTGATTGATTCAGGAGTGTTTCAATATTGGAAGGAGAAGTTATTATTTTTTCGAATTCCTCTGGAGGAATTAATTCGGACTTTTCTTTGGATTCAAAGTGCGCCTTGATGTCGTCAATTCTAGAATCAATGAATAAGAGATAAAAATCGTTCATATCCGGGTATATAATTTGGAAAAATTCTGTGGCTGCTCCAGAATTAAAAAAGTTAGCTTTATTGCTATCACCTCCAAACAGTTGATTAGTAATGAATGCAACGCATTCACTTCTGGTCATATTGCTCAATTCAGTCTTTTGTAAATTGATTTTTTGAACTTCATCTTTGTATTCACATTCGAATTTAATTAGTGGGATTTTACCATTCATAATTGGAAGGTGAATATCAGAGCCACATCTTGAAAGGAGAGCTAACATCAGGTTTGCAAAAACTGACTGATTTTTTTCCAAATGTTTCCAATTAAACTTCAATGCTTCATCTGAAAGGTGACTAGCGCGAATGAAAACTGTATCATCTTTAACTTCGAAAGGAAACTCTTTTTTAATGCTTGGATGAAACTCGAGCAATTCGCGATAAAGAGCTACATCAGAAAAGGATTTGTCTCTTTTGAAAACTGATATATTGAAACTTTGAATAGAATAATTGATGAGGAATTCATCACTCGCAATTAATGTGTCAGATGATAATATCATGCTCAATCCATCCAACATGTTGATCAATTCAGTGTAATTTCCTTCATCAAAAATTTCTCGGAATAATTTTAAACCGTCGCTGATGGTAATTACAGATGAAATCATATCTTTCTCTTGTTTAGGAAAGTAATTCTCAGCAACATCTTTTAATTCTTTTTCGAGCTTTTTTCTAGCATCATCATCGAGGTCGTTTTCAATCAGATATTTCCTAACCTCTCTAATATAGTGCAAATCTTGATAAGCCTTTTCAAAGTAATCGATGACATTTGCCTTACTAGCTAATGCTCTTTCAGTCAGCATGATCCATGGTCCTACCATCCTAAAAAATCTGCATGACGCCAACAATTTTTCGATAAAACTATCAAGACCTGCCTCTAAGAAATGTATTATGTGTCCATCTTCATGACCGAAAGAGAAAGCAGGTATGAATACGGCAGTAGATACACCATTTTCTACAAAAATGGGGAAACTTCTGAATTCAAGCAATTTTTCACTAAACTTGATTGTAGGAGGATTTTTGAAGGTCTTATCAAAGCAAAATTGAGTTCGTGCTCCTGAAATTTCAAAGTTAATTTTAATTTGTTTTTTGAGTATCAAATTAATGATTTTCATGCTTCGAACAATTTCAATTATTCGATTCTTGCCTTCGTTTGTGCAGCAAATCTCTATAAAAGCTAACGCTAAATCTTCAATTGTAAATTTTCTTACTTCTTTGCCAGGAGAGCTCTGAATTGGGCTTAATTTCTCAAATGTTGGAATTGAATCCTCTATTTTAGCCTTTTCATCTTTCTGAGATAGCCATATATTGCAAATATGTTTAATATCTTCTGTCAATTGAAGAGTTTCGATATTAAATGTTTCCATGACTTCTTTTTCCGTGATTCCAGTAAGCTTTGCTATGGCCTCTGCGAATGTAGTTACTTGCTGCTGCATTATTTAATCTAAATAATTTTCAATTCAAATTTGATGCATTTTTTTCTATGAAAAATACATCTAATTAAAATATGTTTTAAAGCATTGACTTACATTCACTATATGCATTATTTAATGATTCGATACATTTTACTTCTTAACTGCTTAATTTTAATTTTTCGATTATTTTTTCATGTCTTTTTTTCACATTTAATAAACTTCTCTAAATGTATAGACAATAGTACACTAATTGAACACATTACTTCATAGGATTGTAAAATTCTGCCATTTTTTTTATCATGAAACGATCCTCATCTCAAGGTCCCACTGGTTTAAAAGGAGATAATTTTGATGAAGATGAGGCATTTGATTCTCTTGATGAACAATTACTTGATCTGACATTATCTCCAGTACCAAATTTTGAATTAATTCCTTTCAAAGCTTTAATTTCATCAATAAATTTTGTTGGTAATAGTACTCTTCAAATATGCATATTTACAGAATTTTAAATACAAGACACATATTTCCTTCTTTTTCGTCGAAAAAGAGCGATTTTATCCAGTTAATCTTTGTTGATAAAATTCTAGATTACTCAGAAATCGAGTTTGTCGGTAGTGTTTCTAATACTCCCGAGATTAAAGAAATCGACATATTATATGCATACGAAAACACATCTTTTACATTGCTTATGATCTGGATTCGGATAAATTTCCCAATAATTTTATTAATTCTTATTATTGTACGATTTTTCCGCAAAACTGCTACCACAATAGAACAAAAAGCATGCTCCCTACTGAATTTAGCTACAATTTTCTATGATCAGCCTTTATCAATTTTAAATTTTTACAAACCAACTCCTCTCACAGTTTACTTAGACATAATCTTTTCGGACATATATGGCCCAGTACTATTCTTTGTATCCATGTTCCTTATTTCTCGTACTTTCGATCAAAAGTTAACACAAACAATGATTTACCTTCCTTTCATCTATTTCGGTACAACATTCTTTCTTTCATCGATCAACTTTCTCGTGCACTATCCTTGCGATATCCCAGACCAGCTTGGTTCCCTTGCTTTCGACTTAGAATATTTGAATACTTTTATTAGTTTCATTTATTTTTGTCTTTTTTGTTATTATATGATTGTCAACATCCAACATTTTGCAGGAGACCCAGGTATTAGGTTAATCCACCATATAGAACTATTGTTTTGTTTGTTTCCATCGGAATTTCTATTTTTTCTGTTCTTCAGGCCGAGAATTCAGTCAGAGAGTCTTTGTTTTCAGGTATTTTCCAGTTCGGACTTGTGAACACTCTTTCCATTGTGATGGAGTACATGCATTCAAACAAAGAGGTGTTTCTTAAGGACATTTACGAAGAACCAATGAATCTTGGAGAATTTTCTGATAATGCAATTGGTGAGGCCATCTCTTCTGACTTCTCAGATGAAGTATCTTATTCATCTGAACAATATGAATAGAAAGTTATTATTCATTCTTTTTTTATTTATTTATTATTATTATTTCAAAATTATTTTCAAATTTTCAATTCCAAAAATTTTGAATATCAAAATAATCAAAAATCTTTTGCTTTGATTCTTTTCAAAAGTTTAAGGAAAAAGTAACGCATTAATTTCTAATTTTTCAATTTTTATTTTTATATGTTTGTTTGTTTGAATAAAATTATGATGTATGATATTTTAAACGCAAGTATATATGTTCAACAATGATTTTTTTTTATAAAATCAGAAGAAATAAATTTGGAAATATTAGGCAGTCAACAAAATTTAGTATTCAAAGTTAACATGATTTGGTGATGTATATTATCGATTGTGTTGACTTCCTGACTCTCAAATTATGAAATTTTACAGATTTTAATATATGACTATGAATTAAATGATAAGTAACAAGCAAAAATCAGTATACAAAATATTTATATTCAGATTTATAATAAGTTTTTAATCATATTGATTTGACTTCCTGTTTCTCGGTATCTGTATCATCCGTAACTTCGACAATTACTCTATTGATAACTGTTACCTTTGAATCCATATCCAAAATATAGGGTTGACGTGTACGAACCCTATTGTAAATCTCTAAGTGTTTTTCATAACAGTAATCATATTCCCATTGATTGAAGATTAGTGTTCCTTTGGGATAGTTGTCGACTTTTGGAATATGTTTCCTTATGTTTTTCAGTCCTCTTTGAACATCATCAAAGTCTTCTTTCAAATCGAGTAGGAAACCCTTCCCAATATTCTTTCTAAGCATTTTGATCGTATTTCGGAGTGAATTGAGCCATTCATATCTTACTGTTAGTCTTCCTGTGAATATGAGAAAAAAATATAGTGCTCTTCCGTATGATGAGAATCTCAAAGGGAAGAAGAAGTTCCAATGAGCTTCTCGATACATGCAATCAAGAACGAGAGGATTTGCTCCAGAATCATAATATAAAGCTGCATAATAGTGTAATTTAATTTCTTTTCCATACGGGTCATCTTCATTATTCGTATAGTAGCAATCGAAATCTATTCTTTTTAATTCTAACATGTATTTTACAACTTTCCATGGAACATCAATTGTTTCTGTTCTATTATCTTTTGGATCTGGATTGTATCTAAGCATAGAATCCTTGTTCATCTCCGATTCACCGAAATGAAACATGTATTGATCCTTCTTATAGTGCATTTAATGCTTACTTTTTTTTATCTGAAAAACCAAAATTTTAAAAAACCGCAAAATTGCTCACTGAAATTTTTAATTTCAAATAAAGTTTCATAGATTATAACTATTTCATAAATGCTGCTTTGAGAAATTTATGTGAATCCACTTTTGATATAATCTTATTACAACATCTTTGAAGGACGAAAGTAAAGGTAGTTTAAAATGTCTTTCAAATCCTTTATAACAGCTCTCATAAAACCATTCCATGTTACCTAAATTTGGATTGCTAGATTCTCGCCTATCATGTAAAAAAAATCGCTTTTCTCACAATTCCATTTTTTGATTTTTTTATTGATTTTTTTTATCATGAAACGATCCTCATCTCAAGGTCCTACTGGTTTAAAAGGAGATAATTTTGATGAAGATGAGGCATTTGATTCTCTTGATGAACAATTACTTGATCTGACATTATCTCCAGTACCAAATAAAATTAGTTCTCGAAAACCAAGAAAATTACCGAAAATGCAAAATTTTATTGACATGCAAGATGTCCTTCCCTTAACTCCTCTGGAAAAATTACCAACTACCATACCAACAATTCCAAAAACATCTTTTGCACCAGAAGATATTATATTCAGAACAAATATGTATTTAGAAACTCAAATAAGACAGGTAATGTTCGAAGTTACACGATATATTCAATCAGCAATGAACTATGAACCACAATTTGATACATTTGTCGAATCTTTCGTTAAAAAAATCAAAATCGAAATAGAAAACGAGCTTAAGTTACCACTACTTAAAATAGCTACTTGCTTTCGAAAGGTTTTTGACAGTTCTGAATTAATTCCTTTTAAAATTTTAATGGCATCAGCAAATTTTGTTGATAACAATACTAGTTACGAAGAAAGAACGCTAGTTCTACAAAATTTGAATAAGAAAATCGATCAAAGAAGTAAAATTTATCAAGAATGTTGTTTACAACTACAAGATACGATAAAAGAGCTAAATAAACAACGAAAATCATTTTACAAAGATTTAAAAGGTAGAATTGCTCAGTCTAAACAAAGGAAAGAAGCAATTAATTTATTGGAGTCTCAAATAATTGATTTAGACCATGATATTGAAATGACAAGGAAGAAAACAGAAAGAATAAAGGTTGCGCCTACTCACAACATTACAATGCTTACAGAACACGAAAATGAAGAATTTAATGAGTCATTTGAAATTATTCAGAAAATTTCGGATCATTTGAATGAACTGCAGCCAATTATTAAAGAAAGAGACCTTCCTTCGTATGAAGATTTAAGATTTCAGGAAAAAATGCTTAATGAGGAATTAATGTCGGAATATTTACGTCAAAATAACTTGACACAATCCGACATTATGTTTTTACAGCCATCTTTATATTAGTTTTTGTTTGTATTTGTTTGTATTTCTATATTAGTAAATTTTATCATGTATTATTCATCCATATTGCTCTACATGATTCTTTAAGCATATTTATCTAATTTATCATGTAATTTCATGCAATAATTTTTTATATCCCTTCAAGTAATGATCATTTTACATATGTTTAGTATTGAAATAGGCAATGCATTGACTCACAACTCAGTCATGAATAAAACTCAAATTCTAATAATTCAATGATTCCGATAGATTGAGGTAGATCATTATTTAGTTTAAAATCAGTATTGTATCAAAATAATAAAATTGCTTTGAAAGTTAAATTAATTACTTTAGAAAATGATTTTGGATATGGATACGTTACAGAGAGCTTCTCAGTTCTTTAATAGTTCTTCAGCAAAGCTCATTGATCTACTCAAAGATCCGCCTATGCTCTCATTATTTCGCAATAACGATCAAGATGCAACAAAATTGTACTATTTATTTCTAACTTCAGTTTTATGAACCGCATTGAAGAAGCGATGGAAATATGTTTCTATTCAGAGGATGATGCATTAGCTTCTAAAGCATTTCTCTTGTTTTCGAAATTAGATATAGGTATTATCAATCCAACAACATTTAATTACGCATTATTATCCAAAGCAACAAATATATTTATCAAAAGTCCCGCTCCAGATAAAGTTATCAGTCGATTGTCGTCTTTAATTTTATATTCTATCAGAAATTTTCCAAATGATTGCCTTGAAACATGCGGAATCATCATACAACTCCTACAGTATATCTATGTTGGTGGTTGTGCTGAAATGTTTCAATCAATTTGCGATTTCAATTCTCCTTGCACTCAAATACAATCATTTCTTGTTGAAGCTAGTCTATCTGAGTGTGTAAATAAATCTCTGCAAACAGCAAGCAACAAAGAATCGATTTGTCAATTAATTCGATTAATACGAATGAGCAGCGGAAATAATGTTCTCGCTCCTTCATTTAAGATACCAGAAATTTGTCTTTCAGTTATTACTTACATTCATGAAGAAGATCAGTATATGCAAGCACAAATCTGGCGTTGCTTAACAGGATTGATATCAGAAACTACATATTCAACATTAAGTTTTGTTTTAGAGCAAGCTTTCGATATAGTAGAACAAATGCAGCAAAAATTGAATATGTCAAACATATTCACGTTTGATTTCGTTGGAAAATATATTAAATTCGATACATCTGTTGCACCAATATATAATGATAAAAGAATTTTTGATTTTAGCATAGTTTTAATGGAGAAATATCAAGATTGCACAAATTTAATTGTTTCTATTTGTAGACTACTTAAAAACGCTCTTGATATTCCAGAATTGCATCCGATCGTTATAAGATCAATTGTTCCTTATATGATTTTTGTCACGCAAACAGAAAAAAGAAATGCGACAATTGCTTTGTCATATTCTTTTCTCAGCGACTTAGTGACGAAAGCACAAACCCAAAGGGTCCTTAAGAAAGAACTAGAAGCAATTCCAGATTTTAAAGTTTTTTGCGATAAATATTTATTTCCGTATAACGAGCTTTTGTATGCAAAATATGGCGGAGGATTTTCTAGAGTTAATAGACGTAAAAGCTCATCTTTGTTTGTTGACTAAATATAGAATGTTATTATGTAATGTTTTAAATATGCCTGAAATATCATAAACTTCAATAATACTTCAATATTGAATCCAATTTTAATAATCTACAAAAATTATTCCTTTTTCACTTAGTACATTATAACTTTAATAAGAACATTAATATTGATAACAAAATGAATCAGTTTACTTATTTTTTGGGGTTTTGTTTAGATGATTTTTGTAAATTTAGAAGTATTGATCAATGAAAGAGGCTTACTATTTGATTAGTTTTGCTATGAAAAGTATCTCATGTTAAAGAAATTACTAATAACAAACATAACTAATTTTTTATTTAAAAATTTCAATTTCATTACAATTAGTACTATGAGTAATAGCCCCATTGAAATTGAATATCATCATAGTAGCTAAATTATATTGAAAAGAAAGAATTAAAAATCAAGTGGAATTATTTCTGAATTTTTTGACCTATATTTAATTGGATGTGGAACTGAGTCTGATGTATTTTCTGTAGCGTTACCTTCAGTTTGATCTTCATGCACAATATTACGAGAAATTTCTGAAGATAAGTTTGCGTTATTTGAATTCGATTTTTTTACTCTGATAGTCCATTTCTTGGACTCTCCTTTTGTATTTAAGTAAAATGGCATCTTATCGAGTAAATCTTGATCAATAGAAACTTTTTGAGGGAGTAAAGTATAACCTAATTGCTGGAGGGAGCCATTAATTGAAGATTTGCATTTTCCTAACAATATCTTAAGCTGTTGAATATTAATTGCAATTTTGTTTTGGCCAAAAACAATTCCGCAAACCATAGCCCTCTTTGGTCTGTCTCCTTCACCTCTATTAATATATTCTTCTATCTTTTTCAAATTAGCTGAGAATGACTCCAGGCTCTCTCCTTTTTTCTTATTTTTAATTCTCTCTTGGAAAGAATCCCTAAGCTTTAAATAATCAGAGACATCATAAGATGACAGTGTTTCCCAATGTAACGGCATGTTTTCGGCTGGAGGAATAACGAATCTACTCATTTCGAATTTTTTTTGTTTCAAATTTTATTCAAAAACGGTTAGCAAAACTCGTCTAAAAATTATAAGGTTTGGACACAAAAATAAATAGTTATATTGAACGCAAACACTATAGAGAGCGAGATCAACTGATTTATCCATCAAATTATAAAATTCATATTAATTTTCAAATTCAAAAGTGGCAACAAACACTCACTATACCATATTCATTAATTGCATCTGTATTTACTAATTAATCAAGGTCAAACCCAAAAATTATCTTAGAAATGAGCTCAACGTTAGAAATATTTTTTGGGAAATAAGAGATTTAGCTCAAATTTAATATCATTATGAGACTTGTAATAAGTCGGATAAACTTTAATCGAGTACATATACTTTGCGAAAAGATAATGAGGAAATTCAGGAGCTTGATTTTCAAACCTCCCAATAAAACATATTTAATAATATCAAGTAGCATCTTTGAAGACATAATAACAGTTTTAAATTGAGGGAGCAATCTTGCAGATTTTAAATTTTGTGATATTTTAGCAACGATATCTGAGAATGAATGCCTTGAAGAATCTAAAATGAACAAAGTTTTTTAAAATTTTTATCTTGTATCACCTTGTAAAGAGACTAAGTTAAATTGAAGAGTTGTTCTAAGCAGGAGGCAGTCTTTGTTTCTTTGTCCACAATTTATTTTTCCTTTTTATTATCATCACAAAAAGATTATTTGGTAAATATAAGTGATCCGATTCACTTCATGAAACTATCAAGAATATGGGCAATGAAATTCTATTCATCATATATGAATTTTAAAGAAATCAAATCAGATTCAAGCTGTCAACTCTTCCAAAAGGATTGTAAAATACTTTGAGATAACTATTGCAAACTTTGAGAATGAGAAATTCAAAACATATAAGAAAGATTTATTTTTTCGAAGAAACGAGAGATTCCATGAAGGAAAGATCCTTTAATAAATCATTCGTCTTATCACATCTATCTTCAAATAATCTGCAAATATATGTGCAGCGTTTATCATTTTCTGAATAATACTTTGGGAGTCTTATTTTAAATGAATGAACATTTCATTATTTAGGCAATAACAATATCAGATCCAATGATATACCTCATCTTCAAGAGTTAAATCGAAATTATATTTTATTAAGACAATCAAATCCGATATATTAAGAATTTACGAATTCAACAAAGAAAATACAAAACAAATGAAATATTAATATAATTATTAAGTAATATCTATAACATTAACGTGGGGTTAGTGACGGCACAACAATCTTTTGGCGATTTATCGATCTTATATATTGTTCTAGGGAAGGAACCTGTGGTTCATCCTTAACAAATGGTTTGGGCTTAAATACAGATGGAATAGTAAATGTAGAAACAAGATGATGGTTATTCAAAGCAAATTTTCTCTGAGTTTCAATATCTTTGTTAAAATCTTTCTGATTTTGAATTTCGCTGGTTTCTGCGTAATAAGAATCTAGCATTTGGGCCATCTGTTGGTTCTTTATTGCTTGTTCTACAATGAAATTCTGATGTTTGTAAAAATCGAAGATCTGTGTTCTGGTATAGTAACCTCTCCAACGTTTCTGTATTTTTGATGCCATTTCATTAAAGAAATCCATTCTTTCATTTGAATATTTTTCTTCTCGAAGCTGCATAACATAAAATTTAGCCATATGTCGTCTCCAACAGCTTTGTATTAAAGTAGCTTTTTCGTGTAGTCTTCTTAAATTGCGTCTCTGGAAGTAATCACGCCATATTTTTTGAATTTTTACTGCTGCGTTAAACTCTTTCTCGCAATTTTCTTCTGCTTCATCTATTTCTTTGAAATAAAGATCAATGATACTATTTCGTCCCCGAAATAAACGTCCAAAAGCAGTCATTTTTCTTAAAATATTTTTTGTGAGATTCGTTACAATTTTTTACATTTATCGGCGTGAAGCATGCATCCACAATTAAAAAAATCTTTATTTTGTGAGCAGAATTACAAATAAAATTTCATCATCAGTTCTATTCAAAATTTACATAGTTATAACTTAACTTTTTTTTAATGAATTTTTATTGATTCATTGATACTTTTTATACCATATGTTCAAAATGGTATTGAGTATAGTGATTATGGAACTATTCTCATTCGTGCACCTGATGATTTTAGCGGAGATCTCATTATTCCAAAAGAAGTCATTTCATTTGTGACTACATCAAACAATGTTGGTGGACCATTCCCAAAATGCAGAGATAACATAAGATCGTTATCATTTTTTCCTGCAGCCAAAGTCCAAATCATTTGCAGTTTCTGTTTCTATCGATCTGCATTAGAAACCGTCGATATGTAATATTGCACCTTATTCACATATCTGAATAATTCTATATTTAGACTATGTCAAAAGCTGCAATCAATAACACTTCCCCCTAACCTGAGAGAAATTTGGGGTGGATGTTTAGGATGATGTAGTTTGGAATCAATTTCTTTGCCCAATTCTATAGTGAAGATTTATGGATGGACTCCACAAGATGGAGGTGTATTTACTGGATCTCTTTCCTCAATTACAATTAATCCTGAATCTCAATTAGAATTAATTGGATCCGAAGCATTCGCTGGTTCTAAATGAACATCTATTTTCATTCCAAAAAATGTTAATTCATTATCAGGTACATGCCTTCACAAAGTTTTTCTAAATGAAATATTAATTGATTCCGAGAATCCCAACTTTAAATCAGATAAATTTTCAATTTTTGTTGGAACAAATAATGATACTTTAAATTATGTCACTTCTAAGTATACAGGAAATTATGTAGTCCCAAGTTTTATTAGAAGAAATGGGACTACATAATTTGGAAATTGTATATTTCTAGCATTGCCTTTCATGAAAATGTTTATTCAATTGGAGCATACTGTTTCGTCGAATCAAATCTTGTTGATATTGTTCTTCCTGAAAAAGTTGTGATCATTGAAGTAGTTGAAAAATGTTACATTATCTAAAGCGACAATAAAAATTTATAATAATTCCTTTTATAATTGCATTTCTCTTGCAAGAATTGAATTTCCTTTAACTCTTACAAATATTGGAGAATCTGTTTTCTATGGGTGTAATAAGTTCGTTATTGATTCAAACCAGAATTCAAACTTTAATTACTAAAAACAAATGCTACTATCAAATAAAAAACAACCATAATTGAATTCTTCGAAAATGATGTAAACCTGGAAATAACAGCTCCTCCAGAAACAACAACAATTGGAACTAGGACATTCATGAATAAGAATCTTAAAACTATAGGGTGTCCAAAGGTGTGTTTAGCACAAACCTGAATACTGCGAATAGAAATAAACAAGTTACATATATATAAAGTTTATTTAAATATAATCACCATTGGATTCAATCACGCGTTCGCAGCGATCGATCCAGGCTTGAAAGACACGCTTTAAATCATCATGAGAAAATTGAGTTAGTATACATAACTTGGGTACGGCGGCACTGCGTTCCACCTTATCCAAGATAACGGTTTGACACTTTACAAAACCGCTAACGTATATTTTACAACACAAACGACAACACTAACTTAACCTTAAATATTTACAAAGCCGCCAACCACTTCACCTCACTAACATTTTCGCTAACGACTTCACTAATGAAAAAATAAACGTTCTCACTAACGTTCCCACTAATGTTCTCATTTACAAAAGTATTGCAGCGCTTCCCATTGCTGTGCTTCACACAATAGTTCATATTCTTCAGTATCGCTGCTGTCACTCCAATCGTCAGAGTCAAAATCACTGTCAAAATAAATGTATGTAAGTTTTGACAAAGCTAATGAAACACGCTTACCGTTTGTATCTATTGCTTTTATATATCTCCCATTATGTTTGTTGTCGTAAACGCTCAACTAAATTTACCCTTTCTCCCTCGTATCTGATAGAATGTATTTTCACGAGGAACGAAGAACAAATTCTTGAACTCATGACCGTTGTAGTTTGTTATCTCAATAGTTTTCGTCATTTATATAAAAATAAAATAAAAAATAAACTTAAAAATTAATGATATCACCACCCTCACACGTATGAAAAATAGCACAAAAATAATGTTTAGGTGAAGTGGTGAAATCTCACCTCTTTTTTCACCTGTTTTTTCACCCTGTTGAATTCATTGCTTTATAACTCTCTTCCTTTCTCCAACTCTTCTAACTTCTTCCTAAGTTTAGCAATGTTGTCCTCATGAAGTTTAATCTTTCTCAAAATTCCTTCTCTATCTAATGGTTGCTTTATCTTTCTAAACTGAACTCTACCATCCTTCATAGTATGAACGTAAAAACCTTCTGGAACCGCTCCTGATTTAATGTATTCTACCAAAAACTTTTGTTTCATTGCTTCAGTGACTTTAGTCGTCATTTTACTCTAAGGTGAAGCTAGCACAGCGATAATGGATTTCATGACTTTTTAGTATTTCATGCAATCTTAACAGATAGCCTTACAAGTACTTCCAGTGTCCCTAGCTGTCCCTCCTTTTTATATAACTCCATGACATTTATAATCTCGCGAAACTTAACAGGTAGCATAGCAGATTAAAATCAGATGAGGTTTTGAACCAAAATTTCTAAGCAACGTTGTCAAGGATTTTGAGGAACTAGGGACAGAGTGTGGCAAAGTCCAAGATTTAATTTATCTTCATCTGTTTCATCAGCTATCTCATCTAATATGCCAATATTTTATTCATAACTCGTGGCAAACTCACTAACTTTCGTTATGTTCATCTGCATGCTTCATCTGATAGAAAGTATGACTTTCATTAACTCTGTGAGATAATGAAAACTACTAGGGACAGAGACCATGGCAAAGTTTATGACTTTCATTATTTCCAGAACTTAATGAAAACTACTAGGGACAGAGACCATGGCAAAGTTCATGATTTAATTTATTCTCTCACTAACAACAAACACAAACTCCAACACTAACATCAAGTACTAACTTCAGCACAAATGACAAACACTAACAACAAACACGAACTCCAACACTAACGACAAGTACTAACTTCAGCACAAATGACAAACACTAACAACAAACACAAACTCCAACACTAACGACAAAAATAAATGTCCTCACTTCTTAACAAAGTAATATGTGCTTCTTACACCACCATAGCTCAAACGTTTCTTTTCAAACATCGATTGAAACTTATTTTGAGCCATTGGCTTTAGTCTCTTTTTCTTCAAATACGCCAAGAAATCTTCTTCATATCTTTTCACTTCATAGCCTTCTTTAAACTCCTCCTTGTTAAGTTCTATGAAATCCTTTATAACATTCTTTGTTGCAATGGCTTCTTCACGAACTACATCGTGAACTATTTCATCATTGCATTCATGTATGACCTCCTCACTGTTCTCATGAACTATTTCAACACTGTTCTCATGAACGACCTCCTTACTGTCTTTCATAAGCGTTTCAAAGTCTCCTTTACTCATTACTTCAATCTCATGCTGTTCACAGTAGTACTTAAACTCACTGTATATGTCTTTGTTGTATGTTATATTGCTTCCCATGTACTCCATGAATTTTTCAAGCACTTCCTCATAATTCACTGTTTCTTTCTTTCCACGACCTTCTAATATCATACTTGCTTCGTAAATATAACTTCTTGCAGAACCGTCTCGCTTTCTACTTCTCTTCACAAATTCTCTCATCTTGCCGCCAAATACATTTGAACTACATGCAAAGAATTCATTCTCCTTCGCAAATTCTTTATATCTTCTGTAGCACTCTGTACAATTCCATCCGGATACAAACTTTTCATAGAACTCCTCGTAAAACATTTGGTAAGGTGTTTTGTTCATTTCGATGAGTTCTTGTTTAGCCCTGGTGAATGGTATCTTCCTTACATCAAATTCACTTAAATCTTTCTTCATGAAGTACGTCAGTAAGTTTGAATAAAACTCTTCATTAAAGCTTTCAATGAGATTTGAGAAATATTCGTAATTTCCTTTGTATCTGCTGCTTACGTCAATGACAACAAATCTTCTGTCGTCTTTGTCAATCTTTACTGAGTTGAAGTTGTTAGATATCATGATGATATTACAAACATTCTCTATCTTTCTTACTGGCTGACACTTCTGATTTAAGTCCAACTGAGTCTCTGTTACTATTGACTTTAGTGCGTCGTGGTTCATGACCTTAGACGTATCGCATGAGCTTAGTTCATTGCATACGATGAGCTTCATGTTCTCAATAGCAGCATCGAATCTACCAACCACATTCTCTATTGCCGTTATATTATTGTTGGCGTACTTGCTAATGAGCTCGCATAGAACATTACTAAGTACATTCTTACCAGTTCCTTGCTTTCCTATTAACAAAAGTACTGTTCCAGTCTTTCCACAAGGATTTTGAATGATGTAGGCGAACCAGTTCAAAACATACTCATAAAGCTCTTCATCCTCATTACATATGACATCGTGAACATGTTTCAAATATCCTTCAATAATGCTTTCATCTACTTCATTCAGTACCTCATACTCATATCCTCTGAAATAGCTGTAAATGTCATCTCTTTTGTCAAAGAATCTCATGCCTGACTTCATAAGATAGTTCTTGTTCTGACCCGCTTCATAAATCATCAGTGCGTTCACATCCTTCTCTTCAATACGTCCTACATAAACACTCTTCATGAGCTTATTGAATTCCTTGCTATCTACTGACACAAGTGTTGTTGTGTCTCGTATTCCATCATAATCTTTCACTAGATATGTCATACGTGCTCCGTCAATAACGACAACACATCTTCTTAAGTCATTTATAACACTAGCTATGTCAATACCTTCTTCACTCATGTACTTATTTCTCCTCAAGTTCTTTAGTGTGAAAGTGTCTCTAAGTTCTATTTCAAGCAATTCA